GGCCCAAAAAGCCTGGCCCGAGTCAAGCCTGGCAGCGGGCTCAAGGCCGGGCTCGGAGCGTAGTCAAGCCCAAGCCCGGCCCGGAAGCCCAGGCTTGGGTGTGCTGGCTCCGTTACCGTTCCCTGAGTTCAGAATAAGGAGAGAGCGACCTAATATGCACATAGAAGACAAAATGTAGATATTCTAGATGTAACGGCTCTCGCCGAGCACGATTGTGCGTCACCATCTGGTGCCTGCCGTAGGCGCACGCCCGTGGACTTCGCTGCAACTCGACTTATTCCGCAGGTGTAGATCTTCTGGAGGTTATAATTTAGTGAGTACATGCAGTATTAATCTACTACACCCAAATACATTCCCTTTTGATAGCACCGGAACACTCGTTGTATTGTGAGCAAGCCCGGGCTTAAGCCCAAGGGCTCGGGCTCGGCTCGGGCTCAGGGCTCGGCTCGACGTCGTCACAAGCCCAAGCCCGGGCTTTGAGCCCAAGCCGGGCCCGCACATCACTAATCAGTACAATAAGCTGCTTATTGTGCGGAGATTGCTCGTACCAAAGCAAAGACCTTCGCAAGGTCCTCAGGCTTAATATGCTTGTAGCCGCCCTTTAAGTTAATAGATGCGGCGTGAGCGCAGTGGCGAATGGTAGCCTAGTACATTAGTGAGCGTGAGGTCAACATTGATGGTAATCAAAAGCAGCCTGGACGATACGCACCAGAATGACGTTGTACTTCAACATCTGGATTTCCAACTCTCCAAGACCCATCTTCTCTCGCGGATGAAAGCTGTTCCTGCCACCTCCCGCACTACCCTTAGGCCTAGAGATTGAACCGGCAGGGACACCGCCAGCTCCTGCAGCTTGAGCGCCGGCAGCAGCTGCAACAGCAGCCTGAGCCCGAGCTAACTCAGCTATAACATTAATACTGTAAGTAGTACTCTTGGTCATCAATAGACAGAGCCACATACCCTGTAAGTTTTGGATAATGATTTCCGTGTTTGCAGCAATGGGGCCTGGCTGAGTTGCAGCAGGGTAGGCGGCAGCTGGCTGGATGTTTGTGTCATGAATATTACACATTCCAGATAGTTCTCCCGGATTCCATAGTATTCTTTCACTTTCTATACACCTCCGTATATTTGTAGGATACTCTAGATATTCAGTCTGACATGTATATAAGGAGCTTGTACTGCTCAATAACAAGCCAGACTCGAGCTGGTCTTTTCTCACTCACATTCCTCTCGTCTGTCTCCTCAGCATTATTGTAGCTCAGTCCAGTTGGATTGTTAGTTGCTGACATTAGCTCGAGTCTCCACCAACTGCCCTACGACGATCCTCGTCACTCCCACACTAACCATCACCCATCTCCACACGACGATCCACCCTATACGCACATCCAACTCTCACCCTAAATCCTAACCCTACCAAACTCTACCGCATCAAGACCCGGACCCCTGGAACCCCTCTCCGTGCATTTGCACAACTTTTACCATATCACATTCCCGAAGTCACCTCTGTAATCACTAGCCCTTAGGTGGCTAGACAGAGCTCTGTCCAATTAGAATTGTACACTGCCCTACCATAGGTGGTGTTTAGTGATGTGCAGGCCTGGCTTGGGCTCAAAGCCCGGGCTTGGGCTTGTGGCAACGTCGAGCCGAGCCCTGAGCCCGAGCCGAGTCCGAGCCTGGCCCAAGCTGCAGGCTTAAGCCCGTGCTTGCTCACAGTATAATGGGTATTGTGGTGCTATGAAAAGGGAGTATGTTTGGATGTAGTAGATTATTGCTGCATGTACTCACTGAATTCAGCCTCCAGAAGACGTACGCTTGCAGAATAAGTCGAGTCGCAATGGAGCCCACGAGCGCGCATCTATGGCAGACACCAGACGATGATGCACAGTCGTGCTCGGCGGGAACCGTCGAGTCTAGAATATCCATATCATGTCTGGTATGTACATATTAGATCTCTCTCACCTTATTCTGAACTCAGAGGACAGTAACAGAGCCAGTGCACCCAAGCCTGGGCTTTCGGGCCAGGCTTGGGCTTGACTACGCTCCGAGCCCGGCCTTGAGCCCACTGCCAGGCTTGGCTCGGGTCAGGCTTTTTGGGCCGGGCTTGGCGGGCTCGTGGGCTTTGAGGCCCGGCCCGCACATCACTAGTGGTGTTAAACGCTTTGTGCAGCGCAAGCGGATATTCCTGAGTACGACGTGGCAACCAGTTGTGACCGGGCATCGGAAAAGCAGTAGCAGTTAGATCAGCGATCCCTTTGAGGGCGTCGGACCGAAGAGACACAATTGCTCTTTGGGCTGCTACAATATCTCTAGATCTGTATTACAATTAGCGTTTCGGTTCTTATTCAGAAATTCCCATCTCTGGCAAATTCTACCCCTGATCTGGTCGTTACAACATGATTAGTCCCAGGGTTTGTTGCAAACAGCTTCACAGATCCAATAGCACATGACCGCGCTTTTTTGTGACTGCAGAGGATATCTACATCGGGTACTAGGAGACAGATTCATCTACAGATGCGACGATCGCACACGATACTGCGTGCAACAGCCGTGCCCACACTCCCCACAAATTAGTACTCGTTGTCCACGGTGTCAAAAAGGACTACGCGGAGAACTAGTAACCAGAGTAACCGCAGGAGCACCTTAAGAATCCCTCGCAACCCTGCAACCCGAAGCATCTGGTTCAGAACCCAGACCCAGACGAGACACTCTCGAATTGGTCACTGACCATCTTCGCTCAATTGCCCTTGGAGAATCTGAAGCACCACCAGAGGGCCCACCAAACCCCGTGGAAGAAGCCGTAGAAGATTCTGAAGCCTCGAACCCACCTTCCCGACGTTCTCCCACCCCACCTTCATCTTCATCCAATTCCGGCGCGATGGCCGAGAATCAAGACAGTGCCGCATTCCTAAATGGAAGCGCAATGAAGCCCGATGCCTTCGACGGCACAAAATCCAAGTACATTGCTTGGAAGACGCAGATAAAATTGTACGTAGTCACACAAAGAAAGCGGCTACCAGAACAATTTGACAGAGTCCTCATGATCTTGTCTTACATGAAAGGTGGACATGCGGGCGAATACGTTGCCACGTTCATGAAGAAGTACAACACGGTGTAGAAGGGTTTTCAGCGCCAACACCAAGAACTTACATTTACCTTCTTTCCGCATGTACACAGATGGTGGACGGTGGCTTGACCAGGAAGACAGGACGTAGGTGACGCCGCAAGTGACGGAGTACCCCGCGACCTGAGGGCGGCAGGAACGCGCATGTAAATAGGGGCCCGCTGTGCGCGAGCATGCCGAGTCATTGCCTGTCGGAGCGGCGCGCCATTCCGGAAGCCTGACGCCACTACTTCGTTTTCCATCGCATTCGCAGGTTCTTCCCCAATAGAGACCCTTTCGTTAACGTTTACCTTCACTTTCCGTACACATAGACCTCCGGCCGAGAGCACGGCAGCGGAGCAGCGCTCGCATGTATATTAAAGGCGACCTCCCGCCGTCGAATGGAGCAAGCTCCCCTTTCCCCCACCTTCACCTCTAAAGTCTGCCCCTCCGAGCTTCGGGCACATCCTAAGAGCATCGAGAATACACTCGCGAGAGCGTGAGACGAGGTTCGCCCGCGACAAGTGTGGGCACGAGCATTTAAGTAAGAGTCTTATTAGATCGTTCATTGAGCTTAGTTACGCGTTTAGATATCGAGTTTAGTCATCGGCCGTTTCCTCCCCACACGTAAAGCCCCGCATATATCGAGCGCCGACCCGTACGTAGAATCCTCCTCCACAACGGACGAAAATGCCGTGATACAGACCACGAATACACTATGGGAAGACCTAGATAGGCACTTCCTAATCGACGAGCAGACCAAAGCATATGATCGGCTCCAAGCAATGCAGATGGGAACGCTGTCGGCACAAGAGTTTTTCTTGAAGTTTGAGTTGTGCACCTTCCAGGCAAATATTCACGACTTCGAAGCGCACTTCCGAGGACTTAAGTCGCTTCTAGAAAAAGCACTCCGGGCCGACATCATTCGGCTTCTGTACAACTCCTCGGAGGAACTCCCAACCACCTACACGCTCTACAAGTTATAGGTCGCGCGCATCGACCTTAACCAGCAACAATACCGTAGAAGGAACCCACAGTCCCAATGACAGGGACAGTTCCAGCCGAGACAGCAGCAGGTGCAGAACACACCACGAGCACAAACTAATGCACCAGCGCCAGCAGCTTCTACAACACCAGTTCAGACACGACGTGACAGAACTGGTGTCACCTTTGGCGGCAGAGGACAACCGATGGAGTTAGATCAGGCGTGACGCCAAGGTCTCTGCTTCCGATGTGGTCAACAGGGTCACATATCATGAAATTGCCCTAATCGACAGCAAGCCCAACAAGTACGGGCCGTGGAAACCCCTGTAGCTCCCACTACCAATGCATTCACGCCACTCGCATCGCTTAACGAAGCTCCTGCCGCGACGGCAGAACCATTTGACTGGAAAACGGCAATTCGCAAAGAAATTCGCGTGGCCATGAAGGGTTTTGCAAGCGGTCAGCCGGGTGCGTAGCTGAGTTGACCGAAGAGAATTTCACAAACTATCTGTGTTCTTGGTTTGGAGTTCCCATGTATATACAAAAGAAAGGGGCGTCCGCAGAGCGGCGCGGAGAGGTTCAACCCTCTTGCTTAATTCCTCTGAATAAAAAATTATCTCCTACCTCGAATCAGACTGAATCTACGCAGTGGCAGCGTCACACCCCATGGACAGCGGCATGGATCCGCCAATGGATAGTCAGCAAAGACAAAGCAGCGCTTAGATTGTTGACAGAATGGGTACACTCAAAGAAGAGTGTTGACGCCTCCGAAGCCTGTATGAACCAAATCAGGCAAATGAAAGAAGAAGAAGCAATCGACTTCTTGAATGAATTATGAAAGCAGCCTCGATTTATCCAAGGAAGGAAGAGGACACAGATGGACGTCCCAATGATCATCACTACCCTGGACACGCAGCAGCGTTTGTCAGTCAAAGCGTTATTGGACACAGAATGTACTGGATCTTCTATTGATGCGCAGTTTGTCCGCGATGACAACATTGCTACAAATAAACTGCCATCACCAATCTCTGTCTATAACGCAGACGGAACACATAATGCCAGAGGTGCTATCACTGACTTTGTTGAATTAAGAGTGGAAATTCAGGACCACGTTGACTGACTTCCGTTTGCCGTTACAAATCTGGGGAAGACTCTGATCTTCCTTGGATATGAGTGGTCACAGATTCACAATCCATCTATCGATTGGCAGGAACAAGTCATTTAATTTGATTGGTGCCCGATTACCTGCAAATATGCCGCCCAATTAATTGATATCGATGCCGATCACGAAGAGCCCAGCGATTCGGAAGCTCGCTTAGAAGAAGGAGATAGAATCTTTATTCTTGACCACGAAACTTACTTTGCTACGGAAGTAGCGCATATTTGCACCACGGCCACTGATCTAGCCATCAAAGAGAGTCTGAAACACGAGACTAAGACATTTGAAAACACCGTCCCAAGTCACTATCACGATTACTCCAATGTGTTTAGCAAAGAAGACTTTGATTCTCTACCACAAAGAAGACCATGGGATCATGCAATCAAACTCACACCAGGCGCGCAACCAATCAGCTGCAAGGTCTACCCAATCTTGGTGAACAAACAAAAAGAACTTGACAAGTTCATAGAAGAGAACCTCAGAACCAGAAGAATCTGACCCTCGAAATCCCCGTGGGCTTCTCCCTTCTTCTTTGTCAAAAAGAAAGACGGACGTCTTCAACCCGTGCAAGATTATTGGAAGCTGAACAAGCTGACAATTAAGAATCGCTACCCACTTCCTTTAATACAAGAACTAGTAGACAAGTTGAAGCAGGCACGATACTTTACAAAATTGGACGTTCGATGGGGATACAACAATATTTGCATCAAAGAAGGCGATGAAGAAAAAGCTGCCTTCCTTACCAATCGAGGACTGTTCAAACCACTAGTTATGTTTTTCAGTCTCACAAACTTTCCAGCTACGTTCCAAACCATGATGAACGATATATTCCGAGACCTCATTAGTCAAGGACACGTAGTAGTCTACTTGGACGATATCATGATTTTCACTCAAGATCTGAAAGAACACCGTCAGATCACGCGGCAAGTTCTACAAATCTTGAGGGAACACAAACTTTACCTAAAACCGGAAAAGTGCGAGTTCGAGAAAACAGAAGTTGAATACCTGGGTACGATAGTAGGAAAGGGCGTCGTCCACATGGACCCAGTCAAGATAGAAGGAGTTGTCAATTGGCCTCGACCCGAGTGCAAACGAGATATCCAAGCATTCCTTGGCTTCACCAACTTCTACCAAAGATGTATTCGAGACTACAGCAAAATTGCGAAGCCACTTAGTTCATTAACAGGAAATGCTACCTTCAAATGGACTATCGAACAAGAAGTGGCATTCACGAGCCTGAAAGACGCACTCTGCTCCGCACCAGTATTGGCCATATCCAATGACGACAACTCCTATCGCGTAGAATGTGACGCATCGGACTTTGCCGTAGGAGCTGAATTAGCCCAGAAGCAAGATGGCAAATGGAAGCCCGTCGCTTATCTATCCAAAGCTATGACAGCAGCCGAAAGAAATTACGAGATTTACGATAAGGAACTTCTCGCAACCATGACTAGTCTTGACGAGTGGCGCCAGTATCTCATGGGCACCCGGCATCCGTTTGAAATATGGACGGACCACAAGAACTTAGAATACTTCCGGAAGCCACAAAGACTCAATCGATGACAAGCTTGATGGGTAACCAAATTAGCTGAGTATCACTACTCGCTACATCATAAACCTGGAAAGACAAATGGCAAGGCCGATGGGCTGTCTCGACAGAAGAGACAATGCAGGAAAAGAGGATAATTCAGATATCGTGCTATTAAAACCAGAACATTTCCGTGCCCTAATCCGTAGTACTGTATTTAGTTTAGAAGGGATCAACCAGGACTGGGTCGCAGAAATTAAAAAATACAAAAAGAACCAAGATTCGCTAGTTACCGTAGCTTTACAGAACAAGGACAAAGACTGGAACAAAGATAGCACCGGACTCGTGACGTGGAAAAACCGTATCTACGTACCGGTAAATAGGAAACTCCGCGAACAGATTATTGTTCATCACCATGATACCCCATTGGCCGGACACCCCGATCAATACAAAACACACGAAATGGTCACGCGTAACTACTGGTGGCCTAAAATTCGAGAAGACATCTGAAAGTACGTTGCTGGATGCAAGAAATGCCAGAAGACCAAGGTTCACACAACACGACCTACCGGACTTCTCTTCCCCAACGAAGTCCCTATGCAACCCTGGGAAATAATCTCTGTAGATAAGATAGGAGTATTACCAGAGTCCTTTGGGTACAACACTATTCTCGTAGTCGTCTGCATATACTCCAAGCAGATAATCACAATACCGAGTAACATTGAACTCAATGCCGAGGGATGGGGAAAAGCACTTCGCGACCATGTGGTGGCACATCACAGACTACCCCGAAAGATCATCAGTGACAGGGGCACTGAATTCAAGAACAAGTTCATCTCCGAACTATACCGATTGCTTGGAATCGAAGCCAATCCCTCTACCGCGTATCACCCTCAGACCGATGGACAAATGGAACGTATCAATCGTGAGATAGAACAATATCTCCGATTATTCATTAACTACCGACAAGCAGATTGGGCCAAATGGCTGCCACTTGCGGCCTTTTCATACAACAATAAAGTCCATTCATTCACTGGGTATACTCCATTCTTCATCAATAAAGGGTACCACCCTTATGAAGGAACCCAACCGGTGTGAGAAGGACTAAGCAAAAATGTCCAACAGTTTGTCAATAGAATGAATCGAGTACGCAAAGACACTAGCGCGGCCATCAGTCTAGCGCAGGAATCCATGAAGTGCTTCTACGACAGAAAGAGAAAGAGCGGGCCGGAGTACAAAGTTGGGGATAAGGTCTGGCTAGAAAGGATAAACATCCGAACAGACAGGCCAATGAAAAAGCTCGACGATAAGTGGTATGGACCCTTCAAGGTCAAACGCAAAGTTGGCGCTTCCGCCTACGAATTGGAACTCCCACGTCAATGGAAACAACACTCTGTTTTCAATAAAAGCCTTCTCAGTCCCTTCAAAGAACCCACATACCCCTCACAGCGACGTGAACCGATAGTTTCTGACCTCGTAAATGGCGAGAAAGAATGGGAAGTCGAAGAAATTCTTGACTCCCGTTGTGATCGAAACGGAAACCTGGAGTATCAGGTACTCTGGAAGAACAGCCTCCACGGCGATCGCCGTTCCTGGGAATCACGAGCGAACTTGACTAATTGTCAGGAACTCCTTCAGGAATTCCATGCTAGACGTCCTGACAAACCCGCGCCTATGACGATTCGAATCCTCCCTTTATTAACACAACCTGTTCACATGCTCACGCGTGATACCACTCTTTTGGTACAATGGATGGGTGGGATTCCCCCGAAACAAGGATCTGAAGAATCTGCCGGGCTTGATCTTTATTCGGCTGAAAGCGTTAAGATACCAGCACGAGATCGCAAGATTGTCAGCACCAGCATAGCGATGTGTGCCCCTCACGGAATCTATGCGCAAATTGCACCACAAAGTGGATTAGCAGTCAAAGGGATAGATGTCGGTGCTGGAGTTGTAGATCGAGATTACACTGGAGAAGTGCGCATGGTGTTGATTAATTCCATCAATCAATCCTTTCAGGTACGTGCCGGCAATCGGATCGCACAAGTCATTTTAGAACGCATTGCATCATGCAATATCAAGGAGGTGTCAAGTTTAACAGAAACCCAACAAGGATCAGGAGGCTTAGGATCAACTGGTAAATAATCGTGAGGACACGATTCTAGACGGGGGGGGGTAATGTCATGAATATTACACATTCCAGATGGTTCTCCCGGATTCCATAGTATTCTTTCACTTTCTATACACCTCCGTATATTTGTAGGATACTCTAGATATTCAGTCTGACATGTATATAAGGAGCTTGTACTGCTCAATAACAAGCCAGACTCGAGCTGGTCTTTCCTCACTCACATTCCTCTCGTCTGTCTCCTCAGCATTGTTGTAGCTCAGTCCAGTTGGATTGTTAGTTGCTGACAGTTTGTAGGCTGGATGGAGGCCAGTTGGGCAATGGCAGGCTGGGTGACTGCTGGCTGGATGCCTGCAGACTCGATGATAGCTGGCTGGGTAGTATCCAATCAGGTAATGGTTGGCTGAGTGGCTTGAAGTTGAGTGCCGGTGAGCTGTGTATCAGCCGGATGGGCAGCAGCAACAGTAGTGGTCTTGGAGGCGCAAAGGCGAGGCTTTGGAGCTGCTGCTGGGGCCTTATTCTAAGTCCAGGGCCAATGTATAATCCGGTCAGTACAAGGATAGGTCATTAGGACAAGCGACAAACCTGGTTTTTACCAGTACTCTTTCAAGGCATAGCAAAATAAGCCACTGTCAGAGGAAAAGACCCAGTTAAAATACCAAGAAGCAGAGAAGAAGTTTGGGGGAATGGAAAGAGCATGGTGGAGAGAGCATCACCTTATATATGGCCTTGCTGTCGGAGTCCTGTGATGAGCATGTTGAATTTTGCTCAACAACAAGATGGCATGACTGACGCGACCGACGTGATGCAGCAACAAACATGGTGTGTGTTTCAGCCTCAGCTCCTCAGAGTTAAGAGTTCCACTACTCTCTAAATTTGACCACCAGCAGCCTCCTCTTTGACAATACATCTTATACACACTCACTTGATGTTCCATGGGTCGAAAATGCTCCAAAGAAGTAATGCTTTCGCTGCCGAGCAGCAAGTCGAAGAGGCGGCCAAGATCAAAGGTGCTCTGTCCACACTGCGACCAGTTAGTTTTCAGCCAAACCTGTATCAACCACATGAAATTGAAGACGGGAACACCTGCCTTATGTGCTGCTGCTGTAACATACTTCACTCAATTTGATGAAGCTACTGCAGATGGAAGCTCTATCAAACCTTCGCAGATCAACACACCTGGCACAGTCCTTCGAGAGCCACTCAGAGTCAGATTTGGCAGAGGAGGAGGAAGAGTTTGTTGAGGTAATGGGAGACCTTCAACTGGATGGCTTGGAGGATAGCTGGAGAGAGCTTGAGCTGGGTGAGAAGGATGAAGATGGTCTATATCTGCATCAGTGGCTGAGTGAAACGTTTGAGTGTGAGCTCATAGAATTTGGTACGCACCAACTGACCCCATGCTGTACCACCTCTACTAAGGCCATGCACAGGCACCCAGCTCAGCTCTAGGGATCAGGCCATTTTTTGGGCGTACGTGTACAAGGTTAAGGCCCGTCTGATGTGTGAAGCATTTGCCATGCTTCCGTGCGCTTTTGATGGTATCATCGATTCCTCTGAGGACAAAGTCAGCTCTCGTGCTGTTTTTCTCTCTGGTCTTGATCCTGTTCTCTATGACTGCTGCCCCCAATTATGCTGCTGCTATGTCGGTCCTCACCGAGACTGCCAAGTATGTCCCTACTGTGGCGAACCATGTTACAATGCTGCTCAGCACCCGCGCAAAACCTTCACCTATATTCCCATCATTCCTCGCCTCTCTGCCATGGTTTGCAACAGTGACAGTGCCATAAAAATGCAGTATCATGCTGGTTTCACATCCTCACCCCCTCTTCATAACCCTCCTGGTCTTATTTGCGAGCAAGAGCGCCAACGAACTGGGCTCGGCAAGCCTGGAATATGCTACTGCCCCAGTGCAGTCAAGAATATCTTTGACGGATGCCAGTACCGAGCATTGCGAAATACTCCTGTTGCCATTGATGGACAAGCACAAGGCCATGCTCACTTCTCTGACTGGCGAGATATTGCCTTGGGTCTTTCGACTGACAGTTTCGCACCGTTCAAGCGGAAGAAGCACATGTGCTGGCCATTAATCCTCTATAACTACAACTTACCACCTGGAGAACGATTCCATCATGAGAACATCATCTGCGCTGGCATCATACCTGGACCAAAGAAGCCTCACGGCTCTGACTCATTTCTTTGGCCACTGGTTGAGGAGTTGGTTCGGTTGGCAGCAGGAGTTCTGGCTATGGACGGAGACTCACTCAGACAGTTTGCACTCCATGTTTATTTGCTTCTGGCTGATGGTGATATTTCTGCTGTTGCTATGCTGATAAGAATGAAGGGCCAGAACGCATAGTCACCATGTTGAATGTGCAACATCAAGGGTGTTCTTAGCCTTCGGGAGGAAGGCAGCAACAAGCGGCGAGTATATTACATCCCCTTTGACCGGTCACGGCATCCATCAGTGCAATCCAAGCCCTTCGCGATCAAGAAATATGTCCCTCTCAACCTCCCACTTTGTAGCCATGCAGAGACTCCTGAGCAGGGTCCCCTTGTTCAAGAGAGCCCAACTGCCGCAGAGGAACAGTGTCGTGCCATGTGATTTGAAGTCAATGGGCTTCCACTTCTTCATGCCCTAAGCTCTATATCTTTCCCCAACTCATTTCCATTCGACTTCATGCATCTTTTCTGGGAGAACATGCTTTCAAAATTGGTGCTGCTTTGGACTGGTGCATTCAAGGGTCTTGATGAAGGCGCAGGATCCTACAAGCTTGATAAGAATGTCTGGAAGGCTATCGGTGCCACAACAGCAAAGTCAGGCTCGACGATCCCATCAGCATATGGCCCACGGCTTTCCAACATCAAGAGTGAACGCCACCTGTATACCGCAGATATGTGGTCCTTTTGGGCTTTGTTCTTGGGGCCATCACTTTTGTGGCAGAAGTTTTCGGACATCAAATATTACAACCATTTTGTTGCACTAGTCGAGCTACTCACTATATGCCTACAATTTGAGCTCACGCAAGATGACATAATGAAGGTGCGGCTCGGCTTTGCTGACTGGGTCGTGAAGTATGAAGAGTATGTTTTGACAACTGACTTGTATCTTCAGATCAGAGCTAACATATGTGCAATGAGCAGGTACTACTATCAGCTTGATCTGGAACGCCTCTGCACTTGTGTACTCACCATTCACGGGCTACTCCATATCTTTGACGATATTGTTGCTCTCGGCCCAAGCTGGATCTATTGGGTGTTTGCAATGGAGCAGTTCTGTGGTCGGCTTCAGCAGAACATTCAAAACTGACAGTTTCCATATGCTAACCTTGCTACATTTGTTGTTGCTGATGCATGCCTAAAGCAGTTGGGACTGAAGTACAACATTGCACAGATGTTATCGCTTAAACCACCAACAAACCGACTGGTGCGCAGATAAGTGTCTGTCAAAGGCTGTACGTATAGCATATTTATCTTGAATATGGCTCATATGCAATTCTTTTTAGATTCAACATATGTACTTTTACTGCTGCATCTGCCAAAGGGCTCCGTTTCTGAGCCCCAGCTGCTGCGCCAAATTTCCCTCTGTCTTGCAACTTGTTTCAATGTCACTCTTTTGATTGCAAAGCACCATGTTAAAGCAAACCGTATCAAGCTGTTTGGCAAGGTCCGGCGGCTCAATGGTGGTGACATGATGTGCACTTTGGAAATGGTGTCCACAAGTGATGACCATCATGATGCTACATACATTCGGGTGAGTTACAGCTGACTAGATATAACTAGTCAATTTATAAGATTGTAATTATCTAACATGGTGTGCATCAGTATCAAATTCTTGAAGACCATAATGCGCGGCACCGAATTCTCGAAGACCATAATGCGTGGCACTGCAATGCGCCCAAAGTCTTTGAGCTCATTTCACACTTCGCACAGCTTGTCAACATCATTGTCGTTCATCTACTGCCCATTACCAACTTCCATCTTGACAAGCCATTCACTCTTGTGCTTGCTGAGGTGCAAACGTGCAAGACCGACACATTCTGCAACACGCTGCTGGGCATATCATGCTACTAGGACCTTGCGCCACCAGAGGTCATTGATGTGACTTGTGTGCAGTGTCTCGTTGGTCAACTGAAGCTCTCGGATGGTGCGCGGCCCATTTGGGCTGTTATCAACTGCAGCGGCGGGCTGGCAAGGGCTGCTTGGGCCGGCGAGAATGCTACATAGTGATTTTCCACAAACGAGAGTCGCATGTGGATATTTACCAGTATCGTATTTAATTTCGCCATGTACTCTACTTAGTTTGGAATCAGCGCTTTCTCCCAGAAATCCACATCGCCAGATCTCACCCACTTTTTGGGCGGTTCGGGACTTTTCGCCGGATGCCATGGCAAAAATACGGGGTTCTGAACTCCATAGTGCGTGGCACAGCCGCACTATGTGGTTTCCAGAGCTCTACGAGAATGGTACCTCTCCAGAGAAAGGAGATGTCGGCTACATACATCAGGAACGTTTCTGACGCCTGTTTAACGTAACCAAGTGTCCGGAAGAACATAGCAAGCGGCCACCCTACAGCTATACTGTACTGAAGTATGATGACAAACTCAACTTCACCATATGGAACGCATTGCAGACAAAAGTCATCAGTAGCCCCGACGTCATGATTGGGCCAAATAGGGTAGTGGGTGACTACATCTCGGCCGCATAAGTGATTTAGTCTCGTTATACGTGCATCAATCATGTGATTATAATTATAGATATCCTACAATAGGATGCGAGTTTGAATTCACAGGAGCAAGTGGAGCTATGCTTCTGCTCACAGACAATGCGGATCTCGACTCTCTCATTCCTAATAGCATTTTCCCCGCATACATGAAGACATTCCACAGCGATTGAGTGAGGCAAGCGAGAGCAAGGGGACTAGACATCAAGGAAAGAGACGTTGTCCTTGTTTGGGGCACTGTAAAGACGACAAGCTGGACAACTGTTGTCTTCCAGAACAATGAGAGGGGGCAGTCCATTGACACCATCTCAGGTACATTCCTGTCCTCAGAGCAGGGTGGTTTCACTTTAGCAGCAAATTCCTGGAATCCGTCATGCGTCCAGTACCGCTCAGAACGGGGGCCCCTTGACGAGTTCTCTAACCAGTGCATCTTCTTGGACTATTATAGAATGGAGGCATTGCTAGGAGTCTCAACACCTAAGGTAATTGCTGTCGAGGACGTCCACTTGAATTGGTGTCTCACCTGGGCTCACTCAGATTGCGAACGTCACAACCTCAGAACCCATTTGGGGTGTCTATGCTGCAGAGCTCTCCTCCACAGGGTTCGGCTATTCCATGTGGTTCCCTGAGCCTTTGGAAGATGGCTCCTCTCCGGAGAAGGGAGACGTCGGCTACATATACCAGGGTCGCTTCAGATGCCTGTTCAATGTAGCCAAGCGTCCAGAAGACCACGCCAAACAGCTGCTGTACAGCTACACTGTACTGGATTACGATAAAAGACTCGACAAAGTTGTGCGGGATGTATTGCAGATGAAGATTATCAGTAGCCAAGGCATCATGACCATGACCGTGCAAGCCAGCGAGAACATATGCAGTCTGTACGTGCTGTTATCACACATTCATATTCAGAGAAATCTCATGCTCTTTGATAGTGCTGGAAGCAATGTGGGATACAGATTTATACCCACAGGTGCGTGGGGAGCTGCACTTCTACTCACAGACAATGCAGACCTCGACTCTCTCATTCCTAACAGTGTCTTCCCACATACATGAAGATGTTCCATAGTGACTGGGTGAAGCAGGCAAGAGCAAATGGTCTAGATGTCAAGGAGCAAGACATCATCCTTGTCCGGGGTACTGTGAAGACATCTGGCTGGACAACTGTGGTCTTTCAGAACACTCAGAAAAACCAGTCTATCAACACCTCGGGTGCAATCTTAGGCATAGCAGCGGTCAGCTACTCTGTATCTCCCAAGACTACACCACCTGCCAGATACTGTTCAGGACCAGCAACCTATGGGAAGTGTCCTCTGTCAGCGGCAGAAGTGGGAGGAGGTTTTGTAATGAGAGACTTGAATCTTACGGTCAGAACAGGGACGAAGAGAGACCAGTGTGTCTTCTTGGATTGCTACAGGGTGGAACCGTCACTGGGAGCCTCAGTGCGCAGGGCCATTGCATTTGGTGGCAATAAGTCTCCAGAGAAAGAAGAAGGTATGGCGCAGGAAAGCGATGACCCTGATATGCCATACATACTAGAGCTTTCGAACGATGTGCGTGTTGCCTTTGATAGACTCTGACACACAGGCTGACCAAAAGCTTAGAACGGTGATGATTCGCTTCAAAGCCTATTGCGTTATATCTTGAATGTCTCTCCAGATCAATTTGCTCAGTGACGTCCAATATGATCTCAGCTTGCACCCTTCATATATCGTAAAGCGCGATAGTCGGATATGTGGACTCGACGGTAGTTTCGTCGCTCGAGAAAACTTTATTCTGAAGGGCTTGAGTATCTGGCTTGTCACAATACTGCAGATGTCCTAACAACAGCTTATGTAAGTGAGAGCAACATGTGGCCATAGCTCAAGAGCTACTGTGCTTGGTAGTAGCAGCTTCCCGCCTGGCGGAAGAACTTTGGTTCGAAGTAAGAAGTATCACTAACAGTGCCGAGCCTGTCATTGATGCGTTCTTATTTCCCCATTTAGAAGCATCGGCCTCTTCACGTATATCCTATGTCCACGCCACGCCCGCCCATCCGCGCTTTGCTCATCGACATCTCTGGCACGCTTCACGTTGGTTCACAGCCCGTCCCAGGAGCAGTCCATGCACTTTCGCTGCTCCGCTACAATCGACTACCCGACGGCTCTCGTATATCTTCGAGCAAGCCCGTCCCGTTCAGGTTCTGCAGCAACACCAGCAAGGAGAGCCGCAATGAGCTTGAGGCACGGCTGCGTGGCATGAGCTTTGAATTGCGCTCGGACACAAGAAATAGTGCAGCAGGGGACGGGCGAGAGATGTGGACGAGCCTCGGCGCCGTGAGCGGCCTGCTGCAGAAGCGAGGGTTGAGAAACCCATTTTGCTTGCTCGAGCCGTCGCCGAAGGACGAGATCTTCCGCGACCTTGGCCCATCCTCAGAGGGTACGTGGGCTTGTGAGCCTCAGTCGAGAATGGTAGTGAGTTGCTAGCAGATTCAGAGTACGACTCGGTCGTCGTTGGTCTCGCGCCATCTCTCCTCACCTACGAGCACCTGAACACCGCCTTCCGCATCCTGCTCTCCTCTAAACCGAAGCCCCTCATTGCGACTCACAGCGCGAAGTACATTCGTGTCGCAGAACCCGACCCGTCCAAGTCGGAGGCCTCTCACGAAACATTGTCCCTTGGGCCTGGGCCGTTCGTCGCCGCCCTCGAGACTGCGACAGGCGCACGGGCTGAAGTCGTCGGCAAGCCCAGCCGCGCGTTCTTTGAAATGGTCATTGCCAGCTTCGGGGAGGATGAGGTATGTTCTGACGGAAAGATTACGATTATAGGAGACGATATCGAGACGGATCTTGGCGGAGGTGCGGTCGAGCTGGGGCTCTGGCGAGTGTTAGGTGAGTGGACCATTTACCCAGCAAGAGTTATGCAGCCTTATGCGCCATGTAGTGCGCACAGGCAAGTATCGTGCTGGAGATGAGAATCGGTCTGGCGTTGTCCCGCCCGACGAAGTGCACGATAGCTTCGCTGCGTTCGTTGAAAGCTTGCTCGGAGGGTCATAGTGGTTCGTCATGGGATTCATGGACCGTAAATCAACAAAGGTACGTTCAGTCGCGTTGACCGTCTTGTTCTTTCTGACATGCTTGGTGCAGTGTAATGTAGAACCTAGATGAGGTGAATAGAACAGTTTTCGTCTCGTACCGCCGGGTAGGTAAGAGTCGTGCACCAACTGCCCTTCAGCGGCAAGGAACGTAATGTTTGGATCTTAGCTCCTTACACGAAATTGCTCTAGTCTGGGGTCGATATTCGCAGAACCTCGAGGTGACAGGTGGTCAACGGGGTACTTGCAGTGTATCGTGGCTTTTTGCAATGTACAGCATTCTCGACTTGTTTTCTCAACATCGATGCTGATGAGCTGCGCTACCTATATGCAGAATGATATGTACGCTACCCTCGCTCGCGCTACTCTGATGCATTGTGGCAGTGACCTCGAGCAAAGCGATGCGGTATAAGGTTTCAGGTACACACGTGTGTCATGTGGTAGAACACCATATCCAGGAAATTAGTATTTGTCGAGCTGGGATTCAGGCTACGCCAGAGGTAGTTGTAGCAGGGGATCATCAGACAAACTTGTGGTGCATTCTCATTGTAATTTACTAACGCTAGCTTGTCCAGATGGTTCCACGGCATCTGACCAGATCGCATCATAGCCTTAGAGGGCCTTCTCCGGGGTACAAGCTTTAAGAAGGCGCTACCAACACAGCACCAGCTATCTAGCTATGGCTTCTTCTGTGTTACTTATCAGGATTCGAAGGCAATTTACGAAGGTCTCGTGGACGTCGTTCTTGATCTTCTTCGCTCAGCCCAGCTCATCGTCAGCATAGTGGGTAGTCGTGCATCCGCTATCTAGGCTCACATACCTCACCATTGATGTTTGAGCCGGACGTATGTCTGTTGTGGGAAACGCCACCGATCGGGTCTTTCGCAAAAAAATGACATCTCGTACCCTCACAGCATGTACAGGTCACTCATTACCCCGCCTGCTTGAACATTCGCACTCTGCGTATACCTTAGAAGGGCAGATTTTCTGTCTATCAGTCTATCTGTGACATCTTAAGTTTACTTCTTTCCGCTATATGAATCGATCGGCTGTGCCCTTTCGTATCGCCACCAATGCTATTCATTCTGGCATCGCATAGCCTGCGCATTATCGAGGGCATCTACTTAAACAGGCGGCTCGCTTTCGCTCAATCGAACCGCGAACGCTATGCCTCCGCCCCCCGTCTGGGACGTCTACGCTGCTGAACTCTCCACTGAAGGACATGGCTACCCTATGTGGTTCCCCGAGCCTTTAGAGGATGGCACCCCTCCGGAGAAAGGAGACGTCGGCTATATATGCGAAGGACGCTTCCGGCGCATGTTCAACATAACCAAGCCACCAAGCGAGCACAGCAAATACAGCTACGAAGTACTGGAGTACGATGAGGAACTCAAGTACACCTTGGCAGACGCGATACAGACGAAGGTCATCTGTAGCCATAGCGTTACAACCAGAGAAGTGCAGGCTAATGTGGGCGCGTAAGTGGTTTAGTCTTGTATTGCGCAGTGCCTTCACTACACGGTATGGTTGCAGAGACGGTACACCAGCTGGCGTCCCCGCAGGTGGGAATGTGAACTACAAGTACACATGCACTCGGGAGAGAGGCGCTATGCTACTGCTCAAAGAGAACGCGCACGAGGATCGCCTCGCCCACAACAACATCTTTCCAACGTACATGAAGAAGCACCACAGCGACTGGGTGAAGCAAATGAGGACGAGAAACTTCGACACCAGAAAGTTGGATATCATTCTGGTCTACGGCACTGTGAAGACGAAGGAGTGGACAGTTGCCGCCTTCCAGAACAACGAGAGGGGACAGTCCGTCGACATCTCGGGCACGTTCCTTTCAGCCGCGCAGGTCGGTTTCACCTTAGCAACAGACTCTCAGGCCGCAGCCTCTGTCAGGTACCGCTCAGGACCCTCAGGACCAACAGCTCCCGAGCGATGTATCCCGTCACCAACACCGTCGCTATCTTTGAGCTCTACTGCCAACCAACTCACGGTCATAGGAGGCTCTACTCCGCCTCTCACGCACACGCGGTCTCGGAGCGTCGAGTCTTCCGCACCGTGCAACCAGTGCATCTTCCTCCCGCACTACAAGATCAAGTCTCGCTTCTTCTTCCGAAAGATCGAGGCCGCCGCAGGACCGCATCGTCTTCCAGATCCCGACCAGGACGATGAGATGGCACCCGCGGTTGTAGTGACAGATGGTGACGGCGAGAGCGGAGACGATGCTGATCATGAGGCTGCAGATGTGAGTACGGCATGGCGCCCTGAAATCTTGTAGCTGACGTAAATTTAGGTTAGCGGCCCTGTTGATATCGTGCTCGACTACATTCTCGAGGTAAATGGTGATCTTTCATGCTAGAAAACTATTGAACACGAAATAGAACTCGGAAGCAGAGGTTGCTGTTGCATGCGATGGCGACGTGAGCTCTCTCTTTGTCGTACGTAGCGTAGCCCTGTCTTGATCCTATCACTGGTTACTTAGCATCTTTCGCCGATAGGGGACTTCAGACCGCCCAGACGATTTCCGGCAGTGGCTCGACATTAATACGCCTAGAATCGTGGTTGAAGACGGACGTACGTCCCGGGTATACCATTTTTGAGACTGTATACTGACCCACAATAACAGTGGGAACGCTTTCTTTGAAGGAGGCTGTCGCGAGAGAGAGAAGGGCGGTGCTCCATAAGATGACGCGGCGGGCCAATCCTCAAATGCAAGGTCCGCAGAATCAGGACGAGGGCGGTGACAATACAATGAGCCATCCCGGGTCACACCGCGCATCCGGCGCCAGGTCCCTCATTGGCGAGGGGCAATGCCTACTGGGCAAGGATATGGCAACCGACGAGTCGTTCGGCTGGCCTCACATGATGCTCTCCGAGGACGACCTCGAGGCCGGCACAATCTCGTCTATCGCTCTCGCACCCGGGGGCGAGTTCGTTGCAACCGGCTCGGACGATAGCGCTGTGCGAGTGTGGAGCGTCAAGACCGGACAGCTCTTCCGGAAGTGGCAAGCCCACGAAGACTCCGTTTGGACGGTCGCATTCTCGCCCAGCGGCACCCAGGTCGCATCGGGCTCCGCCGACGCCTCCATCATCCTCTGGGATCTGCACTCCGCCACGGGCGCCGGCGAGGTTGGGCGGCTCAAAGGGCACGATCTCGATGTCTGGCAGGTCGCCTACAGCCCCGACGGCAGTATGCTCGCATCTGGCGCAGGAGACAACACGGTCATGGTGTGGGATCCCCAGGGACAGGCGCTCCTGCACACGCTTAGGGGACACACGACGCAAATCATACACCTCGCCTTCACAGCCGACAACACGCGAATCGTGTCATGTGCCGAAGCGCGCGGGATCGTATGGGATGCAGTGTCTGGTATGCCAATCGCGGCGCTGGAGGACCATACGGGCTCCATTTGGAGTATGGCTCTGAGCCATGCAGGCGACCGGATTATTACCGGCAGCGAGGACCATACCGCGCGAATATGGGACACGGCGACCGGCCAGGAGCTGGTGCGGATCCACGAACATATGGGCCCAATCTGGGCTGTTGCGTTCTCGCCTGATGATGAGGAGGTCGTGACGGGCTCGTACGACTCGACGCTTGCCACAAATGACTCGTGGAGCGGCGAACGTCGTCAGGTGTTCAGCGAAAATCCCGGGCCCATCGACGCGCTCGCATACTCGAGCAACGGCAAGTTCATCGCGTCCGGCGCAGCCGACGGCAACGTGAAACTTTGGAGCAGGCGCGACGGGAGTATGCTCGCAGAGTTTAGCGGTCATGAGGACAAGTGCAAGAGCGCGACGTTCATTAATGGGAACAAAGATCTACTCACGTCCTCTGATGACAGGTCGTTGCGCGTATGGAGCGTGCAGGACGTATTGCGCCTTGTATAACACTGTAGCTCATTACATGTTTGATTGTCCCTGGTAGCATTTTGTCGTCAGCACTCGAATAATGGTCGCCATGCTCCCCATAATGTTATGTGAAGTGAAGTGGGAACCATTGTGGCAGCTGTACGCGTACTCTGGGCTCGGAGATGGTGGAGCTACGTGTAATAGGACGCACTGTGGCTATATTACTTCCCATGCTATGAAGAAGCGACAAAAAAAAACAAGGCTTATTCTAAATCACATCATTGATGCGCTTTGCTTCCTCTTTTAGAAAGCTCGGCGTTTTCTCACGATCCCGTGCGTCCACCTTTTTCCGTTCACGCTTTGCTCATCGACCTCTCCGTTACGCCCGCTTCGATTCGCAGCCTATTCCGGCGTCGTCCATTCTTGTTCGCATTTCCGCTGCGCTATACTGCTCAATAGCCCTTGGACACCCTCGAGTACGCCCGTCCGATTCAGCTTCCATGGCAGCACCAGCAAGGAGGCCTACGGTCGCAATGAGCTCAAGGCACGGCTACGTGACATGGATCCCGAACCGCACGCAGACACAGGGGATGAAATAGCGGAAGATGTTGGCGAGCTTCTGCGCCGTGAACAGCCTGCTCGAAGAAGAGCGAGATCCTCCGCGACCTTGGGCCATACTTGGGTGGTGTGTAGGCCCCTAGACCCCAATAGAGGACGATGCGGCGAACAATCAACAGATGCAGAGTACGACTCAGTTATCGTCGGCCTCTCCGTTTCCCTACGAGCACTTGGACACACCCCCATCTCACTCTCCTCTCCACCGAGCCTCATATCGCGACTCTGTGCACTATAGGTTCGCGCTGTGGAGTCTGACTCAGCCGAACCTTAAGCCTCTTGATTCCTGGCTGTTCGTTATTGGCCTCGAGACCGCAACAGGCGTGTAGGCTGAAGTCGTTGACAAACCTGGTCCTACATCCTTCGAGACAGTTATTGACAACTGGAGAGCTAAGCGGGAAATGTATGAATATAGGAGATGACATTGAGACAGACTTGGGCGAGATGCAGTTGAGCTGGAGCGCTATAAAATGCTACGTGAGTGCACCGTTCATATGAAAAGGATTACAGAAACTCATAGGCCGCGCAGTGCGCACTTGAAAGAATCATGCTAGTGACAAGGATCGCTCTGGCGTTGTTTCTAGGCGAAGTACATGCTACCTTCGCTGCGTTCGTCAACAGCTCCTTATAACCTAATTTGCAAATCATTATAGCAGAGGTGCGCTCGACATATCGACTAGCTTGATCTTTCTGATACGGCCGACACAGTATGGTGTAGACTTTATTCGAAATGAATGAAATGATTTTGATGTCGCCAGGCTGGATCAGCTCGGACACGTGTAATACGATACCCATGATCAAGGTTTCTTTGTGCGGATCCGCAGAGCTAGGAATTTCGGCTCATCATCGACCAACCAGCTCGATGCACATCTCGACAAACTGGTTGACCAGTATGATGGCATGAGCCTAAAGTGTGGGCCCGTTGACCAGCTGCGCAAGTTAATATTGTGTGCGTCTTCTGATGCTCTCGCGCTCGATCTCTAGATGGAGCTCATCCTACTTGACTCCAATAGCAAAGCATTCTAGCGTCCACCGCAATTGTGGTGCCCTTCTTCCTTGGCGACAAATTGGCGCCATCCTCAGCTCCTCAAGCTCAGCGTTAAACTCATACGGACTCGTGGTCAAAAACTTCGAAGATGCCGTTGAGAATCTGCAGCTTGCGCAAACAGAGCTTTCCCAAAGCTATGCATATGTCCTTGTCATCCACTCACATCCGGCGACTTCGGACGCTCGAAGGAGCATATCAAGTAATCGCATCAAGAAGGACATCTATCCCGAATAGAAGGCCAACCCCGCCCTCTTCGTGCTCGCAATGATCCAAAGCGAGGTACCTGATCAAGTGTGGTCTGTTCTTGCTCTCGAGCACTTGTTTGGTACAGTGGCGGTGATCTTCATCTGCTGTCTAGCTCGCGTGGCTTTGGGGATGTACAGTGTTCTCGACCTCCTTTCTGAACATCGATACTGAGAAGCTGCGCTATCGATGTACAGGACGAGATGTGCAGTGCTTCAGATCGAGCATCTTTGCAATGACCGTGGGCAAATACAAGCCATAACAATGCGGCGCAGCTCTGGTTTAAGGTTCCAGGTACACACGTGTACCGTGCGGTAGAGCGCCGTCTTCAGCAAGCTCACGGCTCTTGTCTTGATATTTATGGCACGCTGGAGGCGGTTGTGGCAGAAACTATACGAGAGACTCATCGTTTGTGGCGGCCAGTTTGTTCAGATGGCTCTGTACAGGCATTCGGCCAGGTCGCGGCAACGCTGGTCCGGAGAAGGTTGGGCGTCGGAACGAGCCGACCCTTGCTGTGCACCTCGAGGACAGGTCCTAGGCTATAAGGATATGCAGTGCCCGGATGTTTCTCCTGGATTGCTCGCCATGAAAGGGTCTCTCCGAAACCTCCCTCCTCCGCCAAGTGAAGTGTACGCGTCGAGCCTCTTCCCAACTAACGAAGGCTACGCACTATGGTACCCCGAGCCACATGAGTCAGGCGAAGTGCAAATCGGCGACGTGGGATACATTGCCGACGGCGCGTTCATCCGGCTATTCAACGTAGCCAATGACAAGGAGCTGAGGATCGCCGGATGGCCCCAAAAGGCGTTCCCCAACCCAGAGCCGCTGTCGAACGACGCCATGCTGCTCGACGTGCGCGAGAGACCGCTCATGCCTGGCCCATATCGCAGCGATGGTGTGGTGGAGACCTCAGGGAATGTCCATCTCAACGTGTGAGCACGCTCGCGACTACTGTACAGCTTTCGCCTGACGCACTTCTAGGACTGGCCCGGGCGGCTCAGGAGGAGGAGTGGACGCCGGCTTTACCTGTCAGCTGAGTCAAGGGGCCGTCCTCATTCTGAATTCTGAGGCGAAGAAGGAGGCCATCCGCGACAACTATCGTATTCGCGACTACGTCCTCAGGCACCACGGGACGTGGTGCAACTACGTCCGCGACGACAGGGACGGGCCGCGTTTGGTCGTTTCCCCCGAAAACATCATCCTTGTCCGTGGTTGGGTGAAGACGTCGGCAAATTGGAAGGCCACCACGTTCTGCAACTCGAAGACAAGGGTTCATGGATCCGTCGACGTCGAAGCTGGGTCGTACGTGAGCGCGGGTGGCGACTACTCCAAGAGCCGTTCCGTCTCGGGCCTGAAGCTCTCGAGAAAAGGAACAGCCTTTGCTTCGTCGACGCAGGTTGAGGACATCGGGTCTGAGAACCAGTGTGTCTTCCTCAGCCGGTACATGATGAAGTACAGACTGGGCCTCTTTCCAAAGTTGCGTGCGGCAGCAGGATATCACCAGCTTCCGGATGACCGCGACGGCAGAAGCGGCAGCGCAGGGGATGGGGTGTCGGCTTTGGATATCATCACGGATGCAGAGGAGCTCGCGGAGTGCAGCGAGAACGTGAGTCCGATCCCGAAATTTCCGGATTCTCGTCCTCAAAATTATTTATTACAGGAGAAAACGCATGGGCCTCTCAGCGATTTACTCGAATACATTCTGGAGGCAAGCGGTCCTACTGCTTACTAAGAAGTCCGCTCCTGACTTCACTTCTTAGGTTACCGATGCGGAGGTTGCAATAGGGTCTGACGATGATATCGAAAGCATCCTTCAAGTAAGCCTCCCTCCGATTGTATATTTTCTCGGCGGTAGATGATGGTGTCGCTGTAGGGTCGGCCCTGGCCAGAAGATATGGCGTCGTTCTTGCGGCAGACGCAACCTACAATTGAGACTAGAGACGGCAGTATGTTCCATCGAATGTCGCGTTGTCGAAACACGCTTATGATTTTCTATCTGTCGCAGTGGGTATGGTTTCTCTGCCGAAAAAGATCGAACAGGAGCGGGAACGTCGGTTCCACAAACGCGACGTCTCGGAGTTAGACAGGGAGGAGTGTCGCGACATTGACTACAAGGCAGCGGGGGCGCTGGTAGATGGGCGCGTTTTACTGGGACCGTCGCAAACCGCGGCTCGCGCCCTAGACTGGAAGCATTTGAAGTTTCAACACGAAGACGCTGAGAACGGCACGATCTCGTGCGTGGCTCTGTGTCCAAACGGAAAGTTGTTTGGAGCAGCTTGGGACGATATCACCGTAATGGTTTGGAGGCTGGAGGACGGCTTAACTGTTCAAAATCTCGGGGATCAAGGACACACGGACACTATCTGGTCGATTGCTTTCTCCCCCGATAGCAAGCATCTCGTTTCAGGGTCTGCGGACGCGGCTGCCATCGTCTGGGACATCAAGACTGGGGACGTCGTACACCGTCTGGAGGGTCATACAGAGGATATCATGGCCGTCGCATACTCCCCCGACGGCAGTTTGATCGCCACCGGCTCCTCGGACTATTACCTCATGATCTGGGATGCGTTCAGTGGAGAGCAGCTTCATATCTTCAAGGAGTTCGGTGCGGACGTTAGGCGCGTCGCTTTCTCCCCCGACGGCTCCCGCCTTGCCGCGTGCTCGGACGTCTCGGTAACGGTCTGGGACCCGCATGCAGGCACCCGCGTCGCGACGCTGCTCGGGCACAACAGCGCGATCTGGTGCATGGCATTCTCGCCCGACGGCGAGCGCATCATGACGGGGTCCGAGGACAGCAGCGCGCGGGTGTGGAACGCGAGCAGCGGCGAGGCGCTTGTCGTGCTGCACGAGCACACGAGCTCGGTCTGGTCCGCGGCGTTCTCGCCCGACGGGAGCGAGGTTGCGACGGCGTCGTACGACGGCACCGTCGTCACGTGCGACTCGTGGACTGGCCAGCGGCGCTTCGTGTTCAGCGATGACGTCGACGCGGTCGTCGAGGCCGTGGCGTACTCGCTCAAGAACGACCTCATTGCGTCCGGGGCGGCGGACGGGCGCGTGCGTGTGTGGAACGCGAAATCCGGCGCGTTCGTTGCGGAGTTCCAGGGGCACGAGGAGATGGTGAAGAATGTGATGTTTACACCTGACGGTTGCAATCTTCTGTCCCATGCGGATGACGGGAGCATACGGTACTGGAGTATTCTTGACACTTTGCGGCTGTCTTAGTAAAGCCCTGACTTTGATGTGGTTCAAACTGTCTGTACCACGCTTCCTCTCATATGGCCTTGTTGCAAGTTTTCTCATTACTGGCCGCATGTTTATGTCAACCAGAGAGCTGCAGCCTGATATATCAGCCAATGCATTAATAACAATATCATGAGACTATTCCTGCTCGAAAGTCTTATGCGCATATCCTCATCACTGGCGGCCTGCACCGAATCTCATCATGTCTTTATCGACCTTCTCCTTCCATCCTTGAAGATGTGACTTCCACTCCTGGAGGTCCGACATGTTTTCTTCAATGCCGGCGACTCTGAGGAGTATCTCCTCTAGCACACTTCGCTCGTTGCTTTTGCCGCGTCGCTTGCGTCGCATTTTAACTCCAGCGGTCGCAGGGACATCTTCTCCGTCCTTGAGATCTTCCGGGATCTGACGGACCGTGAGCTCGATGTGGGACTGACCGGGCTTATTCTTTCGCAGCTGACGTATCATCGACTGAAAGGCCTTCTCGTCTTCTGCAGGCAAGTAGTTTCGCATACTTCTCTCGTATTTGGAGAATCTGTAGTATACGCGATAGTTGCGTGCTTGGTTCTCGAGAAAGCCAGCATTCTGTTGTACGGTACGATCGATGGTGGCGAGGAATATAGCATATGCGGCCGAGGACAGCAGGTCGAAAGTCCAGCTCTTCATGACACGTTTGTGCTTGCTGGGTTTGTTTTGTTCTTCGAGCGTATACCATGATACATGATACTCGATAATATCCTCCGTCACCTCGACTTGAACATAGTGGGTTACAGCAACCGAAAACGGGACAACAGACAATGTTCACCTTTGTCTAAGGCGTCACTGGCGCTAACAGTCGATGCTCTGCTTCCTGATTCTAGCTCTGGCGAAAAAGCCAGTATACCTTCGACGGCTCCGACGCTTGTGGTAGTGCATATACTCGCGGCACGTGCGTCGGCCGCGCTGGAGCGCATATTGCTGGAGTAGACCAGAATGAGTATACTCGATATGAATAGTGAGGAGTCTAGACAAATGACGCACATTTTGTATGTGGATATGGCCGTTGAGGGAGACTACAGAGTGGGTGGAGATGCAGATTGTAGCTGATGTTTGTCGTGCATTCGACATTTAAAGAAAAGAAAAAGAGGTGTATCCCACTGGCAGCGCTCTAGAGGACGACGTGTGAATATTCCCACACATCATATGGGCCCACCGGCCGATATTTGCAGCCATCAGGCATACATGCAGCACCAGGGGACGTAATAAGCTTATTGTGGGAACGAGGAGAGAGAAAGCATCCAGCACAGGCTCTCCGCTTGCCAAATGTGTCCCCCCACGCTGAGGCACGTGACTGACAAGAATGCACTAGCTCGTTATGACATATTCCGGCGCGATAAGAGAAGAGAGCTGGACGTCATATCAAAACTGCGGATGCACCCAAGAAGACCTTCGGTACACTTGGTCCCTGAGGTAAATTTTTCTTGGATCAAACAAGTTTGCGGAACTGCTATTACGTGCTTACCGTTGAAGATGCGGCGCGCATTTATCATTCCGATATTCGGCGACACTAGTTTAAGGGTGGAAATTTGTAAGCAATAGCTCCGCGTGTCCTACGGAGCCATTAATTCAGGTCCTCTCGCGTCAAACTGACACCTCGAAAAAGGGGGCGATCAATAAGGTCTTAAATAGCTGGCATGATTAGTGGATTATTGATCGTAGAGCAAAGCCTAGTAGTGGCGTGGGATATGGCATTGGAAAGCAATAGTCTGGGCGCAGACAGTCAGTATTGTAGAGAGGATACGCGGGAGCGTAGTGATGTGATGCACTAGCAACCTGCGTGCGATCTTGGCCAAAGTGAATCTCGAATTTTTTGCAGAGCGCAGGTAACCCACAGCCTGGGTTCGGGACCGCATCTCGCGCAACAGCTGTAGCGCGGCGCGAGACAAGTCATCGAGGTGACATAAAGCCGCAGCAGCCCAGCGTAGTGTCAGACGCACACAGCATCGCCATGGCAAGAAGTCAACGCGGACATATCGGAAAGAAAGGTGACGCTCGTCGTTCGTCGAGGACTCGTCGGCATCGTGGCGCGGGGCTTGCCGTTTGCATTTCATTGCCTATCTCAGATTATGTAAGCTTAGCTCGCAAAAATCTGCATGGAAAGCCGGAAATTCAAGGAATGGTAGGCTTCGTCCACTCGGCGAAGGCCACCCCTACACGCGAAGCCCGCAGCACAACTTTGTCGCGACCCTAGCGCAGTTACGCCGAAGGGACGTAGATCTCGTGATGTAGGACTGGTGGTCGCTGAGTACTCCAGCTTCGCGATACAGTTGACTCCAGGATGACACACGTGAAGCGAGGACAAAGATTAAGATTATATTCCTGGGGGTCGGGCCCTCCGAAGATAGACCCCGATGTAGCGCTAACAATACAAAATTCATCCATAGACATATCGAGAAAACGGGCAGATCCGCAGCATCCAATCCAGGGAGGGACACACAGCCTTCAGTACGCAGAAACAGCCGCAGCCTGTTGTTCGCTATGCTCGGTGCCGCGGCTCGCGCGCCACGTCTCGGGGCCCTGGCACGACACCGCATCAGTCACCCACACACGCGCAAAAAAACCGGAAAGAGAGAGAGACACGCACCGTGCGGTTCTTGATCCGCTGGTTCTTGATGCGGCGCGCGAACCAGGCGCGCGCGGTCTGGCCCGTCTCGAACTTGGCCGGGTCCGGCGCGGCGCGCACGGCGGCGGCGACGACGGGGCTGAGGTCGGCGAGCGCGCGCAGCTCGGCGGAGTTGTTCGGCCGGCTGAAGAAGACGAGGGACCAGCGCTCGTGGGTGGCCTGCTCCCGGGGCGGGGTCCTGCAGCATGAAGGCCATCAGCGAAGGTGCTTCACGTGAGGAGGGAAAAGGAGGGGCGTACACGACGCGGTGCAGGTTCGAGCGCAGGATGCCGCCGCTGAAGAGCGAGAGGGCGTCGCCGACGTTGCAGATGGCGTGGCCGGGGATGGGCTGTTGACTGTCAGAAGGGTGGCTCTGGTACCCAGGCAGGGCACAGGACGGCTTCGCACCTTGATGTAATACCACTGCTCGGTGCCCGGAGGATACACTTGGAGGCCGCCAAGCCTGTTGTGCAGGAAAGACTGGCCCGTCTGGTCAGCGTGCGGCAGCGTGTACAGAGGAAGGAGAAACGCACGAGGGACCCAAAGTCCGTGTGCGCGCCGATGGCCTGCCTGTCGGAGGCCATCTCGCGTGCGGGCGGATTCTTGATGCAGCGCGACTCGCTGCAGCTGTTCACAGTGTCGAGGTGGAGCTTCGCGAGGGTGCCCTTGGGGAAGCCGAGCTTGTCGTTGAACGCGGCCATGAGCGTGTTGTTGATGTCGACCGACTTGCGGATGAAGGGCGTGACGGTGTTCGGCATGCGTGCGTTGACCGTGGACGGGTACGTGCGGTGGACGGCCGTCGGGTACGCGAGCGCGTCGTCCTTCGAGATGTTGATGAACTCGACGGTGTCGAGCTGGCCGGACTCGTCGACCGCGTTCGCGCCTGCGGCCTTGTATCTGGAACGTGGAGTGAGGCCGCGGCGAGGATGGCATGGCGGGTGCACTCACCCGAAGGAGACGCCGTCGTCACCCTGCTCGAACTTCATCTTCTCTTCCATGGGCAGACGCATGGTTTCGGCGCCCATCTCGAACATGCTGTCAGCTTCTTCGTCGACGCCGTGGTTCCTGAGACTGCAAAGCCGCATCAGAGCTCAAAGCACAGATGCGAACAGACGCGACGCTTGACGTACTACCAGAAGCCCAACTTCGTCGCCGCTTCCCACAGCTTGTCCATCTCCTGCTGGTCGCCCTTCTTGATAAGCTCATAGTCGACGACGAGCAAGGGGTGCGTCGGGACGTCTTCAGGGAAGGGAGGAAGAGCGACGGCCATGACGGTGGAGAAATAGCAGTGTTCAGGGTTAACCGGAAGCGCGAAGGTCCGAGCACCCTTATATAAGGCCAGGCGGGGCCGCGGCGCGGGGCGCAGTGGTTGTTCCCATGACCCAGCGGCTGCCGATGAGAAGGTGCCGCTCGCCTCCTGAACGTGAACTCGAGACTTGTCGCGCAGGCTTGTCGTCAGGCATCGCTTGTAAGTAGGGTGCTGGTCGATCGCGTCCAGTTTCGGTGGCGCGCGTTTCACCGCCGACGGATCCTATGCTGGGCGAAAGGCGCGTCGGGGACCGTGGCGGCGGGGTACCCCAGTTTGGACGGTCAGACAGAGAAGCCGTCATCGGGCTTGTCGGAAGCGGCAAGGTTCATAAGACAGCAGCACGCATGTTGACTTGTAGAAGCCAAGGCTCCGCGGCTCTAGAGTCCACAATTCGCCTGCAGGAACGCGCCGAGAAGCCCGTGACGCGCTGGCAGGATGGTGATAAATTGCAGAAGATCCTGATAGTCATGGCCAAAATCTGCAACTGAGACCGGCGACACGGTGAACTTGCTGAAACAGTGAGGAAGAGGAGAGAAGGGGCTGGGACAGTATTGAGCCGGCGGTGTTAATTGGCGCACGGCGGCACCGGGGTGACGGATCAAATGGCTCGCTCAACACGGATCAAGATTAGGCGCACCATTTGATGCGACCTCGTACCTTCACATGTCGCATCGACGTTCTCCTTGAGCAGACAATATTGCCTTAAATGACCAAATTAGAGGATATCAGCTGGGATAGTTTTGCGCAAATATAACCATTTCTTCTCGCCGCTCCCGTCACGTCCTTCACGTCCTGGAGCAGCGCACACGAGATAGAGGTATTTGGGTTTTGAGAGGTGGAGGCGGCTTGCACAAAAGGTGTCATTGCTCCCTTCACACGCGCAGGAAATGTATGGGGGAGAGAATTGCAATGATCGTCGTAGCTGACGACCTCTATTTTCAAAACGATGGTAGGGCACGGCCGCACCCGGTGGCATTACGAGAACTTGGGGGACGCAGCCATCACGAACACGAACAGCATTGCTCGCCCATCTGCAGGAACGGTTGGCAGAGAGATCCGGTCCGACAGCGCCATCACGCAAGATGCAGCGCGAACCGGGGCTGTCTTGATCCCAACAGCCGTTTTATCGCGTCCCATCGCGTCTTCTCAGATGGACGAGCCAGGGCCTGCAGAACAGATGGGGTGATACGCATCATTCGAAAGCGCGGGTTGCGCGGCCAGGGGGGCAACGGCGATCAGAACGTTGCTGTGAGCCCCACGCCGGCATCCGCCTAGCATAACCTCAGGTACATTACAGGGCCTAATAGATACAGCGTGATTGTCAAGGGCGAAGGAGAAGAGGAGGTATCCTGTCCGAACAAAAAAAAAATGTCTAGAAATCCGGGTCGGGCGAACTGGGGCCATCCGGATGCGCCGAACGAAATAATGCGGGTGCCCCGCCAGTGGGCCAGCCGCGCTCAACACGGACCTCTCTTTCTCTTTCTCTACCGCTCCCACGGGACAAATCAGCGCCGCCTCCGCTTCTCGGACGAACGTGAATGTCGTCCGCGGCGGGTCGCGCGCTGCCGCGCGTCGGAGGAGGAGTCGGCGGGCGCAGGGCTGCCCGCCATCGGGTCATCGTCGTCAGTGCCCTCTGCGTCTCCCCGCGGGGCGTCCCCGGCGCGCTCGCCCGCCTGCGCCGCGGCGGCGGCGGCGGCGGCACCGGGGGGAGGCTCGAAGCCGGGGACGAGCGGCGTCCAGGACGCAGCGTGCTCGCCGGCGAGGAAGACGGTGGACATCGGGTCCATGGGCACGCACGGCGTCGTCGCTGCGGCAGTGTCTGCGTGCGCGCCGTGCGTGCGCAGGTGGCGCGTCAGGTTCGACTTGATCGTGTACCGGCGGCCGCAGCCCTGCACGGGGCACGGGTACGCTGTTGGGCGCGTCAGAGAGAGAGAGCGCGGGTCTGAGGGGAGGGCGGAGAGGCGCAAACGCAAAAACGCAAAAACGCACCTTTGATGTCCGTGTGCGAGACCATGTGCGTCTTGAGCGCGCTCGGCCTGGGAAAAAAAAAGGAGATTATGGGCTGCGTCAGCGTGAGGGCGCGGGAACAACAGCAACAGCGGAACGCGCAGAGTGCTGACCTCGAGAAGCGTTTGCCGCATTTTGGGCAGATGTACCGTTTCGGCCTGCGCGGGGGCACGCTGGGCGCGGGGGTCGCGCTGTACGGCTCGGGGGCGTTGGCGTTGGCGTGCCCAGAGGAGATCCTGCTCGGCCCGGGGGTGGGAGGAACGTCCACGGGGGAAGTGCCGGACAGTCTATCAGCGGGACAAGCCGCTGGCAGCGGACCTGGCCGATGGCGTGTGCTGTCGTCGATGGGACGTGCACGGGAGAAGCCTGCGTGGGTGTTGGGCGGGTCGTGTGAGGCGGGCACAGGCGGCGTCGAGGTGCTGGGGCCGCCAAGCTCGGATTCCGCGCGCACGACGTCCTGGAAACATAACGTTAGCCTGGGTTCGTCCTGCAGCTGCCGAATAGCCTACCGTGTCTTGTCGGGAGAACCGAAACGCGGCGTCGCCAGCAGTTATAGTCCCCGGGCGATGGGACATGTAGGGTTCGTTCCGACGAAGCTGCAGGTGCAACAAGCATGCGCTGTGAGCGGACCACCCTTTATGGCCGAAGAAGGACTGTTAAGCTTACCGTTGGGAGGCCAATGCCGTACGCGCCTTCTGAATGATGCGATGGGAGCTGCGACCCCGACGCCACCGGAGCGGGGGGTCCGCGCAGCGGATGCGTCCGCCGCCTGTGCGGCAGACGAGGAGGGCTGGCCAGCTGAGGGCGCGCGTCGTCAGTCGTCGCATTGGGGTAGCGTGCGGGGCTGCACTCACCGGCGGTAGATCGCGGGCGTCCTCGCGGGCGAGGCCGCGATCTGCAGGCGTCTGGGAGGCGCCGTCGGTTTGGGTTTGATCCGCTGGAAAAATGTCTGGGCGTTTGTTTGCTCAGCCTTGGGCTGGAGGGGCGGGAGAGGCGGGGCAGGGACTCACCAGGGAAGACGTCGCGGATGGGGGGCAGGGTGGGCTTGTCGTGCTTGTCTGGAGCAGACATGGTGCATGATACAACAAGGGGCAGGACGCTCTTGGGATGAGAGGAAAGCCGGGCGGGCCCTGGGAGGCTGCGGCGTATAAGTACGCATTGCCCTGGGCGAGCCGTAGATGATGATTTCAAGCCCCGTTGCGATGACGATTCCGTGACCGGCGAGGGCGCATCCGAGCGGAAGGCAGCAAAGCGACATCGAGGAGCCAGTTACGGGGAACGAGGGGGCCCTGCGCAGCCCCGCGAACCTGAGCGCAGTCAGACGAGCAACGCGCACGCTTCGGGCACAGATGCAGCGTCCGGAGATGACAGGTGCGGAATGCTGCCAGCCCGAGGCGACATGCATTTGCGGCCGGGGTGGATGGCATTGCGGACGTGCGGAACTGTCCAAGCACCGACAAGCAAGGAACTCGGCGCTTGGCGCTGCCACGCGACTCGGTCCCATCAAACTTTGGATAAGAACGGAATCCGCCGGGTCTGAGCAGTGCAGATGCTAATCTCACATCCGCGTCGTGAATACACTGACACAGATTGCAGCCCTCCCTCTCCAGAGCAATCACGATCCAAGCGATGGTCGGAGTCCGACAGTGACTCCTGTGGCTAAACGGTGCCGTACATGGTGTACACTGGATTCGTAAGCTGAGAGGCCCCAGCTCACCACACTCCCGATTGCGGAGGTTGCTTGACCTGCTATACAACGCGTGATATATCCGGCGTAGATCTCTAGAAAACAACATTCAGCTCGCGGAAGGCGATACAGAGTCCTAGGTATGTACCTTCAAGCCCCAACCTTGAGGAGCAAATGAGCGAGTGGATCGGGCGGTGCTGGCTGATCGCACAATACGAATGCAGTGACTACCGCGTCCTGTGCACAAAAAAAATGTCCAGTTGTCTGCCAACCCCGACGCTGCTTACGCTCGAGGAGTCAACGTCGAGTCTGTGGCAGTGTAATTGGCTTTGATGAAGGCGTAACCAGGTCTGGCATGGCCGGCCACAGCACCGCCAGGAGTGCGGACATGACCTGGAAGAGGGATGCTTCAAAGGCAATCAGACGGCAAGTGGAAGATCAGCCACAAGAGTCGGTAGTACATACTTCCCAGTTGTCGCAGTGCACCTGGACTACCTGAACCCGAGGAGAAGCTACAAGTTGCCACCGCAGCAAGCTGCGCCTGCTGATTGAATGAGAAAAACGCTAACATGCTCGTCGTCGGCTGGTCGACACATTAACACTATGCGGTTCCGGGGCGAACAGTAAACTGGCAGTGCCGCGCCGGGGTTGTGACTAGTAAGCGGCAACATGACGCCAGACGTAATGCGAGCCCCCTGCATCTTGCACTGCATGAGCACATCTGCTCGAGTGTGTGCGACAAGATGTGTTGGCTCGGCGGATGAGGCCCGGGTGCCCAGCAGGAGGAAGACGACGGGAGGAAGTAACGACCGGTTGGTTTCCCAGAGACGGACGGTTACGGAGATGCCGGTGTTAGGCGCCCTACGCTCTCCGGTGCGCCACCAGGGACTCTGATGGCATCTGGCTCTTACCGCGGCCTAGTGTCCTAGGAGCGCAGCACGATCTCTAAGCGCCTTCACTTTCTACATGACAGTAGCTGCGCCTGAAAGAGTAGCTGCGGTGACCACAGTGTGTCGCTAAACGGCTTCCAAAACTTGATGGGCAACCCGCAAGGGCTTCATAAAACAGTACACGAAGCTGGGAACGGCCAGGTTTCTATTCTACCAGCTGCGGATCAGCCCTCTGACGGGCTGTTCCTATGCTGGGCTCGACTCATGGTCTTGATACGCAGTGCTCAGAGTCCCGAGTAACTCTTGACGAGGCTCTAGGTCACGAAATCGGCTAATTCTCGGCGTGCTGTACACGGTGACGCTTGCGGTAAGGCGCGGACCGCTGCTTCCTGGCTTCCTGGGCTGATGATATCCCAGGACGGCGAATCAGCTTCTCTGCCGGACATCTCTGCGCGTGTACGGAGCTGTCAGCTGACCGCCATCGTCGTCGACATCGACCACCCGTCGGGATTCTCTCTCCACCACGCCCCCGTCGAAGCATATGGGCATTACGCCGACTGCCATCCTCGTGTCCCGTCCTAGACGCGTCCTTGTCATCTGTGCACCGTCCTGACCGACACTTCGCACCCCATGCTTCATATATCTCGGAGCCAGTCCTTGCCGGACTGACTGACCTGGCGTGGAGACGAGATCATGTTCAGCATGGCCGGACTTATCCTGGCCTACGCGGCGCTGTTCAGCTGCCAGCATGCGTTCATGGCCTCTGCCTCCCATCTCGACGCCCGCAGCGACCTGCACTTCCCGCTTCATGCCAGAGGGACGAACACGGATGGTTCGGTCCCCGTGTACAAGGACCCCGACGCGTCCATCGAGGACCGCATCAACGACCTGCTGCCGCGGATGACGTTGGAGGAGAAGGTGTCGCAGCTGTACGTGGGGCCCTGCACTCTCCACGAGAACCCCCCTCCGCCTTGCTGACGTTGACGCCGCTGCGGGGCAATGCAGGATCCAGGGCGACATCGACGGCTGGATGAACATGACGGACCCGCTCGACGACACGCTCGCCTTCAACGCGACCGGGCTCGCGCAGACGATGGCGCAGATGGGCGGCGCGATCTGGGCGGGGTACCTCGCGCCGTGGGACAAGATCGTGTTCGCGATCACCGTCGGGCAGCGGTACCTCATGGAGAACACCACGCTCGGCATCCCGGCCGTGTTCCAGACCGAAGGTGCGTAGTGCTGCTGCTGGGGAGCAGAGCGGAGGCTCGCGTGGTGCTGCCGAGACTGAGGGCCGCGTTTTTTTTTTTTTTGACCCAAGGGCTGCATGGCTTCACGGACAACGGCACCATCTGGCCGTCGCCCATCGGCCTCGCCGCGTCGTTCAACCCCGGCCTGCTCCAGCAGGCCGCCGCGACGATCGCAACCGAAGCAGAAGGGCTCGGGTACGGCCAGGCGTTTGCACCGGTGCTCGACCTCTCTCGCGAGCTGCGATGGGGACGGGTCGAGGAGAACTACGGCGAAGACCCGTTCCTGTGAGTCGTTGCGTTTTCCTGTCTGCAGAACGCTGATGGACACGGCCGGCTGGGCAGGACGGGGGAGATGGGCAACGCGTACGTTACCGGCCTCCAGACGGGACGCAGACGCAACACGAGCTCGACTGCCGTGGCGCGCATGGCCGCCACTTGCAAGCACTTTGCTGCCTTTGGAAGCCCGCAGGGTGGCTTGTGAGTCGTCAGAAATACCCACGTTCTGCCGAGCATTTAACTCCAAGGCAGGAACATCGCTCAGGTCTCTGGCGGAGAGCGAGAACTCCGCACCATGTACCTGAAGCCTTTCAACCGCGCCTGCGTGAACAGCTTGTCGATCATGACTGCGTACTCCAGCTACGACGGCATACCAGCCACGGCGAACACACGTACGTGTCCAGTTCCGCCTATGTGACCGCTGCTGATTTTGAACTTTGGCGGCAGATCTTCTCACCGATATAGCAAGTGTTTAGACAATTTCGTCTCTGAATCTTGGTTTGACATCCCGACAGCTTCGCAACGAATGGGGCTACCAGTACTTTGTGACGTCCGACGCCGGATCTCTCGACCTGCTGATTACGACGCACGGCACCTGTGCCGATCGAGAGTGCGCCGCAAGAACAGGCGTGGAGAACTACAGCGGCGAGATGGGTGGCGGCTCATACACATACCTCACTCTTCCTGGTAGTGCCTCATTTGACTGTCCCTTGTTCCCATTCTGACAGCCAGATCAGATCAGGTCAGAGCGGGAAACATCAGCGTCAGCTACATTGACGACACTGTGAAGACCATCCTCCGCACAAAGTTCTCCCTGGGCTTGTTTGAGAGTGCGTCGCCTATGACTACCCCGATTCCCCTATTCACAAAATCACACAGACCCGTACCCGTATGATGACTACCGGGAGACGCTGCGCACCTCGCAGACGAGGGAACTGTTGCATCAGATGGAACAGGAGACGATTGTACTCTTGGAGAATCACAACAACATTCTGCCTCTAAGCAAGGACATCAGTTCCGTCGCACTGATAGGACCTCAAGCCGACCGTGTCACGGTGCGCAGCCCCGGGTGTCATGCATTCTGCCGCAACTGAGACAGCGATCCGCGCCAGTTCGGAGACTACGTCTTCTTCAACGCCTCGTTGAACGGCATCAGCCCGCTCGCCGGCTTCACGCAGCTGCTCGCCAACAGCTCGGTGCAGATCAACTATGCCGAGGGCTGCGAGCTCTGGTCGAACGACGAGTCGGGCTTCGCCGCCGCCGTCGCTGCCGCGGAGCAGTCCGACGTCGCGGTTGTCATGGTCGGCACCTGGTCCCTCGACCAGACGCTGCTCTGGACGCCGGGCACGAACGCGACGACGGGCGAGCACGTCGACCTCTCCGACCTCGGCCTCGTCGGCGCGCAGCTCGCGCTCGTGCAGGCCGTCAAGGCCGCCGGCAAGCCGACCGTCGTCGTGCTCGTGAGCGGCAAGCCGGTCGCGGAGCCGTGGATCCAGACCCGTACGTGTGCCGCGCGCCCCTCCCTTTGTCTTCCTCCTGTCGGCGTGTGCTGAGTTGCAGTGAACAGACGCGGACGCGGTCATCCAGCAGTTCTACCCGGGCGAACTCGGCGGGCTCGCACTTGCGGAGGTCGTGTTTGGCGACGTCAACCCATCAGGTGCGGCACACCACTGACTGTGCGGTCCCGATGCAGCACAAGCTTCCGGTACTAACAACGACTTTTTCGCAGGAAAGTTACCGGTGTCGTTCCCGCACAGCGTCGGGACCACGCCGGTGTTCTACAATTACATCAAGGGCAGTCGGCCCGTTGATCCGGGCATGGTGTTCGACGATGGAACGCTGCTGTTCGGGCATCAGGTGCGTCATCTGCCTGGTGTGGCACGCCGGCAACTGTGACTCAAAGGCGTTTGTTGGTTGGTTGGTGCAGTACGTCCTAGACACCCCGGTACCGCTGTGGAGCTTCGGGCACGGCCTCAGCTATACTACATTCAACTAGTCAGTCGTGCCTCTCGCCGGTGTTTGGCGGTGCTGACTTCTTTTTCCGAATACAGCACCGATTTGCAGCTGTCGAACAACCTCGTAAGCACCAGCGACAACTTTACCGTGTCTGTGACAGTGCACAACACCGGCAGCGTCGACGGCAAGGAGGTTGTACAGGTGGGTTCTCCATTGCAACAAGGCGCACCCTACTTTTGTGACTGACGATGGGCGACAGGTGTACGCGACTGATCTTGTCAGTTCGGTCGCCACGCCAAACCAGCAACTGGTCGGTTTTCAGAAGGTCGACCTCCCGTGAGTCACCCAGCCCACTTTCCCAAATGAGACTTATGCTGACTTCCCCGCAGCGCTGGTTCTTCACAGACGGTCAGCATCCCCGTTTCGTTGGAGCAGCTGGCGGTGTGGAACGTCAAAAACACATGGGCAGTCGAACCTGGGCAGTTCCTCATCAAAGTGGGAACGAGCGACCAGTCATTCTTGAGCATGAATTTGACTGTGACTTAGTTTGCAAACGAATACATTCCTAACTACTGCTTTATAACATCCACGAGCCCGTGCGATCAGTGTACATTGGTGTGCGTGCAAAAAGAGACGAGAATATACGATAAAATATCAAATGAGACGTAATACGTCCCGGACGCTCCACATACGCAGTGACCCGTCGTCAGACGACGTGAGGAGGTCCCTGTTCCCGTTGATGAACTTCGCGCTCTTGCACTTGTCTCCATGTCCGCGAAACTCTGCGAGCATGCTCCCGTCGTGCCTATTCCACAGCTTGACAATGCCATCCGCCGCGCCGGATGCGATGAATTTGCCATCGCTCGAGTACGCAGCCGAGTCGATGACCATTGAGGGCTGGCTGAACACCTGGTGGCGCTCGCCGCTCCACGAGTCGTTCGTCGTCAGCGTTGCGTCGTACGAGCCCGTCACGACCTCGCTGTCGTCTGGCGAGAACGACACAGCCCAGATCGGGCCCGTGTGCTCGTGGATCCCCACCAGCTCCTGACCGGTGTTCGTGTCCCAGATCCGTGCGCTGTGGTCCTCGCTGCCGGTGATGACACGGTCGCCCGCGTGGCTCATCGCCATGCTCCAGATTCCGCCGGTGTGCCCGTCGAGCGTCGCGAGCAACTCGCCAGAGTCGGCATCCCATATGATCCCGTGCGAGTCGCCGCACGACACAATCCGCTCGCTGTCACCTGTGAATGCGACGAACATGACTTGCGCCTTGTGTCCCCGGAGCGTGAGCAGGAGTCGCTTCTCCCGCGGGTCCCACACTCTAACGGTGCTGTCCACGGAGCCAGACGCGAGCTTGCTGCCGTTGGGGCTGTAGGCGACATGCCAGACATCGAGCTCGTGCCCCTCGAGCCGTCCGACTTCGCCGTCTTCGTGGAGGGAGTGCGGGTCCCAGAGGATGATGAGCCTGTCGCCGGAGGCCGATGCGACCTGGGTGCCGCTGGGCGAGAAGGCGACGGACCAGACGTTGTCGTCGTGGGTCTGCCACTTCTGGATGAGCTGCCCGGTCTTGACGTTCCACACTCGTACGGTGCTGTCGTCAGAGCCCGTCGCGAGGAGCTCGCCCCCGGGAGCCCACGAGACAGATGTAATGGCGCCGCCCTCAAGGTCGTCATCGGAGAGCAACATGTGCGGCCAATCAAACTCGTCGCCGCCAATCGCCGCGTCCCTGCCCAGCAAGCACTGGCCTCCGCCAACGAGGTCCTTGATGTGGAACGCGCGAGGTGCATCGGGCTGACCACCTCCATCGCCGTCGCCATCGCCGTCGCCATCGCCATCGCCGTTATTGCCCTGGTTGTCCGCGCCTTCTGCTTGAGCATTCGCTTGCCGCATCATTTTGCGGAGGATGGCCTTTCTCTCTCGTGCGACGGCATTCTTCAGGGAAAGCGTCCCCACTGGCGACATTGTCAGTATCAGACTCTGCGAATCACAGAAGAGAAACGTACGGCCGTCTTCAACCACAATCTCCGGCGTGTTGAGAACCAACCATTGTCGGAGATCATCTGGGCTATCATGAGAACCCTGCTAGCAATGATGCTAAGTAAATTATAATGTAATCACGAAAGGACTGCGTCACGTACAGCAAAAAGAGCGCTCACGTCACGTTCACACGCAATAGCAACTTCTGCATTCGAATTCTGCTCGGTGCTCAGTAAATTCCTTAGCCTCAAAAGACTGCATTTACCGCGATGATATAGTCGAGCACGATATCGACAGGGCCGCTAACCTGAACCCAGGTCAGCTATGAAAAGGGCCTGGAGTAGTCTGTCATACTCACATCTGCGACCGCAGGCTCAGCGTCATCCCCGCTTCCGTCGTCGTCATCTGCCACAACGATTGGGACCGCAGGTGTCATCTCATCATCCTGGTCGGGATCCGGTAGACGGTGAGGCCCGGCGGCGGCCTCGATCTTTCGCGGAAAGAGGTGGAAGGGGACGATGCGATACTTGATCTTGTAGTGCGGGAGGAAAATGCACTGGTTGTACTGCGTATTCTTCGTACTTGCGTGAGACTCGACGCTCCGAGATCGAGTATGCGTGAGAGAGAGAGAAGACTCCCCAATGGCCGCGAGCTGATTGGCAGTAGAGCTCAAGGATAGAGGCGATGGCGCTGGTGACGGGGTACGCCCCTCGGGAGCCGTCGGTCCTGAGCGGTATTCGACCGATGATGCGGACTTGGAGTTCCCGGCTAAAGTGAATCCTGCCTGTCCTACGGATAGGAAGGTGCCCGAGATGTCAATAGACTGTCCTTTCTCGTTGTTCTGGAAGGCGGCAACAGTCCAGCTCGTCGTCTGCACAGTACCACGGACAAGGATGATGTCTAGCTCTTTGATGTCCAGTCCCTTCATCTTCGCCTGCTTCACCCAGTCGCTGTGGTGCTTCTTCATGTACGTGGTGAAAGTGTTGTTGGGAACGAGCGAGTCGAGGTCGGCGTGGTCCGTCAGTAGCAACATGGCACCTCTCTCCCGCGTGCACGTATATTCGTAATTCACGCTTCCACCTGCAGGTACGCCGGCCGATGTAGCATCTCTGCAATCATAATCATGTAGTGAAGGCACGTACAGCAAGCCTAGGCTACTCACACGCCCACATTGGATTGCACCTCTCTAGTCTTGACACTATGGCTGCAAAGGACCTTCGTCTGCAAAGCGTCTCGCACGACATCGTTGAGTTCTGCATCGTAGTTTACAGGCGTGTAGTTGTATTTAGCGTGCTCTCCCGGAGGCTTGGTTGCGTTAAAAAGGCGGCGGAAGCGCCCCTGGTATATGTAGCCGACATCTCCCTTCTCCGGAACGATGCCGTCGTCGAGGGGTTCGGGGAACCACAGAGGATAACCATGTCCTCTGGAAGAGAGCTCTGCAGCGTAGACGTCCCAGACAGGAGGCGGGGCCATGGAAGTTGCAGTTTGAGCGAGTGGAGGCGAGCTGCTGATTTATGTAGACGTCCTAGGCAATGCGAAGACCGAGCGACGCCGAAAGAGAACAAAGATAGTGACAATACGCGACGACGCCATCAATCGATTTATACAGCGGGATTGAGTAAACCTAAGATGTCATAGATAATAAGGATGCCTATCCGCCCAGGGCTTGCGCAGGATGCAAAGGTCGGAGTGTCGAGGGCGATGAGCGACCTGTGCAGGTTGCGAACATGGCGGCAGTGCTCCAAGATATCTTTTCTGCCCGCGCCGCAGCTCGCCCGCTGCTCGCGGAATAGGATGGGAACCGCGGACCTAAAGTGGTGCAAGTCAGCGTTACGGTCTTGGCCATACCCGGTATCACAGAATGTTCTCGCCTTCGAAGCGGCTCGCCAGCCTATTGCCCGTATTTCTGCAGAAATCCTGGTCGGCGGCGCTTCCAATAGACATACATCCAGCTGAAACACGGATAGTGAAGTTTGTGGCCTAGGTCCCGGACATGCGAAGAGGATATCTGTTGTGTTGAAGATGACTTGAAACAAGCGAGAGGAGAAGAAACGATGACTGCAAGACCATACGTAGACTGCTTTCGGGCCCTGACACGCGTAGAATCTGGTTTGTTGGCAATAGCAGAGCTAGCAGTGCGCACACCGTCTTGGTGAAGCTTATACGTCTGTTATGTCCTTAGGGAAGACCTCTGTGGCCCGTGAGGGCTCAGCACAGCAATAATACGAGGGCAGCCAGTACCACAGCTTTCAAGCTTGCTTGCTGCGGCTGAGTAGAGACATTGTGGCAGTTGTGATGTGACGGAAAGCGACATGGTTAAACGGGCACTGCTCGGGATAGCTCAATCAAGACAGGCGGGTCACTGACTTGGACGGCGCATCATTTCCATATTTAGCAAGATACCGACAGAGATCTAATCGTGCATTTATTGATGACATAAACCAAGCAGCATAGGGGCTCTCAAACCAGTAGAACAGGTATCGCAGAAGCATTTACAATCTCAGCGCGTCCACCATACTCCAGATGCGCACGGTCCCGTCGTCGCTTGACGTCACGATGCGCTGGTCGTCCGACATGAATTCGACGGTCTTCACTTTGTCTTCGTGTCCCTGGAACTCCGCGACGAGCGCATTCTCAACGGGGTCCCACACACGCACGCGACCATCGGCGTGGCCACATACAAGCAGGTCCCCGGCCTTGCTGTATGCGACGATGTTCACGATCGATGCCGGGTCACGCTCGAGGAGGTGCCGGCGCTCGCCGGTCCACGAGTCGCAGATAACGACGGAGGCATCGAAGCTCCCGCTAGCGACGTCAGCTCCGTCGGGACTGAATACCGCACTCCAGACGGGCCCGGTGTGTTCGTTGATCGTCACGAGCTCCTGGCCCGACTCCGCGTCCCAAACGCGGCTGCTCTGGTCCTCAGCACCGCTCACGAGCCGCATACCGTCTGCGCTCCAGGCCAGCGTCCATAGCACGGACCCGTGCCCACCGAGCCGCGCGATCCGCCTCCGTTGCGCGACGTTCCACAGGATGCCAGTGCTGTCCGAGCACGATGCGAGCTGCGTGCCGTCGGGCGAGAATGCGAGGCACATGACGACCGCGTTATGGCCCTCAAGCGTCCCGAGCCAGTGCCCCTCGCGCGCGTCCCAGAGGCGCACCGTCGTGTCAACACTCCCGGTCGCGATGATCGTGCCGTCGGGCGAGTACGCAAGTAGCCAGACGTCGCCCGTGTGCCCGGCCATCTCGGCGATGAGCTCGCGCGTGTGCATGTTCCAGAGGAATGCCTTCTGGTCTGCGCCGCCGCTCACGAGGCGCGAGCCGTCGGGCGAGAATGCGACGGCCCAGACCGTATCTTGGTGCTGCTCGAGCTTGCTCGTGAGTGTACCGAGGCTGAGGTCGTATATCCGCACCGCGCAATCTTCGCAACCCGTGGCGATGAAGCGGTCGTTCTTAGTGACCGACACGCTCGTGACGCTCCCGGTGTCGGCAGACGGGTCGTTGAGGACGACATGAGGGAAATCCGTGATGCGTTTGCCGCCGTACGGGCTCTCAACCAGGATCTTGCTCTCGGCTATGATACACGTGCCAGTCAGCCGCTCCTCGGGGATGTCTGGTATGAGCAAGCCGCGGTGCTGGTCGGTGGGCGGGGGAGGCGATGGTGGTGCAGGTGATGCGCCTTCAGCGGTGGCAACCCGATTTTCGGCGGCAGCCTCGGCGGTCTCAGCAACAGAGGCGGGACCTTCTACGTCCATGGGAGTAGACGCTCCCTGCTGTTCGGCGCTTGCAGCATTTTCGACTTGCTGGACTCCGACTTGCAGTGCAGTGCCTTGCGGAACAGCTTCCGCTCTATCTTCTGCCGAGAGGCCCGAGCTGCCCTGCTGGAACTCTTGCTGCTGCTGTTGCTGCTGCTCTACCTCGCGCGCTATACGTTCTGCAGCTGCATGTTCCTCCGCCTCCTGCTGCATAGCGACGAGCGCAGCATGTCGCACTTCCCAATCGGCTTGTGCGGCGACCTCCTGATCCTTCTGTACAGCAGCATGTGCGCGTCGAATAGACTCAAGGTTGCTCAGCATGCCCGCTGTAGGCGCTCGTTAGCGGAGCTGGAGGAAGGAGGGACAAGGACGCACTCTTGTTGACGTCGACGTCAATGGTGGGCATTACGTCCATGAGCCAGGCGTGCATGTCGTCGGGAAGGGGACAGTCCTGTAGTAAAGGGTAAAAACCCGAAATTGAAGGAGCAGTGAGGTTGGATGCTTACACCAAAGAGATCGCTGAGATCGCCGTCACTTGCAATGGCCACGTCGGCGTCGGAGAACTGTAGCGTGAATCAGAGGCGGATAAACTTGGAAGTGAAAATAAAGGACATACCCGGAGGATATATTCCAAGACATCGTCTAGTGCCACATGGATCTAGCGTAGTATGTTAGTCGGATTGAACGACATCCAAGATACGTATTCACATACTCCACTAACGGGTTGGTCGATCTCGACAGCCAACTCATCCGCCGCCGCCACTGCGGGTGGATGTGCAGGGTCTTCTCCAGGCGGCAATTCATCAGGGCCGGCACCCGCGACGATCTTCTTCGGTAGGAGGAAACGGCGCTTGACCTTGTAGCAGCCAAGGAAAACCGTCTGGTTCCTTTTATTCTCGGGCTCTGTTTCTTTCGACATTTCTGCTGCTACTTCGAGCTCGGGCAGGTCGTACTTGCCATGCTGTGAGGGCGTCCCGGATGTCACGGGCTTGAGCGACGCCGGACGCGACGCAGAAGGCCTTTGCGGGCCCGTGCGATGCTCGATGCTGTTGTACACGCTGACAGATGATGAGCCCTGGAGACCCACATCTGCGATAGACCCGGCCTGTGCGCTGAGCTCAATGTCGTTAACATGCGTCCCGGCCTCTTGGAACGCGGCGACGGTCCACGCGCTCGTTTTCACCGTACCACGGACCATGATTATATCCTCGGGCTTGCACATGAGGCCATACGTCCCCGGCTTCGTCGCGAACCCGAACCAGGCGTCATGGTTCTGGCGGATATACTGTACGATATCCGTCGCAGGCTGCACAATCGTCTTGTCGGCATGGTCGCGTATGACAAGCAACCCACCCTGCGAACTCGTGCACTCGTAGCTGTAGGCAAGCTTCGCCCCGGCGGGCCCAACTTGACTACATATCTTCAGCAGCGACGTTAAAACGATATTGGGGTGACGTACGCTCCGGCGTGTCCATCGAGTTTGTGGCTCTTCACGCTCTTGCTGCAGAACGGCATGGGACTGATGTAGCTGGGCTTGAGCTGCAGCAGCCGCTTATTGAAGCGTAGTGGCACAAAGTTTTCTGGTACGCCAGCACGGTTGAGGGGATGATCCGCATCGACGGTCACATTAAACAGGCGTTGGAAAGCACCGTCCTCGTCGACATATCCCACGTCGCCAATGTATACATCGCCGTCTGCGGGCTCCGGCGTCCAGAGTGCACGGCCATGACCGTAGTGATACAGTTGTTGCGCGAGGACTTCAGCAGCTATGCCCATGAGACACAGAGTCGTCTAGACTAGGTGGAGAGGTGTCGCAAGGGAGAGCAGGACGAAGCCTATATCTCAGCGGCAAACAAGGATTATTCGAAGGCGATGCAGAATCGATTGGACGAGAATGGACAAGGCTGTTAAACTTATTTCTGATTGAACTCAACCGCGACAGCCTTATCCACGCTCTACTTCCTCTTTCCCACCACCTCTTTAACAGACCTCCCTCTATCCCAACAGCCGCAATTTCAAGATACAACGCTCCTTTCCATGATTCGAGACAGAGACAGAGGGTCCAGAAACACCGGACAACCGTCGACACGTGTAGGGCGAGATGCGCGATAATCAAAGCAAGAAGGTTGCAGATGACGGCAGTGAGCCATCAGTAAATGAGAGGTGGTCGTCACATGAAGCAACGAGGAGCGATATATGACTCAGCGAGTAAGCCGGAAAGGACAGCGACAACAGACATGAGGGTCTGGTCCAAGTTCGCCAGCGTCGACGGCGGAAGCGAGAAATCTAGCAGCGCGCTTCAAATGAGCGTCTATAATGGCAAAAGCCGAAGAGATCAGGCGAACCGAACCGGTCTGTCCGACTCGGAAGAGTCTGCATGACGCGTACGAGGGCTTTCACGAAGCTATCCGCCGGGGACGAGCTCTGCTGGGGCTCAATAAGTTTCTGGGCTACCTGAGAACACATCTTTCCGCTGAGCTAGTAATCTGCTCACGCTTGGGTGTGCCAGCGGGAGCAGTCAGCAGCCCCGGCCTGTCGCAGGAAACGTTTATAATGGTCAACTCAACCATAGACCAGGCTTGGAACACCGTTCGGGCCAAAATGCTCGTGCGTACACATCTTCGAGTTTCCTAGTGATGCAAGAACCGCTGATCAACCCTCGCAGCACAGCCAGCGAGCCAGTCTCCGCTCTCCGGAAACTGAGCCTTGGAAACCGGAGGAGTCTTTTTCTTTTTCTTTGGCTGTGGTTTCTACTTCTAAATCAAAATTGCTACAAGGCTATCTCCTGCTATCTCGCTAGGACTGTGCTCCCGGTATTGATATCGTTCCAGGTCGAGACAGCTTTTCGCGTCATCCGAAGCAGCACGTTTGAAGCCAAGTTCCAGGACCAGCAATCGGCGATCAGACCGCTTAGCGTCAGGAAACAGAGATGCCTCAAAATCGGAGGTGGGTGGCGGTGCCGCGTAGGCGGGAACTCAAGCGTCCTCCGGCGAAGTCCTGCGGACGCAGTGCCAGCGGGACTGCAACGGCGCGGCTGAAGCTTGCAACCTCACTTATTGGGGCTGGTCGTAAAGCGACGCATAGCTGCTCTCGCGTCGAACGTTGAAATAACAAAGACTAAACATGTTCACTAGACACCATTGGCGAGAACAGTGGCGCACAAATTAGACTAGATGGACAAGCACCATAGCTCGATTCAGGTTTGGGAGAATTAGAGTTCTACTGGAGTATGTACTACTCGAACTGCCACAAATATAACACCTTATCAACTGGGTTGAGATATCGGGAGGGAAATCACTGAATCGAAGGACCATGGCCCGGGCCAGACATTCGTGTAGCCCGCATCTCACCTCAAGCGGCAACTCTATCGCTTAGAAGATGGTGTCAGCCCAAGCACCACCGTACATCCCTGTGAAGATGTAGCAGTCAAGAACATGTCGCGAGGAAAGCAGAAAAGGAACGTACAGAAGTTCAGCGTGGACTTGACGAGAGCCTGAGGCTGGCCGGGAGTGCAGGTCTAGGGAAGATGTCAGTCATGCGTCAGGAGAGCATGAATAGCCCGGGCAGCACGTACCCCAGGGGGATAGTTTCCATCGTTGCAGTGGATGCGGTAGATCTGGTCCGCAAGCATACCGTCCTTCTTGCCGTCGAGCGTGATCACGGCCGAGCTGATCCAGGGCGCGTCGAACGTAGCGTTTTCCGGCGAAGGTACCATCGCCGTGTCGCCGCCGACAACAAACGCGTTCTTCACGTTCGGATCGCCCTTCAGGCGCTGTTGACTAAAGTCCCAGACGGAGCTGATCGCGAGCGGGTTCGACGGCTCAAGCGGACTGGGGATCCAGTAGTGGATGCCGAGCGAGAAGTTCGAGCTTGCACCCTGCGTCGCGAGGTCGATGACCTCCTGCGGGGACACGCCCTCGCCGGCGGCCTCCCAGAAATTGGCGACGAAAGTCGTGAACGGGGCGATGCTCTCATCGGGAATGCAGGAGATGTCGAACAACTCGGTAACAGCGCCGATGTTGCTGTAGAGCGCAGGAGACTAGTGAGATTCGGTTCTAGCCCTGTTCGAAACGGACTTACAACCAGGTGCCGTTGTCGAGGCAGCTGTAGTTCTGGTAGCCGACCGACAGAGCAACGAAGGTCGGGTACTCTGCGACCGGCTTTGTCAGCTTGTTGTCGGCGCCGAGCATTTCGTCGAACATGGCCTCGATGTTGAACTTCTTGGTCGAGCAGATCGACCCTTGGCCAGCCCGACTCATGGCGCGGGGCTCGGGAGTTGGGGTTGCCCGGACGAGGAGCGGCAGAGCAAGAGCAGAAAGCACCTTGACGATGGACCACATGGCTGGTTTTGTTCTTTCTGCTGAGTCGACTGTGAGGAGAATGCTTAGAGCACTGAGGGATGTCGACGAGCTTTATCACATTTTATACTCCAGAGATGGGCCTTGAGTGCCCCAGTCAGGCTGATGCAAGCACGGATGGCATCACACGAATGCGCGCGCTACAGGTTCCCTAGTGAAGCGGAGGCGGGGACAAGTAGGAGGCGGCAGAACCGCGCCCAGGGATGCGTAAGGGCTGCGTCGAAAAGCTGTCGAAAGCATTCCTCACAGTCCAATCAGTGTCGGATCATAGCGCAATGGACAGCATGCGGCACTCTGAGAGATGTAGTCTTGTATTGCGCACTGTAAACCCCGCCATGAGGAAGCAGTATTGACTTGGACATGCTACGCACGTTGGTAACTTGAACTATGATGCTATACTGTTCACCAGTAGCAGGATGATCATGGACTTGGTGGCGGAGGACAGTCGTGGGTAGGATCGGAGGGTTTTGGCATTTCTTTGATATCTCTGTTCTAACGACCATCGTGCGCCCTGGTCTCTCGAGCAGAAGCCTGAGTAGAATGCCAAAGATAACACTCATCTTAACTTGTGCCACAATAATAGTCGAGTAAGGGACCTGTCGACGAGTAAATCTGCGCCCCGGAAGGCGAGCTTGCAACAGTCGCTTCCGGAAGCACCGATTTCAGCATCGCATGTCTTCAGACCATGTGGACTTCCGAGCATCCCAATGCCACCCTTACAGCCTCTAAAATAGATGGCAGGCAAACTCCATAAGACGACATACTACGAATTTGTTCTTGAGGCAATATTAGCAACATGTCGATAGTTGTGCGGAATGAGAAGATTCTCAATAAAGAATCGAGCATTGCAGCTGTGTGGTGGAAAGGGAGTGGCAGTCCGCAGCAGTCTTTCGCTGATGCAAGCTCGCTTAATTGGCCCGTCGGCCGGCGCTCCGAGCGAGAAGGGGCGAGTGGATGCTTCGAACGTCACGGCCTTAATTAACGTGACCTCGGTGAAGCAAACATGGAACAAAGCGAAGGTGGCTTCCGCATGACAAATTTGAAGTCTCAGAAAGTCGGCTGCTCCTGCTCCGCATCAAACGAGATCTCGAAGGCAAACGAGAGCTGCAGATAGCAATGCCGACAGGTCTAGCTATTGATATATGATAGCCCATACCACAACGAATCACCACAAAATGTGAGCATCAGCACGACGCCCAGTACCGATACATGTCGTGTGGTTATCTCACAGGTCAATTAGCACCCGGATACGCAACCACAAACTCATAGATGGCGTGGTCGCTACACTCGGATTACGTGGTACATTACTGCCTCGGTCCGCTGTTCCACCGTGGCGAACATGCCGACCCGAACAGTGTCGAGCACGGAAGACAACAAGAGGAATGAAGCGGATCCAGTGTGATCACCAGAATATTTAGGGTCACTTTCATAGGAGGGCCGAGAGCTGCTACCGCCGCTTCAACCTCTATAGCCGAGCTCACAGCTGCCGAGGCCAGCGTTCGGGGCGGTGCATCTATCATTCCTCGGCCCTACTACGCTTTACAGGGCCGATTATTCCCGTAGTTGACCCCGAAAGCCCCGCTAGCGACGAAGAACGGTGGAGGCAACCCGCTGGCGACAGGCGGGCGTGGTGGCACGCGGTGCCGCGCGGCCGACAAGCGCAGCACGAGTCCTAGACGAGAAGGAGGACGTAATATATCCAGAACGGAGCGACATGGACTATAGGTCATAACTTTTACATGAGTCCAGTCATTTTTGGATTGAAATGGCCACTCCTTCAGACTCATGCAGGGCTGAGAAAGGTCGTGAATGACAGAATGCTTGCGTACGCGTAGAGGTCGGGGTCCACACCGAAGAAAAGGGTACAACCGCTTTCGGGCTTTAACGCATCAGCGCATCAGAATCAAAGCGCTCAACCCCGAGCCCCGTCTCATTCCGTCCTGCCGTGCCCCGAAGTTTCGCCCTCCGTAACATCTAGTCGGCAACTCGTGAGCAGAACCTTTCTGTGTCTTACGCTCACTCTTCTATGCTCTCGAGAGCGGCTGGCCGCACTCTGGAGGTTGCAGGTCGGCGACTCGAATCGTCGAGAATGCTACCGTCGGCTACATGCCGTTGAACCGGCTGGAGAGAGTGAGTTTTGAGTTGCTCCTGTCGCGAAGGATGGAGAGTATGGCAAATTGCGCAAGTCCCGCGGCTGCTCAGAATTTATTTTTAGCTTCAAGTGACCGGGTCGCATTAATCTTCCCGTGCGTTTGCCACCCGGCGATGCGATATTCCCTTGTAGTATACCACAGGGACCCAGCTTAAGAGCGCAGATATCCTGGGAATCCCGCGATAGCCAATCGAGTCTAGGTCAATGAGGCGACCCAGCTTGACATATCCGCTGTAGATCGAAGAGCAACAAACCCGTTGCTGCGGCGTCGTGCGAGTTTCCACGCCTTGTTCGCAGCGGCTGAGAGCCACAGAAAATTAACCACATATTGTAAGGTTGTTTGAAACCAGATTCAGGGGAGCTGCGGTGTGGTCGAGTCGCACTCTGATAGGAGCTAAGTCACACGCCTCAAAACTGCCTATTCATGGCAATGTACGCGGCAGCCCTACAGGCCTTTGTCGTCATGCGGCAGGTTACCGCCTGCGATTAGTGCACCGCCTGCAAGACCTGGCATGTGGGGTTATCGCGCCAACCGCTCTCTAGTGCCTGAATTGGATTCTGCCCTCACGCGGCCCGTTCGGCTGTTACACGCGACGTAATAAATCATGTTCAGCTGATTATTCTACACTATCGCATCCGCACTAGGTCGTGTACGTTACACAGACGAAGAGATTCATGAGAATTTTCTTCGAAATGAGACAGAATAGTCAGACCGTCAGGTAAAAATTCAGCTTCCTTCATTCTTGCACCGTTTCCAAATCCCTCGACCTCTCCAATGAACGTCCGAGACTTCGCATCGTACACTTCGAGACTACCGCTGCGAGCCGCGAAGGCAACGTAGTCTCCGTTCGGGGAGTATGCAATGCAATCGGGTTTGTGTGAAAGCTTGAAGATATTGCGTAGCCGGCCCGTCTGCGAGTCGTAAGCGAGAGCCTGAGCCGTTTGGTCCGCCTCGCAAACTGCTAATATCTCGGCGCCATCTGGGGAGAATGCTACAGGAGGTGTCGGCTTTCTCTCGTCGTTGATTGTGAGAAGCTCTTGACCGGTCACCGCGTCCCAAATCTTGACACCATTCTCGGAGTATCCTCCAGAAACTACGCGATCGCCTTGGCGAGAGACTGATAATTGGATCGCATCGTTCTCGCCGTGTTGCAATACAGCGATGCGCCTGTAGGACCGCACATCGTAGATGAAACAGGAGTCGGATGTTCGAAGGTACAGACGCAAACTATCCGGCGAGAAGGTAAGCCAGTATGGGTGTTTATCGAGACTGAGGTTTTTTAGACATACTCCGGTTGAGGCATCCCAAATCTTTACAGATCTGCTCACGTCGGAAGTGGCGATCAGGGTGTTATCAGGGGCATATGCGACACAGTCTATCCACCAGCTCTGATGTCCTTCGAGCTGTAGGAGCACATGACTACGCTGGACATCCCAGACAATCACATTGTTGTCCAGGTCGCTGGATCCTGAGACAAGAGCATGACCGTCAGAGGAAAAAGATAGGCAACGAATATTGTTGCGATGGCTCTGGGCACGTAGCCGTTGAACTAGTAGACCATCGGGAAGCCGCCATACGATGATATCGGAGGAGCTGAATGAAGCGGCGAGAAGCTTGCCATCGGTCGACAGCGCATAGCATTCGCACTTAGCGCGCGGATTTTGAGGGTCGGTGAAGACGAGTTGCTTTAACTTCAGCGGTCGAGTGTCTGCTTCCTCCGGGCCCACGAAGACGCGCCAATCCACCAAGCGACCAGCGCCATCGGGGAGGGCATTCGGCCATTTCGCTAGGTCGGGGGCAGTAACAATGTGACCTGCGAAAGTGCGTCCTCGCTCACGCGAGATCGCGTCTTCGATGCAGACCGATCCGACTATGCGCAATTAGTAGAGGTTGATACCATTGGCAGATAAGAGACTCACGCGTGCCGTCGACCTCTACCGGGGGCTGCATCTGACGAAGGTAGCTTGCAAAATCCACCACTTGCCTGTCGCCCTGAGAAGGATTGAATTTTTGCACTCTTATGATCTATTGCTCGCGGTACGTACGACGATGCTCTCCACGTCATCATCACTCGCAATGGCAACCTCAACGTCAGAAGTCTACGACGAAAGATTTCCCATTTAGCATATTGAACAGAAGTATTACACGAACTCACCTCTAGTATATAGTCCAGAAGAACGTCCAGTGGATCAGCAAACTCGTCCTGGCTCTTCATTAGCTTATGCGCTCCGTCATGGGCAATTGCGAAACGCGTGCCTCATTCCCGAGTTCCAGGATATGCTCCTCCTGCGCCATGACCCCTTCCTCTCCTGAAGAACCTCCTCCACTGCCCGACCCTGGAAGTCGATGGTAGCCCGCGCCTGCAACGATCTTCCGCAGAACTCCTAGACGCTTTCGCAGCTTGTATCGCTTTAGGAGGACACACTGGTCTCTCTTTGTGTCGGCTTGAGAGGCCTCAGACGCTTTGGCACAGTAGCTCTTGCCCTGTCGTTGCATCCTCGGACCCGTCACGGACTTCGAGCGCGACCCACCAGCTCCTGCCCCCGCAACGCCCCCAGCGTGACCTTCCGCTGAGGCACTGAAGGTCGTGCTCGTGTTGCTGAAGGCAGCCGCTCCCCAGTCTGCCGTGGTCTTGACCCACCCGCTCACCACGACAATCTCCTTCTGCTCAATGTCCTGAAAGATATCGTCCCTGGTGTATGCGTACCACCTGTCGTGATGCCGGACAATGTACTTCTTCAGCAGCCGGTTCTCAAATATCTTCTCTGCGTGTGCTTCGCTGTTCAGGATGAGAACTGCACCCTGCGCTGCCTTGCACGTGTAGCTCGCACTGAGCGTCGCGGCTACGTTGGCTCCAGCCGTTCTGCGTAATCCAGCTTGTTAGCCAGAGGGTGCTGGTCGGACGAAGCGGTGCACTCACATGTCCGTGGAAGCATGCATCTCCGTTTTCTCCACCCCATGGCTGCGATAGTGGTCTGGAACGAGCGGTCGGTGCCTGCGGTCGATCTTGAGCACGCCGGGAGGCAAGGGCTCTGTGATCTCGTACGGCGGGTCCCAGAACGTGACCTTCTTCTCCGGCGCAGAGGCATCGAGATTGAACAACCTAATAAACGCCCCCTCGTTCACGAAGCCGACGTCGCCAATCTGCGGCTCTCCCGACTCGTGCGGCTCGGGATACCAGAGGGCATAGCCTAGATGGAGTGTCTGGAGACAAGAAGCATATATTTCGTCTGGGGCAGACGGTGGACGAAACCAGCTGAACATGCGCATGAGGGGTAAGTATTACGAGCTGGCGGAGCGGAGGTGGCTGCGCGAAGTGAGCCTGGAGTGTGCAAGCGACGCATCGATAAAGAGGGTAGCTTCGGCGTCATCGACCTGACAGCTTCGCACGAAGAAGAGGAAGATGGACGCCCGAACCATAAATGATATAGGAAGAGGTCGTGCGTCGTGTCCCAGACATTGGCTCTCAGAGATATCAATCCCTAGGTCACCCTTAAAACGTCTGCGAGCAAGGAAAAATCGCTGAAGGTTTGACGATCAACGTAACAGCTGGGAGTCCAAACAGGCAACGTACGTAAAGTCTGTGTCTCACTGCCGACCGAGCAATCAAGCTTAAGGCTCAGCGCTCAGTATGCAATGGTCAGTACTCCATCCTCCACGATCGTATATTACTATACCGTTGTGAGCCCTCTCACACTTGCCACGGTGGCGGCATGAGACAAATCGAATGCACATCAGCGCCGAGTGGTAATAACCCTAACCTTACACAACCACAGCCTCGGCGATGCTTATTGCGAGAACAGCGGTAGGCAAAAACGTCTACAAATAATTTTGAAGGATGTTACGTGTCTGAAGATTGCAGCTATGTGGCTGTCGCTGGCCGCTATTATATAGTACAGTCTCCTGGTGGCCTGAGGTGTGCACGAGGCCTGCATAGACCGGCTCGTAAGGGATGTTCCAGCTTTTTCGCAATGAAACGACCTCAGGCCTCAATATCCAAGACCGGTGACACGAGGAATTCGACGCCGATGGAGTAGCAGCGCAAATTCAGTGGGCATGCCTCGCGTCTAGCATGCTACCAAACGCCTCCTAAGGACCTGATAGGTTAGCAATTGCTACAGAGCTACAGAATATGATGCTCACATCGCAGCTGCTCTTCAGCGAGCCCCTCTCAAGCCTACCACCCTCGAAGTCTTCCGCCTCTTCGTCTCCTTTCCAAGCACTCCGTCCATCGCCCACACCCAGGAAACAATGACATCCCGCTCCCGCTCCAGCTGCTCGCGAGATCCCCAGGCGCCGCCGGAGCCTGCACCGCTTCACGCCGTATGCCCCCTCCAAAAAGTTTGTGCATGTATAGCGCAGCTTGAGCCTTACGGCGCTGCCGGTCGAGACTTGAGGTAACGCGCCGTGGCCCGCAGCAGAGTGGCTGAACGCCACCGGAGCCGAACGAGGGATAGTATTGTCGAGTTTCGACTTTCTGGAGCTTCGGGACCGCAGATCAACGAGTCGCTCGCGCAGGAGGACCGATAGAGACCGTGGTTCTGGACTTTTGAGGAGAAATGTTTTAGACATTGGATACGTATATTGTCTTAGGGATGTGTCAAAATCTGGACGCTCATGATAAGAGCGCGCTCAACTGCTCTCGCCAAGCGGGCCAAGTTCTCAAGAGAGCCAAACGAGGGGTAATCTTGGCGGAGCTGCTGGTGAGAGTGGGGGCTTTGAGCTTCGACACCGCAGGCCGGGAGTCGCTCGTGTAAAAGAGCTCGGGATCATGGTTCTGGCTCCTGATAAGATATCCCCCAGTCACTTAAGAGATATATTGCCTCAGAAGTACGCACCAAGAACCAGCTCGTGCCTAGAGACGCGGTTCACCGTGTTCTCCCTCGAGAACAAGCGAAACCCTGGCGAGACAGAGCACACTTCGGGAAATATCTAGGGCACATAGACCGTCTACGAGCCTTGCATTGACGGTTGTTTCATCGTAGGTAATAGCACAGAGGAAAATGGCGCGTAGTGAGCAAGCAGGAGCAGACAACGATGATGAACGTCGAGCATGACTTTCTGGAGTTGCCAGGCGCAGCTCTTTTTGACGCCTATAATGCCCGAGCATCACGCGATGAACCGAACCGAACCGACTACCATCTCCAGAGTACTGTGCGAGGCTTACACTCAACCTCCCGAGCGATGGCGAGGACTCTCCTGCGGCTGGTCGTCTGAGATCAGCTTTTCCAGCCTCGTTCAACTTCCAGGCTGCTTGATCATGCATGCACCCGAATTATCATTCATAATGTTCTCGACTTGGCGTACGCGCACCCAGCTAGTAGCTACCCCACTTGGCAGCGTACGAAGCTTTGTGCGGGGACCGCCGTTCGCGAGCCGTGTCCTGTGGCCATGGTATTTGCCTCGTATCGGCTGAGCGTGTCGTTCCGTACAATGGACTCAAAAACCGTGTCGCCATGCGACAGCTTATTTAATACAATTATCGCGCCGTTGGTGGACCTGGCGTGTGCAGTTACTTAACGCGCCCACAGCACTATGGTATCGGAATTGAATTCCGCCCCATGCCGGATGTTTGGCAACTACACGCAACGTAATAGACTGAGTCCAGCAAATTGTTGTAGACTATCGCATCCGTACTATATCTTGTACATTACACAGGCGGAGGGGTTCACGAGAGGTTTTCGAGAAATGCGACAGAATAGTCTGACTGTCGGGCGAAAATTTAGCCTCCTGTAAAATATTCCCATCTTCCTCGAATCCTTCAACCATTCCGATGAACGTCCGAGACCTTGCGTCGTACACTTCGAGACTACCAAGTTGACCTGCGAAAGCAACGTAGTCACCATTTGGGGAGTATGCGATACAAGAGGGCGTGTGTGACAGCCCAAAAATATGGCGCAGCCGGCCCGTCCGCGAGTCGTAAGCGACAGCACATCGATCTTCCTTGCGAGCCACCGCCAACACCTCGGCACCGTCTGGGGAGAATGCTACAGCGTACGACGGCTTTCTTTTGTTGTCGTTGATTGGGAGAAGCTGTCGACCAGTCACTGCGTCCCAAATTCTCATTTGATTACCGGGGGATGCTCCGGTAACTACCCGATCGCCTTGACGAGACATTGAGAACCCGATTGGCTCGAGCGCAGTGTTTTGTCGCAATAGAGCGATGCGCCTATAGGATTGCGCATCGTAGATAGAACAGGAGCCGAATGTTTGAATGCACAGGCGCGAGCTATCCGGCGAGAAGATGAGCTGATAGATATCTTCGTTGAAGCGGAAAGAACCCTGGCATGCTCCGGTTGAGGCGTCCCAAATCTTCACGGATCGATCCAAGCTAGATGTAGCAATGAGTACGCCATTGGGGGAATATACAGTGTAGTTCAATCGTGAACGATGCCCTGTGAGACGTCGGAGTACAGAGCCGTGTTGAACATTCCAGAGAATTGCGGTCTCGTCTTCAGACCCTGAGACAAGAACATGGCCACTGGGGGAAAATGAAAGGGAAGTAACAGCAAAGCTGTGGACGTGAGACTGGAGGCGATGGACCAGCAGACCACCGGGAAGTCGCCATACAAGGACAGTATTGGAACTGAATGACGCTGCAAGAAGCTTGCCGTCGGTCGATAACGCATAGCATTCGCACTTATGCCACTCAGCATGCGTATCTTGGGGATCGATAAAGACGAGTTGTTTGAACTTCCGAGTCAGTGGCGGAGTATTTGCTTCCTCTAAGCCCACGAAGATGCGCCAATCCACCAAGCGACCAGCACCATCGAGGGAGAGACTTGGCCATTTCGCGAGGTCAGAGGTGGAGGCGGTGACGATGCGGCGCGCAAAGGCGCGTTCCCGCTCGTGGTGAATAACATCTTCAATGCAGAGCGATCCGACTGCGCGCAACCATTAGAGCCAATACCATTGGCGGATAAGGGACTCACGCGTGCCGTCGATGTCCACCAGAGGCTGCACTTGACGAAGGTAGCTCGCAAAGTCAACCACATGGTTGCCACCCTGAGCGGAAGTGAGTTTCCGCACTTGTAAGGTATTTCTAAAAATGCTTACGATAATACTCTCAACGTCGTCGTCGCTCGCGATGGCAACTCCGACGTCGGCAACCTGTCGCGACCAGATTCCGCTTAGTGTGACGAATAGAGATATCGATATTCTGTAGACTTACCTCCAATATATAATCGAGAAGGACGTCCAGTGGATCGGCGATTTCTCCCTGCCGGTGGCACCTCATCAACCTGTGCGCTCTCATGACACACGGCAATGAAAGGCGTACCTCGCTACCGGCCTCCAATATGCCCTTCGTATTCTCGTCCTCATCCTCCCACGCCGCAACCTCCACCCTCGAAGCACCTCGCCCACCGCCTGATCCTGGTAGTCGGTCGTAGCCTGCGCCCGCAACAACCTTCTTCAAAATCCCCAGCCTCTTTCGAATCTTGTAGCGCTTCACCAAGACGCATTGGTCCCGCTTCGCCCCGGCAGGACGAGAAAAAGGAGTTTTCGCTTTCTTCTTCTTCGCCTTGACAGGAGGGAAATCAGACATATTCTTCAGGTAGTCCTGACCCTGCCGCTCCATCCTCGGACCCGTCATCGACCTCGAGTGCGACCCGCCAATTGCGGCCCCGGCAACACCGCCAGCATGGCCTGCAAGTGACGCACTGGAGCTGGTGCTCATGTTGCTAAAGGCGACCGCCGCCCAGTCCGCTGTGGTCTTGACCCAGCCGCTCACCACAACGATGTCCTCTTGCTTGATATCTTGGAAGATATCATTCCTGGCATAAGCGTACCATCTATCGCAGTGTCGGACAATGTACTTCTTCAACAGCCGATTCTCAAATATCTTCTCGGCATGCGCTTCGCTCTTGAGGACAAGAACTGCGCCTTGTGCCGCCTTGCATGTGTAGCTGGTGTCAAGGGTTAAGGATATGTTTGCGCCAGCCGTGCTGCGCAGTGCAAACCGTTAACGAGAAAGCATTCGTCAATGAACTGGTGCACTCACATGTCTGCCGAGGTATGCAACTCCTTGCTCTCCACTCCATGGCTGCGGTAATCTTTTGGAACGAGCGGGCTACGCCTGTGGGTAGTCCTGAATACACCTGGAGGCGCGGGCTCGGTGATCTCGAACGGCGGGTCCCAGAACATAACCTTCTTCTCAGGCGTGGAGATGTCGAGATTGAACAGCCTCACGAAGGCTCCCTCGTCCACGAAGCCCACATCGCCGATTTGTGGCTCGCCCGTCTCGTGCGGCTCGGGGTACCAAAGGGCATGGCCCAAATAGAGCGTCTGGAGACTGGATGCATATATTTCGTCTGGAGCAGACGGCGGACGAAACCAGCTGAACAGGCCCATGAGGGGCAATGAGACGTTGAAGGTATTGCGAACCAGTAGAGCAGAGATAGAGGTGCAAAGCCAGCCTGGGCGTGCGTACCATGCATCGATAACGAGGACAGCTCTGGCGTCATCGACTTCGCACGAAGTGGAAAACGAGCGCCCGAACCATGATTACGGAAAATGTAGGTCGAGCGTCGTGCCCGGAATATTGGCTCTCGGGCCCCAGGTTTTCCTTGAGGAGGGAATGTTCTGTGTACAAGAAACTGTTATTAGGGGCTTGAGCAACCAACAACTGAACGCTCAAGCGAGCAACGTACATGAAGTCCGCGTCGCACCATTGGCTTGAACTTTAAGGTCGTATACCGCACCGCAAATGTGAGCCCTCAGGCACCCGTGTTTGTAATAACGTGGGCGTGAGATCTAGTACCGAGTGCGCGCAGTCGTGAAGTGGCCATACTACAAGCCCCACCCAGCCACATGCAGCTTTGGCAATACTTAGTGAGGAGGATGGCGACGGGTCAGGTAGACAAATTGACCATCAAAGCGCATGCATATAGGTTTCAGGGACACTACATGCTCGAGGATTGTAGATATGTGGCCGCATGATGCCGCAAGGGTTCAGCCGCCATGACAGCCTCCAGTGACCTAGACTTGCACTGCTCGGCTGCGCGATGGTAATCTCTCCCAATGAAATCATACCATATCTAGACTCAGAATACGAGAGGTTCGACGTTGGCGAGATGGTAGCGGACACTCAAAGAATATACCTTTTGTATAGTACCCAAACGGATGTCAAGCGTGCCGCCAAACTGAGAGTCCCGTACGTAAGCGATCGCTGCAGAGGTTCAGGATTCGATACTCACACCATCATTGCGCCTAGCGGACCTCCCTCAAGCCTGCCATCTTCCAATCCTCGTCTGCTCCGTCTCCTTCTGAAGTGCCCTGCTCCTCGACCTTATCCAGCCATATCCCACTCTCGCGCCAGCTGCTTGAAAGATCCCTGGTCGCCGCTGAGGTCTACACCGATTGCTTTGAAACCTATTGGTCCATAGTCAGCCTCTCTAAAGGGTCCGCGTGTGTATAGCATTGAATGAGAGGTAATCTTGGCGGAGCTACTGATGAGACTGGGAGCTTGGAGCTTCAACGCCGCGGGCTGGGGAGTCGCTCGTGTAGGAGAATGAGGGATCGCGGTTCCGGTTCTTGAGAAGACGTATCTCAGTCTCGTTAGAGAATTACTGTCTCAGCAGTGCGCACCAAAAAATTCATGCCTTTAGATGCGATTTGTCGTGCTTGCTCTCGAGAAGACAAGCGAAGCCCGGAAACCCTAACGAGACAAGGCATGCTTCAGGCGATATTCAGAGGAAATGGGCCTCGATGGTCTTGCGCTGACAACTGGATCATCGTATGGAATAGAGAAGAGGAAGATGGCGCGTAGCGAGCAAGCAGGAAAAGACGTGCGAGTCCAATTTGTTGGTGCAATTTGTGGCGCCTAAAATGGCGAAAGCCGAAGAGATCACACGAACCGAACCGGCCTGGCACGGTCACCCTCTGCTCGGGTTCTTTCAGGCTACGGACGGTTCTACTTACTCACAACGACGCGACTGAGTGCGCACGCACCTATAGGCGTCCCGCTAACGTCCCATGGACGACATCGTTCCAGTAAAACGTTGCTTAGGCTGATGTTTGATTCGATTCGACATGCTCTGAAACCTAATACCATCACTCGTATGTACAGTGATGACCTAAAGTATTGCAACAGACTACAGAGGGGTGTTAAGATGCCTCAATATCTCCGCGAATATTACAGATGGCTGGACACATTGTGTATGATTTCTAAACTAGATAACTAGCTGTATTTTCTCAAGGTACCACTTTGTAGCAGAAGGTGTATGCTGGAAGAGTATATCAAAAATAGCTGAAAATATGCATATTTATTATATAATTTGTAGTATAATACAGACTGTGGAACAAAATTGACTCTGCACATATTAAAATGAAGCTAGTTGTATAGTATGTGTACGAATATAATGATGTGATTAGGTATCCATCTGAATGAACTGTAGAGTATATCACATTGACTTGTTTTTCTTGTAGCAGTTTGCACATATCTAACTCTACAATGTGGAGAGGAAAGTTTCCCAAAATTTGTTTTACAGTGTGTACTTCACTAGAGAAAATATATAGTGGCAAAATATAAGAACTTCAGCGCCTGATTATGTTTAAAGCATATGAGTATACACTGTTGCATGTTGCAATGAATGTGATATGCTCTACAGTTCATTCAGATGGATATCTAATCACATCATTATATTCATACACATACTATACAACTAGCTTCATTTTAATATGTGCAGAGTCAATTTTGTTCCACAGTCTGTATTATACTACAAATTATATAATAAATATGCATATTTTCAGCTATTTTTGATATACTCTTCCAGCATACACCTTCTGCTACAAAGTGATACCTTGAGAAAATACAGCTGGTTATCTAGTTTAGAAATCATACACAATGTGTCCAGCCATCTGTAATATTCGCGGAGATATTGAGGCATCTTAACACCCCTCTGTAGTCTGTTGCAATACTTTAGGTCGTCACTGTACCTTTGAAGTCCTCTGTTATGTCATAATCACTGATTATCTCGCACAGTACAGAAATCTAACCCTAGGCTGTACGAACTCTGCTCGCCGGAGACTAAGCCTTAGGCATCGTTTGGAAGCAGCTAACCACAACCTTGCAGAAGGTTCATGCCGCCCAGTCTCGCCCCTTCCCACGAGAGGCCCACCAGGTGAGTTCGCTCCGCTCGTCGGTCTACTACATGGGTTGTTCACCACGATTCTGCTCCTAGTATCATATGTATTCCAAGACAAGGCAGACGCTTGCCGAAGGGCTCGGAGACTATGATCAAGATGGACGTAGCACGAGTCATTGTCAAATCAATGTTGCACGTATTTTCTTATGTACTTACGCGGAGATGTGTCACTTATAAGTAACAGAACACTTGCGTGAAGGCTGAAATTTGATCTTAAGAGGAGAACATAGACGATACTCTGGTTTGAGCTCCACGTAAGTCGTCAACGCGGCGATGCCTTCGACAGCACTGCTCATATTCCGGGCCAAAGCGCTCGGTTATAGGCATTTTCGTGCCAGCAGGCATTCATGATGTCGTCTCCCCGACGATCATCTTGCGCAATCAAAATTGCTGACCGCCAAGTCCCTGGACCATTACGTTGCTGCTAACACGGCTCTTAGTCGCCACCGGGGTTTGTTCGTCTCGCAGTGTCTTCGACTCAATCCCCCAAGCTAACAACAAAGCTTCTCGTTTGCCTAGCAGTGCCGCCACGCTTCTCGTTCGCCCGGATTGATATGTCCTATCTATACAGTACTGGTATATTCACTATGGTTCACGCGCAGGGCTGGCGGCTGCCTGCACGACCGTCGTTGCCATCTCTGCCGCCATCCCCTCCCTCTCCAGTACCACCATACGCTGAACGCATGTCATTCCTCCGCTAGCGCAATGCGCCTCCATCCACGGCATATGCCACTGTGGAGAGCTCGCAGAATCGCGAGCTGTGCCCTCTGATCGAGATTGCCGTGGCTGGAGCGCGCCAGGCTAGGGACAGTCTCAGGTCAGCCCTTATCCTTTCCTACCGCGGACGCCCAAGGTTGTCATCTCCGCATCATTCCTCGGCACCGACCAAGGGCACTTCCTGGACGTACCGTTTGCTCTCGGTCCCGGGCACCTCGGCTGCCAAACTGGTTGCAGGAGGATCACAGGAACTGCGGCTCGAGAGGACGCAGAGGCGATGCGCCCGCACGCAGATCGCTGCTCGCGCAAATCTTACGGCACGCACATGTCAGGCGGAGATACCTGTGCCAAGACCGGTCTACGTCAGGGACGGCTCTAATGGTGGCGAGCATTCGGGCAAAAAAAAAAAAAGCGTCCCGTGAGTTGTATGACTGTACCGCAATCGGTATCCTTCTGCCTACTACTGCATCAAGTGCGCCGAAACACTCGTAGGCCCTGTCGCGAGGCGATGCGTCGCTATGCGCGGCCTGTCAGTCTTATACCTCGACGTAGCAGGCAAATTCCTGGACGACTGCTTTACCTCTGCGGTCAAAGGCAGCAACCAGGGTCGCCCACGTTTGCTCAGATCGAAAGCCGCTGGAAGAAGGAAAAATCACCGTGTCGGCCTACTAATATTTACGCAGTGCTGGTGAGTATTATGACTTGTACTCTGCAGTAATTTCCTCTACCGGCTGAGCGCGTTCACCGGACTGCGCAACGGCCTCACAAGGCTTGTTATTATGTGGCAGATTATCATTTGTGACTGGTTCATGATACGCTGGCGCGCACTGTGACCCTGGGGGGCTAGTCTTAGATAATGTGAATAATATAATATAATATAATAGAGGTGGTGGGTGAGATCCGAGACCTCGAGCTCGGAAAGTAGTCGCGAGGTGGCTTCGGGGACCGGCGACTCGCAAGGGCGCCGCACGCTGCGCAGGACGTCGAGAGGGGGGCCTCAAGAACTCAAGACGTCATGTAAACATGAGAGAAACTCTTTGCATAAGCTCTTGGTGTTCTCTCGGTACGCCAGACTACATGAGCTATATACAGTTGAGTAAAAGGTATGACAAATGACAGAACACGCGTAAAATAGATAATCGTGTGGTTTCCATGAGCAAAAGGGGTCGACGCTGCCTTTTGATACAACAAATGGGAAAGTTGCCAGGCGGCGCGAGCTAGTGGCGAAGGCTTCGTGGCGCAGTTGCTGGGGTGTCGGGTACCTGGTGCGAAAGGTCATGAGAGAGTGCGTCATGCATCGTCTGCGAAACCTGGGATATTCGGTCGTTGCGCCGACTGCTCTCTGGTCCCCAAGTTGAATTCTGCCCCAACGTCGGATGTTTGGTAGTTAAGTTACACGTGACGTAATAGATTGAGGTCGGGAGATTGTTATACATTATTACATCCGCACTAGATTCTGTATGTTATATAGACAAAGAGGTTCAGAAGAGTTATTCAAAAAATGCAGAAGGATGGTTCGACTGTCGGGTAAGAATTTAAATGCGCCGACGTCCCCTACATCCGTGCCTCGGGGTTTTTCGGCTTTCCCGATGAATGTCCCAGACTTCGCGCCATATATTTCGAGACTACCTTGTTGATTCCCGAAAGCAACATAATCTCCATTCGGAGAGTATGCGACACAGTAGGATATGAATGCAGGCTTGAAGGTGCGGCGTAGCTGACCCGTCCGCGAGTCGTACGCGAGAGCCGTTTTGTCCGCACCGCAGATCGCCAATACCTCGGCTCCATCTGGGGAGAATGCTACAGGGGGTAACAGCTTTCTTTCGCTATCAATTGTGAGAAGCTCGTGACCGGTCACCATGTTCCAAATCTTCACTCCATTACAGGACTCGGAGTATGTTCCAGTGATTACTCGATCGCCTTGGCGAGACATTGAACAGCTAATGCTGTTGGCCTTGTTGTGTCGCAATACAGCGACACGCCTGTGGAACCGCGTATCGTAGATGACACAGGAGTTGTGTACCTGAACGCATAGACGCGAGCTATCCGGTGAGAAGGTGAGCCGGCGTATAGTATGCCACTCGAGGTTGAAGGACTGCAGACATGCACCGGTTAAGGCGTCCCAGATCTTCACGGATCTGTTTAAGTCAGATGTGGCAATGTGTACGCCATCAGGGGCATATGTAGCGTTGTCCACGAACGAACTATGTCCTGTGAGACGTCGGAGTACACAGCCACGTTGAACATCCCAGATAATCGCAGTCATGCCCTCGGACCCTGAGACAAGAGCGCGGCCATTGGGGGAAAATGACAAGGAACTAGGATGCTCGCGACGGCCCTGATGAAGGAGGCGCTGAACCAGCAGACCATCGGGAAGCCGCCATATAAGGATATCGGTGGAGTTGAATGACGCGGCGAGAAGCACGCCGTCGGCCGACAGCGCATAATGTTCGCACCTAGGGAGCCGAAGTCGGGGATGGGTGAAGACAAGCTGGCTTGACTTCAGCGGTCGAGTATCTGGGCTCGCAAAAACAGGCCAATCCACCAAGAGACCAGCACCGTCGAGAGTGGCATTCGGCCATTTCGCCAGATCCGCGGCGGTAATCATGCGATGCGCAGAGGCGCGTTTTCGCTCATGGGAAATTACGTCTTCCATGCAGAACGATCCGACTGCGCACAACTATCAGAGACCAATACCATTGGCAAATAAGGAACTCACGTATGCCGTCGATCTCCACTGGAGGTCGGGCCTGACGAAGGAAACTTGCGAAGTCAACTACATGGTTGCCACCCTGAGCTGAAGTGAGCCTCCGAGCCCGTAATACAACACCAAAAACGCCTACAATGATGTTCTCAACGTCGTCGTCGCTTGCAATGGCGACCTCGACGTCGGAGACCTGCGGTAACAGGATTCCGCTTAGGTGACGGATCGAGATATTAATGGTGTGTAGATTCACCTCTAGTATGTAGTCAAGAAGGACGTCCAGCGGATCGGCGACTTGACCCTGGCATCCTGTCAGCTTGTGTGCTTCGCGACACGCGGTAATTAAAAACGTACCTCACTCGCAGACCCTAGTATGTCCACAATGTCCTCGTCCTCGTCTTCCCGCGCCGCGACGCCTACTCCCGAACCAGCTCGCTCATCTCCCGGACTCGGTAGTTGGTCGTAGCCTGCGCCCGCAACGACCTTCTTCAGAATCCCCAGCCTCTTTCGAATCTTGTAGCGCCTGACCAAGACACTTTGGTCCCTCTTCGCATCGGCAGGGCGAGAAACAGGCGCTTTCGCTTTCTTCCCCTTCCCTTTGGCGGGACGGGAATCGATCGGTTTCTTCAGATAATTTTGACCTTGCCGTTCCACCCTCGGACTCGTCATCGCCATCGAGTGCGACCCGCCGACTGCGGCCCCAGCAACGCCGCCAGCATGGGCCTCGAGCGACGCGCTGAACCTTGTACTCGTGCTGCTGAACGCGACCGCCGCCCAGTCCGCCGTGGTCTTGACCCATCCGCTGACCACGACGATCTCCTCTTGCTTGACTTGCAGGAATATATCGTCCTTGATGTATGCGCACCATCTATCATACTGGCGAACGATGTATTTCTTCAACAGTCGATTCTCGAATACCTTCTCTGCGTGCGCCTCGCTCTTCAGGATAAGAACCGCGCCTTGCGCCGCCTTGCACGTGTAGCTCGCACCAAGGGATGCAGTTATATTCGCACCGGCCGTCCTGCACAGCCCAGATTGTCAGCCGGAAGGTATTTATCGGACGGGTCTGTGCACTCACACATCTGCCGACGCATGCACTTCCCTACTCTCTACTCCCTGACTGCGATAGTTGCCTGGAACGAGTGGCTGACGCCTGCAGTCGATTCTAAATGCGCTTGGGGGCACGGGCTCGGTGATTTCGAACGGCGGATCCCAGAATGTGACCTTCTTGTCAGGTGCAGAGGTGTCGAGATTGAACAGCCTGACGAACGCTCCCTCGTCCACGAAGCCGACGTCGCCGATCTGCAGTTCGCCTGTCTTATCATGTGGCTCGGGATACCAAAGGGCGTGGCCCAGATGGAGTGTCTGGAGACTAGAAGCATAAATTTCGTCTGGAGCAGACGGCGCACGGAACCAGCTGAACATGCCCATGAGGGGCAAGACGGTGGAGGTATTGCGAGCTGGAAGAATGGAGATGGCAGCGCAAAGCCAGCCTAAACGTGCGTACCATGCATCGATAATGTCGAGGGCAGCTTCGGCGTCAGCGGCCTGATAACTTCGCACGAGGAAGAGGGGGAAAGACGGACGCCCAAACAATGAATCCGGAAATAGATCGATCGTCGTTGTCGTGTCCCAGGTCTTCTTTCGGGCCTGAGGCCTGCATGAGGGGTGATGTTCCGCGAATGGGAGACTGCTGGTGGAGAAATTTGAGCTACCAACAGCTGAGCATTCGAACGGGTAACGCACATATAGTCTGCGTCGCAGTGAGCCCTCCAAATGCGTGCGATGGCGGTGGCATGATGCATACGAATAGCGGTTATAGTACAGGCCTTACGCAACCGCACCCAGAGGATTTGTATCAGCCTGGCCCATCACCGTTCTCGACATTAAAGATCGCCCAGGTCTAATGCATATGCATAAGATACAACATGTCCGATGATTATAGGTGTTTCGCCGCATGATATCATTATATAGCCGCCAAGACGCCGGACGGACTCACGCGCTAGGCTCACGCGGCCAAGCTGCACGACGACTCTCCCAATCTTCCAATTTCTCGCAATGAGTATCCAGGCATGAAATGCGATGGATTTAACGTCAACAAAATACGGCAGAGATTGGATAGATGTACCTTAGACGTGTAGCCTAAATGGATATCTAGCATACCGCCAAACGCTTCTAGAGAATCTGGTACATCAACAATTGCTCAGAGCCCCAGGATCCGATACTCACCTTCAATGTGCTCCAACGACCGCTCTCAAGCCTGCCGCTTTCCAAGTCTTCTGCCCTCCCCGTCTCCTTTTGAGGCACCTCGTTGATCGACCACGCCCAGGAGACAACGACATCATCGCCCCAGCTGCCCACGAGATCCCTAGGCGTCGCCGGAGCCTGTGTCGCTTTAAGTCGTCTTGCCCCTCTAAAGATTCTGCGCATGCATGTCGCAGCCTGAGCCTGTCGAGGCTTGTGGTGACGCGCCGTGGCATGTAACAGAGCGACTGAACGCTTTCGGAGCAGAACGAGGGACGGTCATGACGGAACTGCAAATGGAGGCTCCGAGCTTCGCGTAAGAGAGTAAGGGGTTATACTTCTGGCCCGAGAGCGCAAATCACCGTACGCACTCACCCCCAGAAGGACAGAGTGACGTCCACATAGCACTTCGCCCAGGGCCATTTGCGGCTGCAGCAACCCGTCGGTAGTATATCAAGCGACTCCACGATTGCAGCGGTGCACAGGAAGTCGAGACCCGTCTTCTGTTGTCAGACGAGAATGTGACGAGACACGACACATTTTAAGAGGTATCCAAAGGGAATATTTGGGGTCTAATGGTCTTGTATCAACGATGAGATCATCGTACGGGATAGCAAAGAGGAAGATGGTGCGTAGCGTGCAAGCAGGAAAAGTGCAATTTCATTTGGCGCCTAAATAGGCGAAAGTAGAGGTGGTTATGTAAGCCGAAGTACTGGCTTGCTACGCGGACTCTCCTGCAGCTGGCGGTCTGAGACCGGCTCTGCTGAACTCGTTCGACTCCTGAATATTCACCGCCCACCTCCCTCAGAAGCTCCATGACGTCACTTTGAGATCGTTCTGCTCCCCGTTTGCTATATGGATTTCTCACCACGACTGTGCTCCGAGTATCAGCTGCGTTTCAAGACAAGACAAGTGCTTGCTAAAGGAGACTATGGTCAAGATGGGCGCAGTACGAGTCATCGCCGGTGTTGCACAGGTATTTGCTCATGCACTTACGCGGGGAGGTATCACTCACAAGTAACAGAAAACTCGCGTGAAGGCCGAAAATCTAGCCTAGGAGGAGCACACAGACGGTACTCTGCGCGTCAGTCGTCAACGCGGCGATGCCTTCGGCGGTGTTCCGCATACACGGGTCAAAGCGCTCAGTTATACTGTGGGCGTCGTCGCGCCAGCAGGCCTGCGTCATTTGATGTCGTATCGACGTCTTGTATGATTAACCTCAGCGGCCACCAAACACCCGGACGCTGCTTTCTGCCAACGCGGCTCTCAGGCGCTACTGGGGTTTGTATGGCCCGCGATGACTTCGACTAGATGCAAAATCTTCCCAGCCGCCCCACAACAAAAGCTTTTCGTCTGCCTGACGGTCCCATCACATTTTTCGTTCGCCTAAATTGGTATGTCCTTTCTGCACAGCACTAGAGTATGTCATGGCTCCCACGCAGGACTGATAGTTGCCTGCGTAGCCCTCATTGCCATCTCTTCCGTTGTCCCCTGCCGCTTTCCAGTGCCATCATATGCTGGGCGCATGTTACCTCTCCGCCAATGTAATATACGTACGTTGTCAGCATATGCAGACGTCAAAGACGTGCTGGTTCCCGGGCTACGCCGTCCATCGAGGCTGCCGTGCTTGGAGCGTAGCGGACTGGGACTTGTCTCAGGTTGGCTCCTATTCTCTATCCTACTGCGCTCGCCCATGATGCTTATCTCCGCTCTGTTCCTCAGCACTGACCAAGCGCACTTTTTGGATCTGCCCTTCACTCTCGGGCATCTCGGCTGCCAAGCCGGCCACAGGCAGGATCGCAGGGGCTGCCGCTCGAGGCGATACGCTCGTACGTGGATCACCAGGTGCGCAAATCTTGCAGCCCACAAATTTCAGGCGAAGATGTCTGAGCCTGGAACTGGTCTAAGTCAAGATGGTGGTGGAAGTTCAGGTGAAACAGTGGCCTGTGGTTCGCATACATATGCAGTAGTCGCCGTTCTTTTGCTTACTAATTGCATTAGGTGCGCGCTGCTGCTTACGGACCTTGTCGCGAGGTGACGTGTCGCTGTGCGTAGCCCGTGAAGTCATGTGCCTCAGGGCGGCTAGTAAATTATTGAACAGCCAGTCTGCCTGTGCGGTCGAAGGCAATAGCCCGGGTTGCTGACGTTCGCTCAGATCGAAAGCTGCTGGAAGATAGCAAAATACGCTGTCTTGCTGACCGACTACACGAAGCTTGTTGCGATGCCGACTTCTCTAGATACGTTGCCTTACCGTTCACCATCACAATCTGCAACTCCTGGCTTCTCGGTACTCTCATTGTCGCCACTGTCCGCCGGTTCGCCGCCTTCGGCAGCGGCAGTTAGTAAGCAACACGACGGCGTCTTTTTGTCGCGCAATTCAAGCTGCCTTCAAAGCCTATGTGTGTCACATCAGAGAACGTCCTGACGATTCACAAAAACTTGGACAGCGAGTTGTGTTCTATGGTGATTTCATCCCGTCGGCTGAGCACGTCAACCTGCGTAACGGCCTCACAAGCCTTGTTATCATCTAGCAGATTACCATTTGCAATTGGTGCATCGTCTGCGAAACCTGGCATGCGTCTCTATCGCGCTGGCTGCTACACGCAATGTAATAGATCGAGCTCAGCAAATTGTTATATATTATCGCATCCGCACCAGATCTTGTATGTTATACAGACGGAGAAATTCATGAGAGGTTCTCGAGAAACACGCCAAAATATTCTGACTGTCGGGTGAAAATACAACTTCGCCTATGATCGCATCGCTCATGGGTCCATCGCCTTTTCCGATAAATGTCCCAGACTTCGCGCCATATATTTCGAGACTACCCTGTTGATTCGCGAAAGCAACGTAATCTCCATTCGGAGAGTATGCGACACAACGGGGTGTGAATGAAGGCTTGAAGTTGCGGCGTAGCAGGCCCGTCCGCGAGTCGTAAGCGAGAGCCGTTTTGTCCGCCGGGCAAGCGGCCAATACTTCGGCTCCATCTGGGGAGAATGCTACAGGGCATGACAGTTTTCTCTCGTTGCCGACTGTGAGAAGCCCTTTACCGGTCGCTGTGTTCCAAATCTTCACTCCATTACAGGAGTCGTATGTTGCGGTGACTACGTGATCGCCTTGGCGAGACATTGAACAGCCAGTCTTCCTGGCCTTCAAGTTGTTATGTTGCAATACAGCGACACACTTATAGGACTGCATATCGTAGATGAAACAGGGGCCGAATGTTCGAATGCACAGACGCGAGCTGTCCGGAGAGAAGGTGAATTGGTTTATACGCCAAGTTGAATCGGGTTTGAAGGAATCCAGACATGCTCCGGTTGAGACGTCCCAAATCTTCACAAATATGGCCCAGTCGGCTGTGACAACGCGCGCGCCATCAGGGGCATATGCAGCAACGTCCAATCCTCCTCTATGTCCTACGAGACGTCGGAGTACACAGCCGCGCTGAATATCCCAGACAATCGCGATCCCGTCGTCGTACGCTGTCACAAGAGCGCGGCTGTTAGGGGAAAACGACAGGGAAGTAACACCCTGGCCATGGCCCTGATGATGGAGGCGTTGAACTAACAGACCATCGGAGAGCCGCCATACAAGGGTATCGGCGGAGCTGAATGACGCCGCGAGAAGTTTGCCGTCGGTCGACATCGCATGGCATTTGCACTCAGCGCGCGGAAGTTGAGGATCGGTGAAGGCAAGCTGGCTTGACTTCCGAGTCAGCGGTCGGGTACCTCGGCTCACGAAAACGTGCCAATCTACCAAGCGACCAGCACCATGAAGGGAGATATTCGGCCATATCGCCAAGTCTGAGGCGGTGATGGTGCGGCGCGCACAGGCACGTTGTCGCTCATGGCGAAGTACATCTTCCACGCAGATCGATCCGACTGCGCGCAGCTGTTAGTGCTGATAATATTAGGGGATGAGGAACTCACGCGTGCCGTCGATGTCCACCGGAGGCTGCACTTGACGAAGGTAGCTTCCAAAGTCAACTACGCTGTTGCTACCCTGAGCGCAAGTAAGCCTCCACACTTGCTAAACGTCTTCAACAGTACTCACGACAATACTCTCAACATCATCGTCACTTGCAATGGCGACCTCGACGTCAGAGATCTGTGGCAACAAGACTTCGTTTAGTGGCACGAATAGAGATATTGTTCAGACTCACCTCGAGTATATAGTCAAGAAGGATGTCCAGCGGATCGGCGACTCCACCCTGGCACCTCGTCAGCTTGTGCTTCCCGTGACACACGATAATTAAATCCGTACCTCGCTCCCAGGCCCCAGTATGTCTACTATGTCCTCGTCTTCATCTTCCCGTGCCGTAACACCCACTCCCGAAGCACCTTGCCCATCCCCCGAATCCGGCGGTCGATCGTAGCCTGCGCCCGCGACGACCTTCTTCAGAACCCCCAGCCTCTTTCGAATCTTGTAGCGCTTCACCAGAACGCATTGGTCCCTCTTCGCCTCGGCAACATGGGAAGCGGACGCTTTCGCTTTCTTCTTTCTGGATTTAGTAAGAGGGGGATCGGACGGTTTCTTCAGGTAGTTTTGACCCTGCCTCTCCATCCTCGGACCCGTCATCGACCTCGAGTGCGACCCGCCGACTGCAGCCCCGGCAATGCCCCCAGCATGACCCTTAAGTGACACACTGGAGCTTGTGCTCGTGTTGCTGAACGCGACCGCTGCCCAATCGGCCGCGGTCTTGACCCAGCCACTGACTACAACAATGTCCTCCTGCTTGACGTCCTGGAATATGACGTCTCTGGTGTACGCGTACCATTTATCGCAGTGTTGGACGATGTACTTCTTCAGCAGCCGATTCCCGTATACCTTCTCTGCGTGCGCTTCGCTCTTAAGGACAAGAACCGCGCCTTGCGCTGCCTTGCATGTGTAACTGGTACCGAAGGTCACAGATACATTTGCGCTGGCCGTCCTGCACAGCCCAGAATGTTAGCGGGAGTGCACTTGTCAGATGAGCTAGTGCACTCACATCTCTGCCGAGACGTCCATCTGCTTGCTCTCCACCCCATGGCTGGGATAATCTTTCGGAACAAGCGGATTAGGCCTGGAGTCGACCTTGAATGCGTTAGCAGGCACGTGCTCGGTTATCTTGAACGGCGGATCCCAGAACGTGACCTTCTTCTCAGGTACGGAGGTGTCGAGATTGAACAGCCTGATGAACGCGCCCTCGTCCACGAAGCCGACATCGCCAATCTGTGGCTCGCCTGTCCCATGTGGCTCGGGGAACCAGAGAGCGTGGCCCAGATGGAGTGTCCGGAGACTAGAAGCATAGATTTCGTCTGGAGCAGACGGCGGACGAAACCAGCTGAAGATGCCCATGATGGGTCAGAGGGAGTGTGTATCGCAATACTTGCGGGCTGGCGGAACAGGGATGACGGCGCAAAGTCAGCCTGGGATGTTGCACCCGTGCATCGATAACAGTGGCAGCTCCGGCATCGTCGGCTTGATAGCTTCGCACGAATAAGAGCAATACGGGCGCCCAAGCGGCGAATGAAGAAACGTACCACGTTCAATCCCCAGATCCTCCTTGAAGAGGGATGTTGTTTGGATATCAAAGACTACTGTTGACTGCTTGGACGGCCAGCAACCAAGTAAGCATTCGACCGGGCGGCGTACAGTTCGCACCGCATATCGACAGAGCAATTAAAGCTTGGCGCTCCGGTTCAGCTTCCACCTTTAATGCTTATGGGGGCGACGGCGCGCGTGAAGCCAGCTAAATACACACGAATGTCAAGCGGCCATGATATAGCCGCAGCTTCGATACTTAGTTATGAGGACACTGATAGCGCGAAGCTAACGCAGATTCACTGTCGAAGTCATATGCATATAGCTGTGAAGATGTGCTACATGCCCAGAAACTGTAGCTATGTCGTTACAATACGCCGTCACAACACCGCCATAAATTCCCCCCGAGGACCCGGGGTTGGCGTTGCTCGGCAGAACGAATGCCTCATGTCTCGCAATAGCTACTTCGGCAGTTGAGATCTGAGATACAAGAAAGTCCTCATGAGCGGAGGGGCGACGCAGGTTTAGCATACCTTGTGTATGTAGCCTAAAAGGACATTCAAGTGTCACCAAACGCTCACTACGAAATTAGTACATTAGTAACTGTCACAGAGCACCACGATTCGACACTCGCGTCATAGCTACACTCTAGCAAACTGCTCTTAAAATCGCCATCCTCCGAGTCTCCGGTCTTTTATACATTCAGCACGATATTCGCCTCTCGTCCAGAAATGATGCTCGCCCGCGGCTGCTACGTCTGCTCGCAAAATCCCAGACTACCTTTGGGCCTGCACCGCCTCAAAGAAGTACACCGGTCCTATGCAGCCTGAGCTCTGCGCCATCACCGGCCCAAACTCAGGCGATGGGGCATGACTTGCGCCAGGGTGGCTGATCACTGCGAGGGCCTGGCGCGGCATAATCTTGACCGAACCCTGGGAGGACAGGATCTTCAAGACTTGACGTTGTGCGCCGAGGCCCTCGCACAGGAACATGAATGGTCGTGATTCTGAGCTTTGTGAGGGCGGTTTTCTGAATTACCCGATACTTTGACAGGCCTGTTGCCTCATGAGTTCGCATCAAGAGACGCAAGTTGCCATGCTCACCCTCAAACAGACAGACTCAGGTGGTATATCATCCTGAGCAGCGACGTCATGCCTGTTGTCGTGCCTGGTGGCTCCACGGCTGCCGTGATGCTCGGGGCACAAACCAGTCGTCCAGAAGGGAAGCTGGGCACGCTTTGTGAGTCTTGCTTCATCAGTTCGGCGCTTCAGCATTATAGCCATAACATAGAGTGACAGTGAACAAGATGTAGCCGCAGCAAGCTGGAAGCAATAGATATACGTGAGGGTCGCGTTCAGGTTCAGGTTGGCCTGCAAAGCGAGATTTTGGTGCGACGTTGTTTAGCGCCTAGGAACCGGCAAAAGCCGAGGAGATCACGCGAACCAAACCAGCCTGCGCTGCCCCGGCGTTCGCGCCGGCCTACAAGAACTTTCTCGCCGGCAGTTGTCTATCCGAAATCAACCCTGCTCGAGTCGAGCGGACTCATTGTGCATGCTTTTACTCGCGCTGAGAGTACGCATACCCGTAGGCTTCTCACTGACGTCCATGAATCACTTCGTTGCAGGAAATCGTTATTGCATGTAACAATGTTCGATCCGACCTGACACGTTTTGACACCTAATACTCTCGCTCGTACATATTTTTGAAGCCTTTCATGATGTTAGAATTTTAATCATCTCGTACAGCACAAACGGCCAGCCCTAACTTATAGATGTACAACGACTCGAAGCCCTGCTACCAGAGACTGAGCCTCCAGGTTAGACACCGTTAGTGATGTGCGGGCCCGGCTTGGGCTCAAAGCCCGGGCTTGGGCTTGTGGTGACATCGAGCTGAGCTCTGAGCCCGAGCCGAGCCCGAGCCCGGCCCAAGCCTTGGGCTTAAGCCCTGGCTTGCTCACAATACAACGAGTGTTCCGGTACTATCAAAAGGGAATGTATTTGGGTGTAGTGGATTAATACTGCATGTACTCACTAGATTATAACCTCCAGAAGATCTACACCTGCGGAACAAGTCGAGTTGCAGCGAAGTCCACGAGCGTGCGCCTACGGCAGGCACCAGATGGTGACGCACAATCGTGCTTGGCAGGAGCCGTTACGTCTAGAATATCTACATTTTGTCTTCTATGTGCATATTAGGTCGCTCTCTCCTTATTCTGAACTCAGGGAACGGTAACGGAGCCAGCACACCCAAGCCTGGGCTTCCGGGCCGGGCTTGGGCTTGACTACGCTCCGAGCTCAGCCTTGAGCCCGCTGCCAGGCTTGACTCGGGCCAGGCTTTTTGGGCCGGGCTTGGCGGGCTTGGAGGCTTTGATGCCCGGCCCGCACATCACTAGACACCGTTGTGAAAGCAGCTAACTCTAAACTTGCAGAAGGGACATACCTTTCAGTTTTCCTCCCTTCCCACGAGAGCCCCACAATGCTATCATGAGATCTTTCTGCTCACCGATTTGCTACGCGGATATCTCACCATGACTCCGCTCCCCACACTGGCTGCGTTTAGAGATAAGACAAGTACTTGCAGAAGGAGATTATGGGCATAACATGAGTTATAGCTGATGTCGTACAGGTATTTACCCACGTGCTTACCTGAGGAAGTGTCACTCATAAGTAACAGGACAATTGCATGAAGGCCGAAACTCTAGCTGCTCTGCACATCAGTTGTCAGCGCAGCGATGACTTCTGTTACATACCACATATCACGGGTCAAAGTGCTCAGTTATCGCAGACCTGCATTGTTTGATGCAGAATTGACGTCTCCTCAAGGCCTCGAGAACGATCATCTTGCATGATCAATCTTGGCAGCTGCCAATATAGCTCTCAGGCATTTGTATGACCTGTGACATCTTCAGCTGGATGAAAAGTTTGCCTAGCAATCTTACAAGAAAGCTTCTCGTCTGCCTGGCGCTCCCGCTCCATTTCTCGTTCGCCTGGATCGGCATATCCCCTCTGCACGACACTGGCATATATCCCACCCCTCGGTGCCATCATACGCCAGGTGCATAACCCCTCCCCACCAATGCACTGCATCTACATCATCAGCATATGCCAACGTCAAGGACGCGCTGATTCCCGGGATACACTGTCCGATCAGAGAGGCTACCATACCTGGAGCATGGCAAACTACAGCCGATCTCAGGGTCAGTCTTATTCTTTATCCTCTCACATATGCCCATGATACTTATCTCCGCTCTATTCCTCAGCACCGACCAAGTGTACTTTCTGGATCTGCCCTTTGCTCTCGGGCATCTCGGTTGCTAGACAGGCAACAGGCAGGATCGCAGGAACTGCGGCCCGACGCGATGTGCCCGCATGCAGACCACAATGAGCACAAATTTTGCAGCCTGCATGCTTAGAGTGAAGATGCCTGCACCTGGGGCCAGTCTATGTCTGGAGTGGCTCCGATGGTAGCAAAATTTCAGGCAAAACAATGGCTTCTGAGTCACGTAAGTGTGCCATACTCACTGTCTCACTGCCTATGAACTGCACTAGGTGCACGCAGCCACTTGCAGAATTTGTCGTGAGGCGATGCATCGCTATGCGCAGTGAGTGATGTTTTGTGCCTCAAGACCGCAAGTGAAGTTCTGAACACCTAGTTTGCTTCTGTGGTTGAACACGGCAGCCCAAGTCACTGACATTTGTTGGGTTGAAAGCTGCCGGAAGGTGGCAAAATATTACCAAGGCCTACATTCAATGACATTCCGGCTCAAAATTTAGCATTTTGGATATGCTCCTTCTGTCTCTCGCATGTATGGTATCGTCCTGCCGATTGACTACATGAAGCTTGCTGCTGCATGACTTCTCTAAACACATCGTTTTACTGTTCATCATTGTCCCCCTGGCTCCTCACTGCTCTCATTGTCATCACCACTCCGATAGCCGCCTTCGGCAGCAGCACTGTGACTGGCAAGCAGCATAATCCTCTTTTTTTTATCGCGCACATTCAAGCCACCCTCAAGGCTTATGTATGCACATCAGGAAATATCCCCATCATTCACGGAACTGGGATGATTGCTACTAGTGAGTTCTGTTCTGCAGCACTTTTCTTGCGGAGTCACCGGCTGAGCATGGCAATCTGCATAGCAGCCTCACGAGCCTTGTCGTCATGCAACAGATTATCATGTGCGATCGGTACACCATCCGTGAGATCTGGCATGTGCGGTAATTATGCCAACCGCCCTCTAACTCCTAAATTAATTTCTTCCCCCATGCTGGCCAGGCTGCTATGCACAATGTAGTAGATCGAGCTCGGCAGATTGCTATACACTATTGCACCTGAACTAGATCATGTATGTTACACAGATGCAGAGATTCATGAGAGATCCGTGTGAAACGCAACAGAACAGTCTGGCTATCAGGTAAAAATTCAGCCTTCGCTAGTGCTGTGTTATCTTCAAATCCTTCGACCTTTCTGATGAACGTCTGAGACTTTGCATCATACACTTTGAGACTGCCATGGCTATTCGTGAAAACAACATAGTCTCCATTTGAGGAGTATGCGACACAGTCAGGCATGTGCGACAGCCTGAAGGTATGGCGTAGCCGGCCTGTCCGCTAGTCGTAAGTGAGAGCAGTTTTGTCTGCCCTGCAAAATGCCAATACCTCGGCACTGTCTGGGGAGAATGCTATAGGATGTGACAGCTTCCTCTCCTCATCAATTGTGATAAGCTTTTGACTGGTCACCGCATCCCAAATTGTCACGGCGCCATTCCCAGAGTATGTTCCAGTGACTATGTGATTGTCTTAGTGGGACATTGATAAATGGATCAAGTCGGTCGTGTTGTAATGCAATTTAGCAATGCATCTATAGGTTTGCATATCATAGATGAAACAAGAGTGGAGTACTTTGATATACAGACGGGAGCTATCCAGAGAGAGGATGAGCTGGTGAATGTGCCGGCTGAGGGCAAAGGAGTGTAGACATGCACCGGTTGAGGCGTCCCAAATCTTCACAGATTTCTTCAAGTCAGATGTGGCAATGAGTGTGCCATCAGGGGAATATATGGTATTGTCCACCAATGAACAATGTTCTGTGAGATGTTGGAGTATATAGCCACGTTTAACATCCCAGACAATCGCGGTCTTGTTGTTGGACTCTGAGACAAGAGCAGCGCCATTAGAAGAAAATGACAGGGTCACAATCTGCTTGCTATGGCCCTGACAATGGAGGCATTGAACCAGCCGACCATTGGGGAGTTGCCATATAAGGATTTCAGTGGAGTCAAATAATGCGGCAAGAAACTTGCTGTCAGTTGGCAGCACATAGCAGTAGCACATGAAGAGGGGGTTTTGAGGGTTGGTAAAGACAACCTGCTTCAACTTCAGCAGGGGAATGTCTGGGTACACGGAGGCGTGCCAATTCACCAAGCGACCAGTGCCATCGAGAGAGGCATTCAGCCAGTTCGCAAGGTTGGAGGAAGTGATAGTGCGATGTGCAAAAGCAAGTTCCCGTTCATAGCAAATTATGTCTTCCACGCAGAGCGATCTGACTGCATGCAACTATTAGAGCTAATACCATTAGTGAATAAAAAACTCACACGTGCCATTGATGTCTACTGGAGGTTGCACTGGATGAAGGTAAGTTGCGAAGTCAACCACACAGTTGCTAGTGGTTGAGAGTCCGGTCCAGCCCAGTCTTTTTCAGAAATTGTGTCAGACCAGGACTCTGACCAGTCAAGGACCAGCACAAGTTTGTGCAGGACCGGACTAAGACTGGGTCCTGGTCTTATGCAGTCCTTCTTGCAGTCCAAGACTAGTCATGACCGGTCTAGGACTGAATTCAGTCCAAGACTGGTTCAGACCAGCTCAGACCAGTTCTCCCCTGGTAAATATCACACAAATCAACCAATTTCAACTTAGAGTTGCATGTACAAGTAGACTACCAGTGTAATAAGCTATTTTCAGGACAAATTAGCCATGGAGACATACTAATCAGCCAATTCAGGGAGCTCAATGTGTTCATCTGCTAGAGCAGCACTTTCAGGCCAGCATGCAGTGGGCACTGCATAGCTAGTAGCCTGCATGGAAATGTTATGGATTCTAAGCCAGCAGGTGGTTGGGGTACCATGCTTGGCTTCTCTGGAATGTGAGGTGGCATCAGAGCCTATGAGCTGGGATAGCCTGACAATGTGCAAGTATGGTGGAGTGCTATGAGATCTCCAGATAGCCTAATGCCACCTCCAGGGTGTTCACATTGAGGTATTTCACAATATGCACACTGGTGGACAAACCCTTAGATAAGTATGAGATGGTCCATCTGGGTGCAGCCATTCAAAGGTGTGCATAGAACATTGCACAGCACCTCCTGTGGCTTGTTGGCACCCTGGCACTCCCACGGCACTTCCAACTGTGACAGGCGCCTGCTGCATCATGTCAGCTTTTGCTGTTTTCCACTTGTGTGCAGCTACTTTTGTGCATTTCATATGGTGTGTCCTCTCTTTCTCCTGTCTTTCTTGATGAAGGTGGAGGAGCTTGAATTGGCCCAGTCACTTGCTGAAACAATCTTGAATGTGCAGGAGGCTTGCAATCAGAAATCTTGAGACCCCTCCCCTCTAAAAAATGACGATATAAACTCATACAAGTAGCCAAGATATTGTATAGTGCAAAGATGTGCCGGCAATACCAGTATTACAATGATTTTCTTGTTTGTATAAAGCTTGAGTTTCTGAGTGAATTTATTGGCATTCTACATTTATATTGCATCTCAAAGCATGTATTTAGAATATATACTATGGAATAAAACCATTTACATGCTGTACATAACTGTGTGTCTATGCGTGGCAGCCATGGAACTGTTGACAAGGTCAATCCACAGCACCTGCCTAATTAGGATGCAAGCTGCAGCCAAGCCCAAGCTGAGCCACTAGCTTATGGCTTGCAGTGGCATGCAGCTTGAGTTGGGCTTTTGCAAGCCTGAGCTAAAGCCGTCATATTCTGGGCCAAGCTGAGCCAGTCAAACTACTACTTTTGATCAGTCCGTGACTGGTCCTGGCTGGTCATGACTGGTCCTAAGAGCATCAGAGGCCATCTGGGACCAAGGACTGTGACCAAGACTGGACTGATGTAGGACTGGACTGTACCCAGTCCTAATCAGTCCAGTCTCAGTCTAAGTCCCAGTTCTAACTGGTCCTTAGGACTGGACCCTCAACTACTAATTCCAGCTCTGCGCATAACATGGGATCGAGATTTCATTCTGACCCACTCTGAAACCGATGCATTAGAGATGTCTTCCGCTTGCCACACATCTCTTATATCATCTTTAACATGACAGGCACAGCTGTGTGACATTCCACTGCTGTGAACTGCAGCTCAGCATGCCCATCACTGCAATTCATCCTGCCTTCCAGCACCATGCTATCCAGGCCTTTGCGGCCACCAAAGTGAGACAGGATTTTCAATGGTGAGTGATGATGCACTACGTCACAATGATTGCTGAGATGTCTCACAGTCTGTCTGAACATTAAAGAGATGATCAGATCACTCAGTGACCTTTATTGAAAGTCCTTGGTCTGGCGTGCATCAATTCTCAAGGTGAAAATGTCAACCATACACTGCGCACGCTATGGCTACAGACTCTTCAGGCGGTGACAACCAATGTCAAACTGTTTTGCGCTGCCCTGCGTTCTACTGGAACCATCATTTCAGGCAGTGTGTGTCTCACTTTCTTGGATTGCAACATGACGTTCATCTCCAATGACTGGGACTGCTACACACCTGATCAAAACTTCAACGCTTTTTGTTCCTTCTTTACAGGAACTTTATGTGGTGTTGAACGATTCTACTCACACACCAAGGCATACGAGGAAAGTCTCCAAGAAGAGAAGGATCCCGCTGCCACTCCGCGAGCAGGTTTCACAGAGCACTGAGTTATCGAAACTTTGTTCGCCTGCTTCAACGTCCTGCACAGCCTCTCCACAGTGGCCACGTATTCTCTCAGCTTCTACCATTCAACCACTGTCATGAATTACATCTTGGCAGACAAGTTCTACATTGCCTACCCTTGGTCCTTCTGCGAATGCACCGGAACCCTCTCTAACACTATCACTCATCAGAGCGCTCACAGGGCCATCATCAAGTATGGCCAGCATGGATATAAGCTCGTCAACACTGCTGTTGAGATGTGAGACAAACCTGTTCTGCCCAATACTTGCCTGCCATATAGCATGTGTTGCCGCCAACCAAGATACTTCAGAGACCATTTCAGAGTACGATTAGTATTTGATGAAGCAAGCAGCATTAGTGGGAATGGCAGCACCTACTGTCCTTTGTTCACTGGCTGCTGGGTACGAAGTGGAAACAGCTGCAGCTCAGAGATGTGTCTCTGCACTATTGATCTGGCTGTTTACACTGTAGTGCAGCCTCGGGATGGAGCTATCGTTGATCACCTGTAATTCTACACTGTATCTGGTTTAAATTCAGGTAATGAAATACATGCTCCATTCTCAGAAGTGTGCATTTCATGCTAGCCTTTGACCAATGGACCACTCAACGCCATGTGCAAAGAGTGCCATGCTCTGCGGACATATCCACTTCTCTGGTCTAAGGATCGATGATCCTCTGTTCAGCTTCTAGGTGGGTCAAAATGAAATATGAATGGAATTCTTGCATTCAACCCCTTCCACCTTTTCCCCTGACTGGGTAATAGGCCTTCCTTTATTCGGCTCCTTGGTGGATCAGAATGAAATGCCACAGGTAACTCCTGACTCCTGGTACAAGTGTCGTTCCACAAGATGACATCTGGCCACTGGCTACTAATGTGAAAAGTCACCTGTTCCTCATTCACTACTTACTGTCACTGAACTCCCGGCAGCACCCACTACAGCAAATATCATGCTGGGTACATTGCCATTACTCACACGATATAAGTCATACTGATTCACATAGATATCTGTGAGGCAACTGCTCTGCCAGCTTTGCAGCCTGGCCTGGCTCTCAATCAACTGCCAACTGAGCTTGCCTTCATGGTAATCAAGCACCTAAACAACCAGCTGTTACTGTGCCGCTTGTTATGTGTCAGCTGACGCATGTGCGATTATGCATTGGCTTGCAAATCCTTCTTTTGAGAACTCAATATCACCCACAAGTGGGATGAGGACCGCATCAATAACCTCCTTCTCTGCTTCTCCAAAGACAACTCCATTTGCATCAGAATTAAACACTTCACTTTAGTTGGGGATGGTATCACAGAGGATGATCTTTGCAACCACGGCGCTGCAACTCCTCCCTTGATTGCAACTCAACTCACTGCAATAGGTTAGACCTTTCCTCAGCTAAAGGTGCTTGATATCATTGGCACATTTTGGCGCCACGCAACAGCTACCCCTGCCTCATCCACACTGGATGTTGCACTGGCAATGGTGTTCGGGTCCTTGCTTCACACTGTTAACCTCTCTGCCATTGTGATTGACATCGGAGCCACCAGGTCTCTGTTTGAAGTGCTCTGCACAATGCCTGGACTTAGAACAGTGGTGATGGGAATGTACCAGTTCCTTTCCCCCCTGCGATGCCCGCCCCCTACTATTCTACCATTCCTTGAAATGCTGGAGATTCATGCAGATGTCACAGCATCGAACATTGTTCCAGTACTGCACTCAGCCTTGACACACATACTGTATCTTCCTCAGCTAACCACTCTTCACATCTACAAATATCGTGTTATGGAAGCTCAGCTGCTAAAGGCTGTGATTTGTGCTTGTGCTCCTTGTCTGGCTGATTTCACGTTAACCTTTGAAAAGAGCAGCTTTTGTGAGTCAGCCATTTCCTGCTTAAACAATGCTAACTTCTCTACAGATGCTTATAAACAGATACCCCTGCTAGTCCTTCCACTAGACTGCTACCCCAGACTACGCCATGTTGACCTGGCTATCCCCTGCTTTGGCTTGCGATTCACGACTGGGGCCATGTGGGGCCATCAGTTCTTGGTTCACGCTGCACGGTCACTGCCAGTAATAGTCGAAATGTTCACCCTCAGCTGCACTTGTGGGTCTCCCATTTCTGTTCCTATGGATCCGAACAGTCACCTTGAATCCGAACTGCAGGCTGTACCTTGGCAAGAAATCTTCACCATGCTACTTGCCATCTCTGACCTGCAAAAGGTCACAGTGTCGCTGCAATGGGGAGACTTGCTCTCTGACATCAAGTGGGACAACACCACCACTGCAATTGTTAAAAATTGTAGTGCATCTCTCCACGATATGTACCTAATGAGGGTCCTGCAACAATCTGCTTATGCATCCATGTCAGTCTCACTTGAGCTTCAGGATGGATTGCTGCGAGACCTGTATTTTGGTTTATTTGTACTGTAGACTGTGACTACAATGTTCTGTGCCCTTATTGTAACTGTGTCTGGCCTTTGTTCAATGCTTGGTGTAATTTTAATGGACAATAAAGTCACATACTTTGGCACTGCACCAAACCGTTGCACCTGCAACGCAGTCTGTTCAGGGCGATGTGCTTAGTAGGCAGGGGTTCTTGCACATGATCCAGTTGGGCCCATGTTAAGAATATCCGCATTTTTTGCTAAATAGAAACCACACGTTCTCTCTCTCTCTCTGTCTCCTCTCTATCTTTCTCACTGCATCTATCTCCATGGCCTACTTGTACAATGTCCGCAACTTCATTCTGGACAACCTTCACCTGACAGGAGGAATCCGAGGTGTCACCATAGACACTGATGGCACAGTGCATTATACACCAGACACAGATGAAGAAGACAGACCTTGCCACACCTTTAATGCAACCGTATGAGATAATGGCGAGCGCCATTGTTTCTCGATATTCCATACCATATCTGTCACAGACTGTCAGTGCTTTCTCTGCGCAGAACATTTCCTGCCATTCTTGTTCAAAGGTCAACTGCTGCTGCTGCGCCACGCCATCTGTGGGGGATGTAACAGGTTTGTGCACATGACCGATGGAGATAAGGACTATGTTGTACTCCTGGTGAAGAGGTATATAGCCTTGTTCCTATTTGATTGCCACCCAAGTAACCTAGTATTAGGGCTGCGTTGCACTATTTCCGCAACTGTTGATATTATGCATACGGGATCTCTCCACGTAATATAACTGGCACAATCTGATGTGTATGATAAGGCATTATTAGTGTTGGTGTACCGTATTGGTGAAGTGCAAATTGGTTCCTGCAGCCAAACCCTAACCCTCCTCCTCTGGGGAATCGGCGGGTGAGGCGAAGCCAATATCCCTCGAGTGAGATTCTGGTGCGACATTTTTGGCGCCCGGGAACTGGCAAAAGCCGAGGTGATCACGTGAACCAAACTAGCGCCCGACATAAAAACTTTCTCGCCAGCAGTTGCCCACCTAAAATTGGCCATGCTCGAGTTGGGTGGCCTCATTATGCATGCTTTTAACCGCAGCCACACAACTGAGAGTAGGCACAACCGTACGCTTCTCACTGACATCCATAAATGTCATCGTTGCGGGAAATCATCGTTGCATGCAACGATGTTCGATCCAACCTGACACGCTTTGACACCTAATACTCTCGCTCATACATATTTTTGAAGCCCTTTATATGCCAAAAAATTTACTCACCTCGCACAGCACGAACAGCCAGCCCTAAGATGTACAACGACTCGTAGCCCTGCTACCAGAGACTGAGCCTCTAAGTTGGACACTGTTGTGAAAGCGGCCAACTCTAACCTTGCAGAAGATCTATACCGTCCAGTTTATTCCCTTCCCACGAGAGTCCCGCGACACCATTGTGAGATTATTCCGCTCACTTGTTTGCTAGGCGAATTTCTCACCACGACTGACTGCTCTCAGTGTCAGCTGCCTTTAGAGAGAAGACAGGTACTTGCGGAAGGAGATTATGAGCGCAGCGCGAGCTGTCGCTGGTGTCGTACAGGCACTAACTCATACGCTTACCCAAGGAGATATCCCTCGCAAGTAACAGAGCACTCACCTACTCTGCACGTCGGTTGTCAGCGCGGCGATGACTTCGGTTGCATCCCGCATATCACGGGTCAAAGCGCTCAGTTACAGTAGACCTGTGTCGTTTGATGCTGGATCAATGTCTCCTAAAGGCCTCAAGAATGATTGTCTTGGCGGTCGCCAAATACCTGGACGCTGCCTTGCAGCCAATATGGCTCTCAGGCGTTTGCATGACCCGTGACATCTTCGGCTGGATGCAAAGTTTGCCTAGCCAGCTTGCAAGGAAGCTTCTCGTCTGCCTGGCGCTCCCGCTACATTTCTCATTCGCTTGGATCGGCATATCCCCTCTGCACGACACTGGCATATATCCCACCCCTCGGTGCCACCATACGCCGGGCACATAACCCCTCTCCACCAATGCACTGCACCTACATTGTCAGCGTATGCCGATGTCAAGGAGACGCTGATTCCCGGTATATACCGTCCGATCAGGGAGGCTACTGTACCTGGAGCGTGGCGGACTACGGCCGGTTTCAGGTTATTTCTTATTCTTCATCCTCCCGCGCATGCCCATGATACTTATCTCCGCTCTATTCCTCAGCACAGACCAAGCGCACTTCCTGGATGTGCCATTCGCTCTCGGGCATCTCGGTTGCTAAACCGGCAACAGGTAAAACCGCAGGGACTGCGGCTCGAGGCGATACGCCTGCTCGCAGATCACAGCGAGCGCAAATTATGTGGTCTGCAAGTTTCAAGCGAAGATGTCTGCGCCTGGGCCGGTCTATGTCAGGGGTGGCTCTGATGGTGGCAAAATTTTAGGCGAAGCAGTGGCCTGTGAGTCGTGTAAATGCGCCATACTCACCGTCCTTCTGCCTACTAACTGCATAAGGTGCGCGCAGCCACTTCCAGATCTTGTCGTGAGGCGATGCGTCGCTATACGCGGCGGATGAAGTTTTGAGCCCCAAGACCGTAAGTGAAGTCCTGAATACCTAGTCTGCTTCTGCGGTTGAACACGGCAGCCTGGGTCACTGACGTTTGCTGGGGTCGAAAGCTGCCGGAAGGTAGCAGATATCATCAAGGCCCACATTCACTGGAATTGAGAGCTGCCGGAGAATAGCGTTATGCTGCTATATTGACCATGGGTACGCTGTCCGACTCAAAATTCAGCGTTGAGGGTATGTTCGTTCTGTCTTTCGCACGTGTGGTATTTTCCTGCTGACTGACCACATGAAGCTTGTTATGGAAACGACTCTAGAAACTCTTCGCAGTGAGTTTCTCACACGCAGGGCCCGGCTTCGACTGTCGGGCGCGCTTGAAGCTAGCAGAACGGATGCTCAGTCCGTAGCTCAGAAGAGGGGAAGTCTCTTTGATGTATTTACCTAGCAGAACGGATGCTCAGTCTGTACTGCAATACAGTCAGTACCCTACAGTGTCCATAATGAGAGGATATACGCACGCTCAGAAGAAGGGAAGTCTCTGAGCGTGCACGACAGGGAAAAGCGAGTAAATAAGGAAAGCGGTAGGTGCCTTAGCAACTGGTGAGTCAGGAACGAAATAACGAACGCGCTATCTAATAAAATACTGTCCAATAGGAATTTGAGTCATCCCGAGACATGTGCGTGTGAGCGCACGAGCCCAGAATCCAACAACGACTTCTCTAGGTAAGTCGACTTACCGTTCATCGTCCATCGCCGTCTGCAACATCGCTGCTCTTTTGGCTCTTTGCCGCTCTCGCCGTCATCACTATCCTGATTGCCTTCGGCACCGGCACTTAGCAAGTAGCATGATGCCACATCTCTGTCATACACATTCAAGCCGCCTTCAAAGACTATATATGACATGTCGGGGAACGCTCCGACAGTTCGAGAAACCTGAATGGTGATCGCTGTCAATGATTTATCTTCCACACTATTTCCTTCGCGTCGGCTGAGCATGACTCGGACAATCTGCGCAACAGCCTCACAAGCCTTGTCGTCATGCAACGGATTATCATGTGCGATTGGTATATCGCCCCTGAGACCTGGCATGCGCGGTAATTATGCCGACCGCCCTCTGATTCCTGAACTAAATTCTGCCCCATGCCGACCGCTGTGCACAACGTATTAAATTCAGCTCGGCAAATTGCTATACACTATCGCATCCGGACTAGATCATGTATGTTACACAGACACAGAGGTTCATAAGAGGTCCGTGTGAAAATCAACAGAACAGTTTGGCTGTCAGATAAAAACTCAGCTCCCCGTATTTCTGCATTCCTGACTCCTTCGACCCTTCCGATGAAGGTCCGAGACTTTGCGCCATACACTTCGAGACTGCCGCGCATACCCGCAAACACAACGTAGTCCCCATTCGGGGAGTACGCAACATGACTGGGCGTGTGTGACAGCCAGAAGATATGGCGTAGCTGGGCCGTCCGCGAGTCGTAAGCGAGAGCCATTTGGTCCGTGTAGCGACCCGCCAATATCTCGGTACCGTCTGGGGAGAATGCCACAGGGGCTGTCGGCCTTCTCTCATCGTCAATTGTCATAAGGTCTCGACCGGTCGTCGCGTCCCATTTCATCACGCCATTCCTGTGGGATGCTCCGGTGACTATGCGATCGCCTCGGCGAGTCATTGAGAAGCTGATCGAGTCGGTATTGTCATGCCGCAATACAGCAATGCGTCTATAGGTTTGCATGTCGTAGATGACACAAGAGTCGGGTACTTTAATACACAGACGGGAGCTATCCGGTGAGAAGATGAGCCGGGATGCATATCCGCTGAGGGCGAAGGAATGTAGACATGCACCGGTTGAGGCGTCCCAAATCTTCACGAATTTGTCCAAGTCAGATGTGGCGATGAGTGTGTTGGCAGGCGAATATGCAGTGTTGTCCACACCCGAACGATGTTCTTCGAGACGTCGGAGTACACGGCCACTTTGAACATCCCAAACAATCGCGGTCTTGTCGTCAGACCCTGAAACAAGGGTGTGGCCATTGGAAGAAAACGATAGGGATCTAACATTCTCGCTGTGGCCTTGATCATGAAGGCGTTGAACCAGCAGGCCGTCGGGAAGCCGCCATACAAAGATGTCAGTGGAGTTGAATGACGCGGCGAGAAGGTTGCCGTGCGTCGACACCGCATAGCATATACACTCAGCATCTGGATGTTGAGGATCAGTGAAGACAAGTTGTTTCGACTTCAGTGGTCGAGCGTCTGCTTCCTCTGGGCCCACGAATGCGCGCCAATCCACCAAGCGACCAGCGCCGTCGAGGGATGCATTCGGGCTCTTCGCCAAGTCGGAGGCGGTGATCCTGCGACGCGCAAAATCGCATTCTCGCTCATGGCAAATTACGTCTTCCATGCAGAACGATCCGACTGGGTGCAACTATTAGAGCCGATACCATTGGCGAACAAGGAACTCACGCGTGCCATCGATGTCTACCGGAGGCTGCATTTGACGAAGGTAGCTTGCAAAGTCAACTACATGGTTGCTACCCTGAGCGAAAATAAGTCCCTGCGCTTATACGATATTTTCAATAGCGCTTACGACGATACTCTCGACGTCGTTGTCGCTTGCAATCGCGACCTCGACATTGGAGACCTGTGATAATAGGATCCCGTATAGGTGGCCGATCGATACATCAATGTTCAATAGACTCACCTCCAGTATGTAGTCAAGAAGGACGTCTAGCGGATCGGCGACTTGACCCTGGCATCTCGTCAGCCTGCGCGCTCAGCGACACGCAGTAATCGAAAACGTACCTCACTCCCAGGACCCAGTATGTCTACAACGTCCTCTTCCTCATCTTCCCGCTCCACAATGCCAACTCCCGAAGCACCTCGCACATCTTCAGGACCCGGCAGTTGATCGTAGCCTGCACCCGCAACAACCTTCTTCAGAATTCCCAGCCTCTTTCGAATCTTGTAGCGCTTCACTAAGACACATTGGTCCCTCTTTGGCTCGGCGGGACGAGAACCGGACGCTTTCGCTTTGTTCCTCTTCGCTTGAGCAGGAGGGGCATCGATCGGTTGCTTGAGGTAATCCTTACCCTGTCGCTCCATCCTAGGACCCGTCATCGACCTCGAGTGAGACCCGCCGACTGCAGCCCCAGCAACACCGCCAGCATGACCCTTAAATGACACACTGGAGCTTGTGCTCGTGTTGCTGAACGCGACCGCTGCCCAATCTGCCGTAGTCTTGACCCAGCCACTGACCACGACAATCTCCTCCTGCTTGATGTCCTGATCGATGTCGTCCCTGGCGTACGCGTACCATCTATCGTAGTGCCGGACGATGTACTTCTTCAGCCGCCGACTCTCGAATATCTTCTCTGCGTGCGCTTCGCTCTTCAGAATGAGGACCGCGCCTTGTGCTGCCCTGCAAGTGTAGCTGGTGCCGAAGGTCACAGATACGTTTGGGCCGGCCGTCCTGCACAGCCCAGAATGTCAGCGGGGTACATTTGTCAGACGAATTGGTGCACTCACATATCTGCCGAGACGTCCATATGCTTGCTCTCTACCCCATGGCTGGGATAATCTTTTGGAACGAGCGGATTAGGCCTGGAATCGACCCTGAATACTCTAGGAGGCACGGGCTCCGTGATCTCGAACGGCGGATCCCAGAACGTGACCTTCTTCTCAGGTACGGAGGTGTCGAGATTGAACAGCCTGATGAATGCGCCCTCATCCACGAAGCCGACATCGCCAATCTGTAGCTCGCCTGTCCCATGAGGCTCGGGGTACCAGAGGGCGTGACCCAGATGGAGTGTCTGGAGACTGGACGCATAGATTTCGTCTGGAGCTGACGGCGGACGAAACCAGCTGAGCATGCGCATGATGGGCCGGGAGTATCGCTGCACTTGCGAGTTGGTGGAACAGAGATGACGGCGCAAAGCCAGCCTGGGATGTTGCGCGCCATGCATCGATAACGGCGGTAGCTCCGGCGTCATCGGCCTGACAGCTTCGCACGAAGAAGAGCAAGACGGGCGCTCAAGCGGCGAATGAAGAAACATTGCTCACGTTCAGTCCACAGGATCTGCTTGAAGAGAGGATGCTCCATAAATATCGAAGACTACTGTTGAATGTTTAGTGGCTGATAACTGAGTAAGTGAGCACTTGATCGGGCGACGTACCGAGTCTGCATCATCGACCGAGCAACCAAATCTTAGCGCTCAGCCTCCATGGTCGTATACTGCTGTGGACATGCGAACCCTCTGATGCTCGTGGTGACGGCGGTGCGGAGCCAACTAAACACTCTAACATCAAGCGACCGTGACAAAGCCGCCGCCCCAGTACCTAGTCATGAGGACAGTGGTCACACGAAGCCAACGCAGATTCGCTACGGAAGTTGTACGCATATAGCTTCGAAGGTGTGCTACATGCCCAAAGACCGTAGCTATGTCGTTACAGCACGTCATTACATCACCGTCATGACAGCCTCCCGTCGACCCAAGGCTGGTACAGTCTGGTAGTACGGTTTCCTCATGTCTCGCAATTAGCTAGTTCGGCATTTGAGACCTGAGATACAAGTCCTCATGAGCGTTGTGACGACGCAAGTTCAATGAGCATACCTTGCATACGTTGCCTGAGCGGATGCCTGCTCGCGAGATCCTATACCGCCACTGGAGCCTGCACTGTTTAGAAGAGGCGTACAGGTCATGTGTAGCCTGAGCATTGCGCTACCGTCAGCCCAGATGCAGGCGATAGGTCATGACTTGCGCTAGGGCAGCCGATCACCGGGAGAGCCCAGCGGGGCTTTATTTTGACTGGGCCACCAGGAGAGCAGAGTCTTCGAGATTTGACGCCGCGTGTTAACGAGTCCCTTGCACAGAAGTATGGATAGTTGCGATCCTAGCCTTTGTGAAGGCACTTGTCCAACGTTTGACAGGCACAGACTAGTCGTTTTGCTGCCGCGCGTCCAGAAGAGAAGCTTGGGGCGCTTTGAGAGTCTTGCGTCAAGATTTCAGCATTACAGCCATAACACTGGCACAGAACGACAACAAGCAAGAGGTAGCCGCAGCGAGCCAGAGGTGATAGAAATAAAGATGAGGGTCGACTTCAGGTTGGCCTACAAAGCGAGGCGCGATTGTTTGGCGTCTAGTAACCGGTGAAAGCCGAGGAAATCATCCGATTCGAACCGAACTAGCCGGCTCCCCACGAAGCACCCCACTCGCGTCTCTTGAAGGACTTTTTTGCAGCCATCCATCTGAAATTCGCCCTACTAGGCCATGGACGGTTCTATTCACCCGCGGCAGTGCGACTGAACGCGCGCGGGGCTGTAAACTTCCCGCCAACATCCATGGACGCCCAAGCCGTACAACGAGCCCCGCTTGCCAGAGACCGAGCCTTGGAGCCTCCCGCTTCTTGGGGCCTCTTGAAAGTAACCAGCTTCAACCTTGTGGAGGGCTCACATGAATCGTTGCCTTTTGCCCCTCCCACGAGAGCCCCACGAGGTCATTGTAAGTTCGCCCCGTTCACTGGTTTGCTACATGTGTTTCTCACCACAACTCTGCTTCCATAATCGATTGTGTTTCAAGGCAACGCGGGTTCTTGGCGAAAGAGACCGCAGTTAAGATGGGCGTAGCCCAGGTTGTCATCAATTCAGTGTTGCAAAGGTATCTGCTCACGCACTTACACGGGGAGGTATCACTCACGAGTAACAGAACCCTCGTATGAAGGCCGAAGTCTGAACCAAGGATGAGGACCTGCACGTCACTCGTCAACGCGGCGACCGCCTCGGTAGCATTCCGCATACCAGGAGTCAAAGTGCTCAGTTATAGCTTTGTCGCGCCGGCAAGCCTGCGTCATTCGTGACGTCGGATCGACGTCTCCCCGACGATCGTCTTGCGCAGTCAAATCGTAGGCCGCCAAGTACCTGGACAACTGCTTTTCTGCCAACACGGCTGTTAGGCGCTTCTGGGTTTTGTTTGTTCCGTAATGCCTTCGACTCGGCGCAAAATCTGTTCTCGCTGGTTCACAACAAAGCTTCTCGTCTATCCAGCAGTCTCACTACACTTCTCATTCTTCCGGATTGGCATTTCCTCTTCACACAAATATATCCATCGTGGTCCGTGCGCAGCGCCGATGGCTGCCTGCATGACTCACATCGTCATCTCTGCCATCATCCTCTCGCTCTCCAGTGCCATCATACGCTGGGCGCATGGCCCCTCTCCCCCGGCGCAGTGCCCCTGCGTCGTCAGCATATGCCGGCATCGAGAGCGCTCTGATTTCCGGGCTAAATCGCCTTACCAAGGCCACCGTGCCTAGAGCGTGCCGAACTGGGGACGGTCCCGAGTCAGCTCTTATCTTTTTCTTAATATGCACGCCCAAGATGCTGACCTATACATCGTTCCTCAGAACCGACTGAGTGCGCTTTTGGGGCGTATCGCTCGCTCTCGGGCATCTCGGCTGCCAAACCGGCTACAGGCAGGACCGCAGAGATGGTGCGCCCACACGCAGATCGCGACGAGCGCGCCCGTCGCAGGCTGCACATCTCAAGCTGGGGTACCTGCATCTGCGACCATTCTACGTCAGGATCAGCTTCGGCGGCAGCGGGCGTTCAGGCCACATCGTGGCCCGTGAGTCATGTAATTGTGCCGCAATCACTCCACTCCTGTCTACTAGCTGCACTAGATGCACAGAAATACTCATAAGCCTTGTCGCGAGGCGGCACATCGCTATACGCAGCCTGTGAAGTCTTGTGCCTCAGGATAGCCAGTAAAGTCCTGAACGGCTGCTCCGCGACCGCAGTCGAAGGCAATGGAATAGAATGAGCTCAGCGGGATGTTATACACTATCGCATCCGGACTAGATCATGTATGTTACACAGACGGAGAGGTTCGTGGCGGGTCCACGTGATATGCGACAGAATGGTCTGGCTATCAGGTAGAAACTCAGCTTCCTGTAATCTTGCGCCATTCCCGAATCCTTCGATCCTTCCGATGAATGTCCGGGACTTTGCGCCATACACTTCGAGACTGCCTTGTAAGTCTGCGAAAGCAACGTAGTCTCCGTTCGGGGAGTATGTGAGACAATGGGGCGGGTGTGACAGCCTGAAGATATGGCGTAGCCGGCCTGTCCGCGAGTCGTAAGCGAGAGCCGTTCGGTCCGTCTTGCGAACCGCCAACACCTCTGCGCCGTCTGGGGAGAATGCCACAGGGGGTGTCGGCTTTCTCTTGTCACGGATTGTGAGAAGCTCTTGACCGGTCACCGCGTTCCAAACCTTCACACTTGCCCCGAAATTTGTTCCGGTGACTATGCGATCGCCTTGGCGAGACATTGAGAACTCAATCTTGTCGCTCTTTTCATCTTGCAATACAGCGATGCGCCTACAGGACTGCACGTCGTAAATGAAGCAGGAGTTGTATGCTCGAACGCACAGGCGCGAACTATCCGGTGAGAAGGTGAGCTGGTGTATGGAATGATTGGCGTTGAAGGACTTCAGACATGCACCGGTTGCGGCGTCCCAAATCTTCACGGATCCGTCGAAGTCAATTCTGGCAACGAGCGCGCCATTGGGGGAATATGCAGTGTCGTCCATCAGGGAACGATCTCCTGTGAGACGTTGGAGTACACAGCCACGTTGAATATCCCAAATAATGGCGATCCCGTCTTTGGACCCTGAGACCAGAGTGTGGCCGTTGGGAGAAAATGACAGGGATGTAACGTCCTCGCTGTCGTCCTCCTGATGAAGGCGCTGAACCAGCAGGCCATCGGGAAGCCGCCATACAAGGATATCAGTGAAGCTGAACGATGCTGCGAGATGCTTGCCGTCGGTCGACACCGCATAGCATTCGCACTGAGCATCTGGATCTTCAGGATCGGTGAAGACAAGTTGTTTCGACTTCAGTGGTCGGATATCAGTTTCCTCCGGGCTCACGAATGCGCGCCAATCCACCAAGCGACCAGCTCCGTCGAGAGAGGCATTCGGCCACTTCGCCAGGTCGAAGACGGTGATCCTGCGATGCGCAAAGGCACGTTCTCGCTCGTGCGAAATTACATCTTCAATGCAGAGCGACCCGACTATGCGCGACTGTTAGAGCCGATACCATTGGTGGATCAGAAACTCACTCGTGCCGTCGATGTCTACCGGAGGCCGAACTTGATGAAGGTAGCTTGCAAAGTCAACTACGTGGTCGTTACCCTGAGACGAAGTAAGTCTCCGCGCTTTTAAGACACCTTCGTCAACACTTACGACGATGCCCTCAACGTCGTCGTCGCTTGCAATGGCAACCTCGACGTCGGAGGTCTGTGTTCACAGGACACCGCTTAGTGTGACGAATGAAGATGTTGTGCGGACTTACCTCCAATATGTAGTCGAGAAGGACATCTAGCGGATCGGCGACTTTACCCTGGCACCTCGTCAGCCTACGCGTCCCGTGAGACACGGTAATGAAAAACATACCTCCCGCCTGGGTTCCAGTATGTCTACAATGTCCTCGTCCTCATCTTCCAGCGCCGCGACACCTACTCCTGGAGCACCTTGCCCATCGCCTCGACCCGGTAGTTGGTCGTAGCTCGCGCCCGCAACAATCTTCTTCAGAACTCCCAACCTCTTTCGCATCTTGTACCGCTTCACAAGGATGGTCTGGTCTCTCTTCGCCTCGACTTGAGGAGAATCGGACGCTTTCACCGAGTAGTTCCGACCTTGCCGTTCCATCTTCGGACTCGTCACGGATCTGGAATGCGACCGGCCTATTCCGACTCCGGCAATGCCGCCGGCATGGGCCCCCAGTGACGCACTGGAGCCTGTGCTCGTGTTGCTGAAGGCGATCGCTGCCCAATCCGCCGTGGTCTTGACCCAGCCGCTGACCACGAAGATCCCCTCTTCCTCGATGTCCTGGAAGAGATCGTTCCTGGCGTATGCGTACCATTTATCGTAGTGTCGAAGCATGTACTTCTTGAGCAGCCGATTGTCAAATATCTTCTCTGCGTGCGCTTCGCTCTTCATCACAAGAACCGCACCTTGCGCTGCCTTACACTTGTAAGATGCACCGAGGGAAGCAGATACGTTACCTCCAATCGTTCTGCACAGCTCAGCTCGTCAATCAGAAAGCCTGGGTCGGATGGATAGGTGTACTCACATATCTGCTGAGGCATGTCTCCGCGTTTTCTCCATCCCCTGGCTGCGATAATGGCCAGGAACAAGCGGGTTGTGCCGGTGGGAGACCTTGAACACCGCCGGAGGCAAGGGCTCGGTGATCTCGAACGGCGGGTCCCAGAATTTGACCGCCTTGTCAGGTGCAGAGGCGTCGAGGTTGAACAGTCTGACAAATGCGCCTTCGTACACGAAGCCGACATCGCCGATCTGGGGCTCGCCTGTCTCGTGCGGCTCGGGATACCAGAGGGCGTGACCCAGATGGAGCGTCTGGAGACTGGATGCATAGATCTCGTCTGGGGAAGACGGTGGACGAGACCAGCTGAACATGCCCATGATGGGCAAGAAGGCGAGGGTGAATATTGCGTTGGCAGGGCAGAGATGGCGGTGTAAAACCAACCTGGACGTGCACCTCGTGCATCAATAATGGTGGCAGCTCCGGCACCATCCGCCATTGACCTGACAGCTTCGCACGAAGAAGAGCAAGACGGGCGCCCAAGCCGCTAATGAAGAAATAGGCCGAGCGTTCACCCGCGCGATCAATATTTCAATCCTCGTGTCCTCCTTGAAGACGGAATATTCTGTGAATATTGAGTATTGAATGTTTGGATGGCCAACAACGTAGCAGTTGAACGGCGACGTACAGAGTTTGGACGGCACCGAGCAACTAAAGCCCAACGCTCAGCCCCCGTGGTCGTATACTGCTGTGGAATGCGAACCGTCTAACACTTGTGATGACACAGCGGCACAGAGCCAACTAAACGTATCCAAGTTTCAAGGGGTCATGGCATAGCTGCAGCTTCGACGCTTAGTCGTGAGGATAGTGATAACGCAAAGCCAACGCAGATTCGCTGCTAAAGTGGTACGCATATAGCTTGAAGGTGCGCTACATGCCCAAAGACCGTAGCTATTTTGCCACAGGCCGTCATTGTATTACCGCTATGACGGTTTCCCGGCGACCCGGGGCTGGTGCGACCTGGCAGCACAATTTCCTCATCTTCCGCAATGGCTACTCGGGTATCCGAGACCTGAGATACAAGATAGTCTTCGTGAGCGAAGAGAAGCCGCATGTTCAACGGACATACCTTACGTACGTAGCCTAAACAGATGTCCAAGTATCCCCAAAGTCTCGCTAAGAAGTCGGTATTTTAGCAATAATCGCAGAGCACGGTACCACGACTCGACACTCACGTCACAACTGCACTCAAGCGAATCACTATTACGTTCGCCGTCCTCCAGAAGTCCGGACCTTGACGTTCCTTCCTGAAGCATGTCATCCCCCTCTCGTCCAGGAATGACGATCGTCGGCGGCTGCTAAATCTGCTCCCAAGATCCTATACCGCCGCTGGGGTCCGCACCGCTTTAAGGAGACGTAGTCATGTGTAGCCTGAGCCCGATGTTACCACCAGCCCAAATGCAGACAATGGGCCATGCCTCGCACCAGATCACCGCGAGAGCCCAGCGCGGCTTAATTTTGACTGGACTACCGGGATGGCAGAGTCTTCGAGACTTGACGCTGTGCGTATCAAGCCCTTGCGCAGGAGTATGCGTAATTGAGGTTCTGGGCTTTGTGAGGGCACTTGCCCAACGTTTGGCAGGTCTGCTACTGCATGAGTTCATGCCAAAATACCCAAGTTGCCATGCTCACCCTCAGACACTGGACAGACTCAGACGTTATATCATCGCAAGCGGCGCAGAGGTAGCGCTCCAGTAGTGCTTTGCCCGGTGATTCCACAGGTGCAATAATACTCGGGACAAAGGCCAGTCGTTTTGCTGCCATACGTCCGAAAGGGAAGTGCTTTGAGAGCCTCGCGTCAAAGCTTCAAAATTCGAGCTATAACACAGAACGACAGTAAACAAGATGTGACCGCAGTGAGCTGTGGGTAATAGAGGTAAACTTGCGAGGGTCGTGTTCGGCAATCCAGCTCAAAGCGAGCGCGATTCCGCTTAGCGTCTAGTAGTAGCCGGCGAAAGCCGAGGAGATCACCCGAACCCAACCGGCCGGCCCCTGAAGCACCGCCCGACGTTCGCCGCCGTGTCTACAACTTGAAAGACGTCTTTCTTGCAACTGGTTATTTGAAACTCGCTCTAACTGGGTTTTTCCATGTCATGGACGGTTCTATTTACCCGCACCAGTGCGACTGAACGCGCGCACAGCCGTGGACTCCCCGCTAGCATCCACGACCAAGCCTTGGGCTACTCTTGAAAGTAGCCAGCCTCGACCTTGCGGAAACACCGCACGAAGCGCCGTCCAGTCTCGCCCTCTCTCACGAGAGCCCATGGGCGTAGCCCAAGTTGTCATTAAATCAGTATTATAAAGGTACTTGCTCGCGTACTTGCACGGTAAAGTATCACTCACGAGTAACAGAACCTCGTGTCAAGACCAAAACTTGAACTTATGATGAGGACAAAGATGATACTTTCGCTTTAGCTGCACATCAGTCGTCAACATGACGACGGCTTCGTCGGCATTCCGCATCTCAAGAGTTAAAGTGTTTAATTATAGACATTGTCGCGCCAACAGGCCTGCGTCATTCGTGACGTCGGATCGACTTCTCCTCGACAATCGTCTTGTGCAGTCATATCGTAGGTCGCCAAGTACCTGGACGACTTCTTTTCTGCTAACACGGCTGTTAGGCGCTGCCGGGTTTTGCTCGTCCTGCAATGTCTTCGACTCGGTGCCAAGCTCGTCTCGCTGGTTCACTACATAGCTTCTCATCTATTCAGCAGTATCGCTACACTTCTCGTTCTTCCGGATTGGCATCTCCTCTTTACACAAACATATCCGTCATGGCCCGTGCGCAGCGCCGACGGCTGCCCGCACGGCCCTCATCGTCATCTCCTCCACCCCCTCGCTCGCCAGTGCCATCATATGCTGGGCGCATGATCACTCTCTGCCGGGGCATTTTCCCTGCATTGTCAGCATGTGCCGACGTCAAGAGCACTCTGATTCGCGGGCTACATCGCCTGTGATCAAGGCTGCCGTGTCTGGAGTGTGCCGCGCTGGGGACTGTCCTAGATCAGCTCTCATCCTTTTCTACCGCGCACACCCGAGATGCTAACCTATATATCGTTCCTCAGAACCGACTTTTTTTTCCGCTTGTTTATAGGGGCCTGATTCTCAGAACCGACTAAGTGCACTTTTTGGGTGTACCGTTCGCTCTCGGGCATCTCGGCTGCCATACAGGCTACAGGCAGGACCCCAGGGACCGCAACTCGAGGAGGCAGCTCATCCGCACGCAAATCAAGAGGAGCGCAAACGGCGCAGACTACACATCTCAAGCTGAGATACCTGCGCCTGCGGCCAGTCTACCTCAGGATCGGATCTAATGGCGGCGGGCGTTCAGGCCACATCGTGGCCCGTGAGTCGTGTAAATGTGCCGCAATTGCTCTACTCCTGCCTACTAGCTGCACTAGACGCACAGAGATGCTCATAAGCCTTGCTGCGAGGCGACGCATGCGCGCATCGCCATGCGCAGCCTGTGAAGTCTCAGGGCAGCCCGCAAAGTCCTGGGCGACTACTCCGTCGCTGTGGTCAAAGGTGACGAAATACATTGAGCTCAGTAGAATATGATACACTATCGCATCCTGACTAGATCATATATGTTACATAGACGAAGAGATTCGCGAATGTCTCCGAAGAAGTACAGAATAGTCTGATTGTCGGGTAAAAATTCGGCTTTCTGTATATCTGCGTTGTCCCCGAAACCTTCGACCTTTCCGATGAACGTTCCAGATCTCGCGCCATACACTTCGAGACTACCGCGCCGACCCACGAAAGCAACATAGTCCCCATTCGGGGAGTATGCAATACGATAGGGTAGGTGTGAAAGCTTGAAAGTACGGCGTAGCTGACCCGTCCGCGAGTCGTAAGCGAGAGCCGTTTTGTCCGCCACGCAAGTTGCCAATACCTCAGCGCTGTCCGGGGAGAATGCTACGGGAGTAAGCAGCTCCCTCCCATCGTCAATAGTGAGAAGCTCTTGACCGGTCGCCACGTTCGAAATCTTCACACCACGCCCGGTGTCTGTTCCGGTGACTACGCGATCGCCTTGGTGGGACATTGATAAACCGATGCGATCGGTCGTGTTGCGTTGCAATACAGCAAGACGCTTATGGGACTGTACATCGTAGATGAAAGAGGAGTTGCGTGCTCGAATGCACAGGCGCGAGCTATCCGGCGAGAAGGTGAGCTGGTACATGTACTCTTCAAGGACGAAGGAATCCAGGCATGCTCCAGTTGAGGCGTCCCAAGTCTTGACGGATTTCTTCAAGTCAGATGTGACAATGAGCGCGCCATTGGGGGAATATGCGATGTTGTCCACTTGCGAATGATGTCCTGTGAGACGTCGGAATACGCAGCCACCTTCAACGCTCCAGACAATTGCGGTCTTGTCGTCGGACCCTGAGACAAGGGTGAGGCTGTCGGCAGAAAATGACAGGGAAGTAACATTCTCGCGATGGCCCTGCTGACGGAGGCGTTGAACTAGCATGCCATCGAAGAGCCGCCATACAACGATTTCAGCGGAGTCGAATGATGCGGCGAGAAGTTTGCCATCGGTCGACAGCGTGTAACATTTGCACTTGGCGTACGGTTGCTGAGGATCGGCGAAGACAACTTGGTTTAACTTCAGCGGTCGGGTATCTGGGCCCACGAAGGCGTGCCAATTCGCTAGATAACCAGCACCATCGAGAGAGATATTCGGCCATTTCGCGAGGTCGGAGGCTGCGATGGTGCGACGCGCAAAGGCACGTTCTCGCTCATGACAGATTACGTCTTCTATGCAGAGCGATCCGACTGCGAGCAAGTATTAGAGCTGATACTATTGGTGTATGAGGAACTCACACGCGTCGTAGATCTCCACCGGAGGCTGAATTTGACGAAGGTAGCTTGCAAAGTCAACCACGCGGTTGTTACCCTAAGCGGAAGTAAGTCTTTGCACTTGTACGATACATTCAAAATCGCTTACGACGATACTCTCAACGTCGTTGTCACTTGCAATGGCAACCTCGACGTCGGAAGTCTGTAGTGGCAGGATTCCGTTTAGTGTAATGAATGTACTCGGAAATATTTTGTAGAACTCACCTCCAGAATGTAGTCGAGAAGGATGTCTAGCGGATCAGAAACTTCGCCCTGGCATCTCGTCAGCTTGAGCGCCCCGTGACACAAGCTAACGAAACACATACCTCGTCCTTAGACACCAGTATGTCTACTATGTCATCGTCCTCATCTCCTTGCGCTGCGACGCCAACATCCGAAGTACCTCCCCCATGGCCCGGTCCTGGTAGTCCATGATAGCCTGCTCCCGCAACGACCTTCTTCAGAACCCCCAACCTCTTTCGGACCCTGTAGCGCTTCACCAAGACGCATTGGTCTCTTTTCGCGTCGGCAGGAAGGAGATCGGACGCTTTCTTCAGGTAGTTCCGACCCTGCCGTTCCATCCTCGGACCCGTCATCGACCTCGAGTGCGTCCGACCAACTGCGACCCCTGCGATCCCACCGGCATGACCCTCCAGTGACGCACTGGAGCTTGTGCTCGTGTTGCTGAACGCGACTGCCGCCCAATCTGCCGTAGTTTTGACCCATCCGCTGACCACGACGATTTCTTCCTGCTTGATGTCCTGGAAAATCTCATTCCTGGCGTACGCGTACCATCTATCGTAGTGCCGAACAATGTACTTCTTCAGCAGTCGATTCTCAAATATCTTTTCCGCATGCGCTTCGCTCTTGAGGACAAGCACCGCGCCCTGTGCCGCCTTGCATGTATAGCTGGCATCGAGGGACACGGATACATTTGCGCCGGTCGAACTGCACAGTCCAGACTGTTAGTGAGAAGGCATTGGTCGGATGAACTAGCGCACTCACACGTCTGCCGAGGCATGGATCTCCTTGCTCTCCACCCCATGACTGCGATAATCTTTGGGGATGAGCGGACTGCGTCTCTCGTCAATCCGGAATACGCCCGGAGGTACGGGCTCTGTAATCTTGAATGGCGGATCCCAGAATGCGACCTTCTTCTCGGGTGTGGAGGCGTCGAGATTGAAGAGCCTGATAAACGCGCCTTCGTTCACGAAGCCAACGTCGCCAATCTGCGGCTCGCCCGTCCCATGCGGCTCAGGGTACCAGAGGGCGTGGCCTAGATAGAGCGTTTGGAGACTGGATGCATAAATTTCATCCGGGGCCGACGGCGGACGAAACCAGCTGAACATGCCCATGGTGGGGTAAGGAGGACAGATCACAAGTTGGCAGAGCGGAGATGGCGGTGCAAAGCCAGCCAGGACGTGCACCTCATATGTATCGATAACAGCAACAGCTCTGGCGCTTTCGATCTGACATCTTCGCACGAAGAAGAGCAAGGCGGACGCCCAAACCATGAATGTAGAACGCAACAACAGGTCGAGCGTCGTGCACCGGCATTGACCGGGACCCTTAAATTGCGAAAGTGGTGGACCACCATCCTCCATAGTAGGCGTATGCTCGTCACAATAGTACCGTCACAACAGCCTCTCGCTGATCTATGGCTTGCACATCTCGCTTGCACGACGAAACCCCCCATTTCCTTCTCACCCGCAATAGCTACTTCAGTATCTGAGACCTAAGATACGAGAAATTGGTTGTAGGCAGGGTTGCGATGCAAGTTTGGTGGGCGTACCTTGTGCATGTAGCCCAAACGGACGTCCAAACGTCACCAAACGCTCGCTAAAAGATCGGTGCATCAGCAGTTGTCGCCAAGCACTACGATTCGGCCGTCACGTATCAGCAGAACTCCAGCGGGCCACTCTTCAACTCACCGTCCTCCAAGTCTCTGACCTTTTGCTTCCTTTCCTGAAGCACATCGTTCTTCTCCTTGTCCAGGGAGTCGCGGCCGCTACGTCTGCTCGCGAGATTTCATACCGTCACTCGAAGGCAGCACATTAGTTCTGTAGCGCCTGAGCCCTTGCGCCCACTGCCGGCCTAGATCCGAGCGACGCGCCGTGACTCGTGCCAGGGTAGCTGGTAACCGCAAAAGCCCAGCGGCTTGATCTTGACTGGCCGCCAGCGGGGATAAGTTCTTCGAGACTTGACACGTTGTGGGTCGACAAGTGTTTTGCGCAAAAGTATGAGCAGCTGTGATTCTGGCCCTTGCTCAGCCTCTGACAGGTCTGGTGCCTCATGAGTTCGTGCCAAGAAACGCAAGATGCCATGCTCACCCTCAAGAGGACACTCTCAGGCAATGCATCATCTTGAGCGACGCACAGATGTAGCGATGCGGTGGTGTTATGCTTCGTGGCTTCATCGCTGCAGCAATACTCGAGACACAGACTGACCGCTTTGCTGCGATGCATCCAGAAGAGCTAGTAGAAGCTGGCAAGATGGGCTTGCTTTGAGTCTTCTGTCATCAGCTTGACATTTAAGTCATCGCATGGAGCGAAAGAGGAGAAGATATGGCGCGGCGAGCTAGGGGCAAGAGGCGAACATGAGGGTCTTGTTCAGGTCGACTTGCAAAGCGAGATTCCGGTGCAGCTCTGTCTAGCGTCTAGGACCCGGCGAAGGCCGAAGAGATCACGCGAACCGAACTGGCCCGCCGCGAAAGCACGTTCGCATCTATAAAGATTCTCTTGCAGTTGCCCATCCGAAACTTGCTCTGCTCGGATCCATCTAGGTCGCGGATTGCCTCATTTTGTCACTGCATTTATCCTCAGCGACGCGTCTGAGTGTGTACGCACCCGTAGGCTTCTCGTTGACACCCATGGACGACTTCTGTCAGCAACTAACAATCCAACTGGACTGAGCTACGACAAAGCTGAGGAGACAGACGAGAGGAAAGTGAGTGAGGAAAGACCAGCTCGAGTCTGGCTTGTTATTGAGCGATACAGGCTCCTTATATACATGTCAGAATGAATACCTAGAATATCCTACGAATATACGGAGGTGTATAGAAAGTGAAAGAATACCATGGAATCCGGAAGAACCATCCGGATTGTGTAATATTCATGACATTACCCCCCCGTCTAGAATCGTGTCCTCACGATTATTTACCCGTCGATCCAAATCCTCCTGATCCTCGTTGAGTCTCTGTTAAACTTGACACCTCCTCGATATCGCATGACGCAATGCGTTCCAAAATGACTTGTGTGATCCGATCACCAGCGTGTATTTGAAAAGGTTGATTCGTGGAGTTGATCATCACAACGCGTACTTCTCCGGTGTAATCTCGGTCTACTACTCCAGCGCCGACATCTATCCCTTTGACTGCTAATCCGCTTCGCGGCGCGATTCGTGCATACGTTCCGTGAGGTGCGCGCATTGCTATGCCGGTGCTGACGATCTTGCGGTCTCGTGCCGGTATCTTAACGCTTTCAGCCGAATAGAGATCCAACCCAGCCGATTCTTCAGATCCTTGCTTCGGGAGAATTCCACCCATTCGTTGCACCAAAAGAGTGGAATCGCGTGTGAGTATGTGAACAGGTCGTGTCAATAGAGGGGGAATTTGAATCATCATAGGCGCAGGTTTGTCGGGACGTCTAGCGTGGAATTCTTCAAGGAGTTCTTGACAATTGGTCAAGTTCGCTCGTGATTCCCAGGAACGGCGATCACCGTGGAGACTATTCTTCCAGAGAACCTGATATTCAAGATTTCCACTTCGATCACGACGAGAGTCAAGAATGTCTTCGACTTCCCATTCTTCCTCGCCATTTACGAGGTCAGGGACTATCGGTTCTCGTCGTTGTGATGGATATGCAGGTTCTTTGAAGGGGCTAAGTAGACTTTCGTTGAAGACGGGGTGTTGTTTCCATTGACGTGGGAGTTCCAATTCATAGGCGGAAGCTCCGACTTTGCGCTTAACCTTAAAGGGTCCATATCGCTTATCGTCGAGCTTCTTCATTGGCCTATCTGTTCGGATGTTTATCTCTTCTAGCCAAACTTTATCCCCCTCTTTGTACTCTGGTCCGTTCTTCCTTTTTCGGTCGTAGAAGCATTTCATTGTCTCCTGCGCTAGACTGATAGCGGCGCTAGTGTCCTCGCGTATGCAATCCATTCTATCGACAAACTGTTGGACATTTTTGCTTAGTCCTTCTCGCACCGGTTGGATTCCTTCGTAAGGGTGATACCCTTTATTGACGAAGAACGGGGTATACCCGGTAGATGAGTGGACTTTATTGTTATACGAAAAGGTTGCGAGTGGCAACCATTCGGCCCAATCTGCTTGTCGGTAGTTGATGAATAATCGGAGATACTGTTCTATCTCGCGATTGATGCGTTCCGTTTGTCCGTCTGTCTGGGGATGATACGCGGTTGAAGGGTTGGCTTCGATTCCGAGTGATCAGTACAATTCGGAGATGAACTGATTCTTGAATTCAGTTCCCCTATCGCTGATGATCTTTCGGGGTAACCCATGATGTGCGACTACGTTATCTCGGAGTGCCTTTGCCCACCCTTCGGCGTTAAGTTCAATGGTGCTTGGTATCGCGATTATCTGCTTAGAGTACATGCAGACGACTACGAGGATGGCGTTGTATCCGAAGGAGTCCGGCAGTACGCCTATCTTGTCAACGGAGATTACTTCCCAGGGTCGTGAAGGGATTTCGTTGGGGAATAGAAGCCCGGTAGGACGCGTTGTATGAACCTTGGTCTTCTGGCATTTCTCGCATCCAGCCACATATTTCCTGATGTCTTCTCTAATTCGGGGCCACCAGTAGTTACGTGTGACCATTTCATGTGTTTTGTATTGACCAGGATGTCCAGCCAATGGGGTATCGTGGTGATGAGCAATGATTTGCTCGCGAAGTTTTCTGTTTACTGGTACGTAAATACGATTCTTCCATGTCACGAGTCCGGTACTATCTTCGTTCCAGTCTTTGTCCTTGTTCTGTAAAGCTACGGTAACTAGCGAATCTTGGTTCTTTTTGTGTTTCTTAATTTCTGCTACCCAGTCCTGGTCGATTCCTTCTAAACTAAATACAGTACTATGAATCAAGGCACGGAAATGTTCTGGTTTTAGTAATATGATATCGGAATTGTCCTCTTTTCCTGCATTGTGCCTCTTTTGGCGAGATAGTCCGTCGGCTTTGCCATTAGATTTACCGGGCTTGTGATGTAACGAGTATTGATATTCAGCCAGCTCGGTTACCCATCGGGCTTGTCGTCAGTTGAGCTTCTGCGGCTTCCGGAAGTATTCTAAATTCTTGTGATCCGTCCATATTTCAAACGGATGTACGGCGCCCATGAGGTACTGACGCCATTCATCAAGACTAGTCATGATTGCGAGAAGTTCCTTATCGTAAATCTCGTAATTCCTTTCGGCAGCTGTCATGGCTTTTGACAGATAAGCAACAGGCTTCCATTTGCCATCTTGTTTCTGGGCTAGTTCCGCTCCTATGGCGAAGTCTGAGGCGTCACATTCTACTCGATATGGGTCGTGTCGTTAGGTATGGCTAGCACTGTGTCGTGGGCGTAGCCCCA